GTTCGATGAAATTTTGTACCCAATGTGATATTGTTCATAATATCAATGATTTATGGAATCAAATGAACCAAAGATAATTGCTATAGTGTAGCTTGAATAGGAGAAGAGGACTGCAATAACGGACAGTTGCTCGCTTCTCAGAGACTTCTAATTCCATTAGCAAATTGTAGAATGGGCCAAGTATTAACTTACAGACTTGATAGTAATATAAGAAACTCTTCTCATTTTATTGATAAATGGATATGTCATTGTAAAGATGGAAGACCCATTTTTTGCTTCAAAACCCAGTTTTAAAGGGATTCATTCATACTTTCATATATGAAACACATTTTGATAAATATTATTCTACTTGATTTTGAATATCTTGATTAGATAGAAAAATTCTGCATATACATATAAAACAGATGGCTCAGGCACAGTGGCATGCTGGCAGGGGAGCAAGGGCGGCAATCGCCCCCCTGCCAATCAAATATCAGGGGTGGAAAAATGAACTTTCACTTTATAGGGGCAAGGGGCCAAAGGCACCCTTGCCAAATAGCTAGCAAGCGAGGCTTTCAACATACCACTTCTTTTTTCTTACTAACTCTGATGCACTGAACAACGATCGTCAAACACCATCTCAAGATCGCACGCTAAATCGAAATGATTTTTGCACAAAGTAGCTACCATGGGCGTACCGAGGTAGGGTGTGGGAGTGTAATTGAGGAACCAGCCGATAATGTTGGACTTGGCGGTAAATGTCCCGATTAGGCTCCATTTCGTGAAATTATTGGGAGGGTGCAAGGCGTTTTGATTTACAGAAATGCTAGGAAGAAAAAGCTGAGAGTTTATTACCCAATCTGTAAAAAATTATGTTACATAAGCTGAAAAATTTAACAATGACACAAGTAAATCGATCAAAACCATCAAAAAGCTTTTAGCCTGTGGATATTAATTTAAAAGAAAGCTTGCATTTTTACAAATTGCTTCAGAAAGTGCGTTTTCGAACAAAATAGAAGCATCCAAATTCTAAAGCTTTCTATACCATGGTGCCGCCTCAGACAGTATGGTTATATCTTGGGCTTGTTTCGATATGTAAATTTAAAGCAGTAGTGCCAAAAAATGTAGGGCCAAAAATGTAGAAGAGGCATCAAAAAAATGAATGTTTCAGTTGTTTTCGTGTGCATGGCTCCCCAAAATTAACTTCTTTACTTCTCCATATTTTTCTAGGATCAAATCAATTTTCCATGTCTACCTGTTACTCTAATCCTCTTGTTAAAGTAGCAAAATCTTAAAAATAAGGAACTTAAAGTAGTAAAATTTTGCAAATGTTTATTGAGATTTCAGTTATCAAGAAGGCTCTTGAGGTCTCACATGAATGCAAAAGTCTGATATTATCATGTTAATTTTTTTTAAACGGCACACTTTATTGCGGAGGATGGTGTCACCCGCTAAAGAATTTCAGGTAATTTTTATAAATCAGGAAAATTCGTAGTAAATCCAAACAAGGCCTGTCTCGAACGGCAAACTTTCTATGGATATAGCAAAGGTGAAATCAGCAAGTTGTTTCCCATTACCTCAGAATTCTACTGATGTTCGAAGTTTTCTAGGACTTACATCCTATTACAGACGGTTCATTCCAGAGTTTGCCAGCCGTTCAAAGCCACTAGCTGACCTCACGAATACAGATGCATGCGAATATGGCATTGGAGCAGTTCTCGCCCAAGACACGCCTAATGGTGAAGTGGTAATTGCATACGCCAGTAGGTTGCTGAAGTCCTCTGAAAGGAAATATGAAGTTTTGCAGAAGGAAGCATTGGGTATCGTATGGTCGCTAAAACATTTTCACCCTTACCTTTATGACCGACATTTTTGGTTATTACCAATCACAGGCCCTTGAAATGGTTAAAGACAATGACTGCTCCGAATAACCTATTTGCACGATGGATTAGCGAGATTCAAAGTTACGATTTTGAAGTGAAACACAGGCCAGGCAGACTTCACTCAAATGGGGACACATTGTCGAGGTACCCTTTAGTGGGAGAAGACAACCGGGACGCCGAAGCAGTGGAAAGCCCTGTGTCCCCCTGCCCCCTGACGGAAGAAGATGACGTAATGCTGGTAACAGACTTCAAAACGCTACAAGAAAATGATACGTACGCTGGGGCACTGATGAAACTCTTGAAACAAGGGAAAGCACCGGAGGATAAGAAACTTGCTGCTAAGCTGGAAAGGGATAAAGAATCGTTCTTTCTGGGAGACGATGGGTGTGTTTATCGAAGATTCAAGTCAAAACAAGGGAGAACACAGGAACAATTTGTGGTACCAAAATCAATGGTTGGTAAGTTGCTCGTGAACTCCCATGATATACCTATTTCAGCACATCCAGGGTTTTACAGGACATAAAATATATCCAGCATATCCAGCAATCCTATTTTTGGCCTACCATGAAGACTGACATCGAGGAATGCACCAGATTCGAAGCGTCGTATAAACCAGCTCATAAAACGCCGATGAAATCGATTGTTACAGAAAGGCCACTGCAGATAGTCGCAATGGATTTTGTAGGACCACTGCCAATGTCAGAACAGAACGTATATCAACGCAATTATAAATTCTATTAAACACACCTCATGCCTCTCTCTATTCATATCTTAACATGTTTTCCGCCGTAGTAGAAGTAGTAGACAGATTATAATTAGACCTCTCTATTATTCGTACAAGGAACTATCAATATATATATGTAGATATTTACATATTGCCTTAAACTGTTGCAGTTAGTTGGACTTAGAGTTAGTATTGTGAGCACGTACACTTCGCTCTTGTGAAAGGCTCAGTGGCTGGTACAGGTCGTTCAATGATATACGTATGAAAAAACTATATCTGTGTTTATTCTTGGTGTCATTCTGAAGTGTTGCCAAACAGTTAGCTCGGAACCTGTCGTGATACTTCAAAGATTTGCAGTCCTGTAGAGTGCAGTGCTCTCGGAACAAAATTCATACTGGGAGGGCTGCCCATTAAATTCGGTATTCCTTCTCCTTCAGTACACTGTTATAAAGGAAACATACTATACTACAGTTTGAAAATTATTGGGGGGGCTCCAGCCCCCAGATCCCCGGTTTCGACAGGCCTGGTAGAGTGTATGGAGGCAACTTAATTGAGTGGGTAGGGATGTTACGGCGTGGCTCTTAGAACGAAGGGCTGGAAGAAGTGGGAAGGGTAATTAGAGTGAGCGGGGTTGGGTGTAGCTATGGGAAAGATTGAAATATAAACGAAGAAATATAATAGAAACGAAGAAATGAGACACTCAATAGACAAAAATTCCAAAACACTTTTCCTTTACAATTCCTGGCTTTCTTTTTCCAGCCATTAAGTATTCAATCTTTACTCCAGCTCAGCCTGATTCCCACTTGGTCGTTTGGGTCGTTTGAGTCGTCAGAGTCGTTCCTGAAAGACACAAGCGACCCAAAGAACACATTGGTTTCCACTTGGTCGTCTGAGTCTTTTGAGGCGTTTGTTGTTGATGCTGTTCATTGCTTCGCTCATTTAATTTTGGCAGTATGCGTGGAAGGGATGTTGGTAGCATTTGATAAACAACAACTGATGTTGCAAAGTCAACTATTTCTACCTCTGGTGACTTTGTACAAACGACGATGTTAGATCACTAAATTTCAGTGCAAAAGCTTGCCATGATTTGATATTTTTGTAATTATTTTTAAACTCTTTCCAGTAATTGTTATAATAGCACTCGTATTTTAGAACTTTTCCATAAAGCTTGCTATGAAATATTCAGCTATCTTGTTCTTGTTCTAGTCAAACACGCGGTTACAAGATAAACCCCTACTCTTGAAGAAAAAGTTATTAAAGCGTGGGTCGCTTGAGTCGTTTGAGTCGTTTGTCGGTTTCCACTTGCAAAAATCATTCATGCGTGGGTATTTTGGGTCGCGGAGATAGAATTTATTCTGTCTCTGCGACAACTGTCGTTTGAGTCTTGCGGGTCTTTTGGGGCGGATACAGAATAAAAGTTGACGGTCGTACACAAACAGTACCCAGCAGGCGGTCTAGGGGGCCTCCCTCATGGTCAAAGGTAGAGCCATGATAGGGACCCAGCCCCCCTCTCCCCGGAACCAGAGCAACTAGGTTTAATTTCAAGGGCAAAACCCTAAAGCTCACAATGTCGATTATTGCAACCACTTTAGATAAAAGAAATAATTTCACCTTTTTTCAAGAAAGTCATCTTGATTTTTGGTCTAGAATATTATTTTCATGTCTTATAAGCGTCAACTTTTTAACTGCGATTTGTCCCGTTAAGCAAGACTGATACACTTTGATTTTACAGGAGACGAATTTTTCGCGCAAAGCGAATTTTTCGCCACGAATTTTTTAGCTGGGAATTTTTCTCTCGAATTCGAAGTTCAATTTACACTGGCGAAATTTTCTGCGAATTCGCTGCGAGTATTACAAAAGAATATAGCGACTGTCCGAAGAGTGCTCTAATCAGCAAGTTTAAAATTTTGAATTTATCAAAAAAGCGAAATTCTTGCCAATTTTTTTATTTCTGGCATATTGGTAGAACGATGAAACTTTCAAGCCAGTTTTCGTAAATTTGAAATTCAAATGTTTGACTGGATTGTGTACAAGGAACAGGAAATGAATAATTACCAACCTATTTTATTGACGTTTTAAAGGCGAGAGTATTTGAGAAAAAGAATGCGGAAAGACGTAGGCCATCTGAAACCATCTTTTATTTCCCTCCTTACAGATAATACATTTACGTACCTCTCTTTACACAAAAAACACAGGACCGAACTTGGTCGATATCACACACAATGCTACGATTTAATTCAAGATAGAAGAAATTCAAAGACCATCCTAGACCGTAAACAGTTTGATTTTTTAGGCATGTCGCCCAGGCCGCACAAATATGCAGGGCTCTTTGTTATGCAAATATTTTATCAAATCTCACCAATCAAAATTCAAGTTTTCACATATTTATATATGTTAGATTACTGTGCCGCACATCTGCTGGCAAGGGAAGAAAGTGGACGAAGTTGAAAGTTGTGAAGGAGAACAATCCCAATTTTCTTTATTCATGCGGAAGATGTGCACAGGAAGTGTACACTTCTGAATCTCAAGATATTTTGTCTCAACTGCGTGTTTGGATTTGCTGGAAAACCTTTTAAAAGGGAAAAATGTTTGACTGAACAATTTCCAACGACCCAAACGACCCAAACGACCAAGTGAGAACCAGGCCTTAGGGACCACGTGACTGATATTGGAATGGTGAATGACATCATATTTTCCATTGATACTCGAAAATGACCTAACTTCACAAATGAAAGTCTTCCGGTTGTTCTTTCTTTGTCTTCCCTGGCTTTCGAGAATCAAGCCGGAAGTATATTTGGTGACGTACATGAATGTTCAGAGTCATAAATTGTGGCCTTGTAGTGATTAGGCAGCAGTCAGGGGCAATATTGTCTCATTGTCTAATCGTTGACTGCGGTCTGGGTCTACAAAGGAAGCGAAAGCAACTCGTTATTGTCACCAAAAACACTCTGCCACAAAACACAGTCGGACTCCACAACTTAATGCAGCTATGGATCCAAGGAAATGGCTTGCTACCATTTGGCATCTTTGTATCCTACTATCAGTTGCTACCGTCGTCTTTACAGGTATGCCTAAAACCATCTTACTGAAGCTCTAGCTGGGTTATAACTGGCAAATGAAAATGTACTCCATAGTTGAGACACTTAAGCACAAAGCAACCATTCACCGTTTCGGGTTGATATCATCGATGGGCAAATCACTGCTTAAAATCACGTACGCTCTCAAAAATAATCACACTTTAATCACAAATTAATCACATTAATCACAAAAAATCATATTAATCACATTAATATCATATTAATCACAAAAAATCACCACTCACATTAAGCGCAAATATTTGAATCTTTGGTCACGTTTATTCACCTATGTTATTGAAAAAAATTAAATGTCCCTTTCAAGGTTTTCCACACTTTTATGTACATGTTCAAAAATCTGCCAACACACTCGAGAACATGAGCATAACGGAGCTGTCTAGTTTCCACACTGCTCGACCTGATGACGTAATTAGTTTACCCTAACCCTAACCCTAAACCTAACCCTAAACCTAACCCTTAAACTGACCCTAACCCTAACCCTTACCCTTACCCTTACCCTTACCCTTACCCTTACCCTTACCCTTACCCTTTACGTGAAATAATTAATCATGCTAATTTATGACTATTAATCATGCATATTTATGACTATCAGGTCGAACAGTTCTAAACAATACCGAGCATAACTGAAGGCCTCGTTCTCATCCCGGGGTCGCTGAAACAACTACAAGATGAGATGTAATTTTGTTGCCGATTTTTAAGTACTTCCAAGCTGGGGCGTTAGGGCTAGGCGGGACACCCGGTAGCAGGGACGGACTTAGCAGGGGTGTAGGGGGTGCGAACCCCTCCCCCCAATATTTCTGTCTCCTTTGGTAAATTTGGTTCCATTCGGTAAAAACCATTTTTTGGTAGTCAGCAGTAACAAATTAACGCCAATATTTTACTTTATTTATCTCCTTAATATCAGTATTTATCTTCTTATCAGTAGCGTAGCGGGGGGAGGCAAGGGGAGCGGCCGCTCAGAAAGTCGGTGTCTGAGAGAAGTACAAATCTGCAATAGAATTAGTACCTTAAAGGGGGACTTTATATTTCAGACAATATTAAAACGTTTTCAAAGACTGCAAACGACTGTAAGAAATATTCTGAAATGTATTTCAAGCTAATCTGAAGGGCGTCGTCGCAAAAATTTTCTGCTCGCTTCGCTTGCACAGGGACCCTCCTTTATAACTCTACAGAATGTTCAACAATTTATCCCACGTTATAGAATTTAAATAGAAAAGTCTTTCTTTTGACAATCCCGATAAAATAGAAACTAAGATGCTAAAGCGATTCAATCCTTACAAAAATTGGATTCTGAAATGCTTGTCGGAGATTTTGCTCCAAGGAGAACGGAATTAGTTTAAAACATTTGAATCCTGTTTGTTTCTTTAGATGTTTGAATGAAACTGTGGAGAATCAGATTTTACACGTAGTGCTTCCTCGCCTTGCACAATTCAGAATGTAAGCGTTAGATGAATTGTCAAGGAAATAGACAGTTGTAAAATGGGGTGAGCCACAAATCATTGTTGCTTAGATCCGCCCCTGTCCGGTGGGCCCCTTTCAAGTGAGTTTGTAAAACCCAGGACAAACAGACCTCTGTGAAAGAGATGCGTGGAATATAAAAAAAGGCCGCCGAGAGGGGGACAAGGAAGGGCAAACTGCCCAAGGCCTCGAGGTTTAGGGGGCCTCTTAAAGCCAGGAATTCCAGTATAAGAACTGAATTTTAACGAAACGCAACAAAGTATGCCTAGAAAGTTGTAAAACATTGTAAACAACTGTAAAAGAAATTCTGAGATGTATTTCAAGCTAATTTAAATGGCGTGGCCGGAAAGATTTTCTGCTCGCCTTGCTCGCAGTCTTAAAAGTGCTCTGTCACGTTTGTGTTTGTATCAAATGTGCACTATGTGCACTGCAGCATTGGATTTGTTCCACATTTTTTGCAGTCTTAAAGGAACTATGGTTAGAGAAAAGAGGATACACCCCAACAAATGAAGCAATTTAACCTTTAAAGGTGATAAAAACTAGCATCATTTTACTTTTCGTAGGTGCATGGTTTCCTGGTACGTACCATTTTTTGCGACCTGTGGTTTATGATTGGAGATGTCATACAAAGGAGCAGGTCCTCTTATGATCATCTTCTCCCGGCCCTTTTCTAGGGGCCCAACGTCCCTGTTTTATACTCATTCCCCGTTGATTGCTGATCCATGTAACAAAAATCTCTGCCAAACTGCCATGATAGGTTGTCATTTGATTCACAAAATACTGTAGTTTAATTTGACCTGACTTGGCTTGCCATTATGTATTTTCGTTTTATTTATGTATCTTGCCCTATGTCGCCTCTTCAAACAGGTCTGATTGCGCAAAAACCTATTTGAAAGCACTTTCGAATATGTGATTAATTCTTAAAAAGTCACGAATTAATCACAAATTAATCACTTCAATCACTAAAAAATCAAATTAATCACAAATTAATCACTCGTGATTTTTAATCTCGTACACCATTTTCAGTAGTGATTTGCCCCTCGGATTCTGCATCCCGCTATCTACAGACCCTTCTAAAAATGGCATACTATATTACTATGTTTAGCCAGGGGCATTGTGACCCAGGGGCAGGGTGCTGTGACCCCTCTATTTTCAAAATTTGAGGGATTTTCGGGAAAAAACTGTTATGTCGTAAAAGCAGTGATCATGCCCTCTTCTCGAATTTTGAAAAATGTGGGTGCTGCCAATATTTGGTTTGATGATTTCTCTTGAACCCTGATTGCAGTGGTGGACTGGCTACCTTGCACTGGGAAAAGCAATCAAAAGGGCGCCAAAAAAGTGGTGGCGCTAGAAGTTCAGGGTGCTAGGCAATTGGAGAGAAATCATGGACGCACAAACATTACGATTATGACAGGATATTCATTAAACATAATCTGGGCTGTTAGAGCATGAATCGTGCAAATAGTGATACCAGCATGAAAATGGATACACTGGTGGTAATTTCACACGTTGATGACGATGCCGAACAGACACAAGCCGAAAAATGCCCCAAGTGCTATTTTTAGACTGGGGTACTTGGCCCCAGTCCTCGAATTGGGCCAATTTCCATGTGTCATTACTGATTTATGAAAAAAGTGGGAAAGGGAAGATTTAGGTGCATTATCATATATTGAAATATATTAAGAGAAAAGGAAATGAAAAATTGCCCCTTTATGCTATTTTTAGAATATGAAATTGGTACCCGTGTCTCTATTTAGGCATTCTTCTCTAAATAATTACTCTTTTTGATATGAATATGAAATGTAGCTTTCTCCATTCTTTCAACGAACTGAAAAGCAATACGAAAAGATGTAATTGACAATCTTACCCCTTGATGCTACTTTTAGAATGGGGTACTGGAACCCAGTTCTCGAAATTGGGTTTTACCTTCATAGTCTAGGCTCTAAGCACAGTGTTTGACATGAATTGTGCAAATTGTGGTACCAGCATGAGAATGGGTACACTGGGGCAATTTGACACGTTGATAATGATGCTGAACAGACACAAGCTGAAAAGTGCCCCCAAGTGCTATTCTTAGACTGGGGTACTTGACCCCAGTCCTCAATTTTGGATTTCATCCATACGTAGTTAACTAAAGTTTAAAATGGGCGTGAATGTATAGGTTTGAGCACAATTCTACACGATAAAAGTATAACACAGCAACAATATTATCTTTTGATTCTATTTTTAGATTAGGGCTGTTGCCTCTAGGCCTCTATGTAAACACTCTTCTACAAGCCATTACTTGCTTTTGAAGTAAACATCATAGTATGGCTGTCTACCTTTTTGGTAAACCAAACAGTATTTTTAGAAAAAAGTTAGGGGTCTGGAACACCGGCTACTAAGAGCGAGATTAATAGACTAGCTTTTATAACAAAATGTCCCTAAAAAGTCAAAGGACATATATTAGGAAAGTTTTTGTAGATTATTTTCCGTGATTTCTCTAAATTCTCAACGTTCTAAGCGTTTCTGAGCAATAAAAAAAGACGTCATTTATTCATTAAACAGAATAGGAACAATTTTTACTTAAGTAGGTTAAGTCTTTGCTAGCTTGCAGATTATTGCTCGTGTCGCGATAAATAAGTACACAAATGGTACTTCCTGAGGCCGCACCATGGTTGCCGCAAAAGGTGAGGAAATTTTCGAATTTTAATGATTCAAGTTCGCTGGAAAATGTACTCATTGAATCAATTTTTTCTACCTTTAAAATACAACCTTACTCTCAGAATCAATATCCACATGCCGAATGCTGTCGGATGGTTTTTATCGATTTTCTAGAAATCATTCTCGTAATTCGTACACCCAAACCTAAAGCATTTTAATGTGGAGTCAACACAGGGAATATGCACATATTACGTTATAAATAATAGACAATCTCCTTCTCCCTAAATTATTATTATTTTTAACAAAATTTAAAAATTGGCCATAATAATGACCGTAAACGTTTATGTTTATCAAGCCATCTTTGAGTACAAAATATGTGAACGTTCCCATGCACAATTGCCAACACATCGATCATTTTATCCAATGCTAAATTAATTTTTCCAAAGTGTGAACCCTCTCAGTTTTTCGATATCAGGCACTCAAAAAAATTCGCATTAGTCATAAGTCAAAAACTAATATGGTTAGTCATAAGTAATTATTCAACTGAATAGCAATAATAATAATATAATAATAATAATAAAAAATTTGTATAAAGTTGGCGTACTAAATGAACGTCTGATAGCTAGAATATAAAGAAGCTAATTAAGGCCAACTATCTATAAAGAATTGGTGTAAAATGAATATATGGTACAATGTAAAATAGGTTTAAGGTATAATATTTTAAATAAAACCTAACCCAGCAATAAATATTTTACACAATCTACAGTCGCATTCTACAGGGTGTGCTCTCTTATATAAATGTTGCCAATGATTGGGACTCTCTTATACTGTGAGGTAGTGTTTGCCGCAGTTTTTGACCTAAATATCTCACAGTTTCTATACCATAAGAAGCTTTTGGAATGCAAAGATCATTTTTAGTTCGCAAATCATAATGTACATTTCTTGCTTCAAAAATCTCACTCATGAAACTAGGGTTCAGGTTATGTTTGGTTTTGTATATTTCTATCATCAAGTACTAAAGATTGCGTTGGTGAATCGATACTACATTATCCAATGTCAACAATGCTTCGTAGTCAGCATGACTGTCTTTTTAAGCAATCCTGAGTGCTTTTTCGTGGATTTTATTCATTTTAGCATTCAGATATCTGGCATGGAACATCCAAATTAGGGGGCAGTTGCTAAACTGAGCTATTATGAAGCTGTTCATTAGGAGACGCAGCTTATCAGATCCCATAAATGGCGATACTCTAGCAAGGGCATGCAGTTTTTGGCGGGCTCTTTTGCATAAATTTGAGACGGACTTTTGAAATTAAGATTTTTATCTGTTATCCCCCCTAGCAGTTTTTCTTCAGAGCTTTTTTCAACAATGACCTGGCCGATTTTGATCTTAATGTCATCTTGGTTTGTTCCAAAAGTAAGAAGATGACATTTCCCTGCATTCAATTTCACAAAGTTTTCTGGAAAACACTTTGATAAAACAAGAGCATCAGTTTCTAGCCGTTCTAAAACTTTATCCAATTGACAGTCAGCTGCAAAAATCGTAGTATCATCAGCAAAGTTACATACTGCAGTATCAGTTACCATTAAGAATAAATCATTAATATATAAATTAAATAGAAGAGGCCCAAGGACTGATCCTTGTGGTACACCTGCAAAGGTTTCTCGCCAAGTGCTGAATGAACCATTTAATTTTACCCTTTGTTTGTACCGGACTGGTAATTATAAATCAATAGTTGAGCATCTTTACAAAAACCGTAGGCATTTAATTTTTTTAATTTTTGAGAGATCCATTAGCAAGGCACCAACCACCCCTTTTAGTTGGCAAATTATTCAGTTAGCAAAAGTAATTATTCAGTTGGAAAAAAAGTCTGCGAATCATCTAGAACCACGCCTTCTTATCCCTCGACAGACATGGAATCTTAGAAGCCAGGTTTGTAGTGAGACTAGGCCTTCTCGGTACTGCTACAATTATGACCCTGCTGTCAAAAACACGAATATATTCTTTCAAAGATTTCGAAAAACCATGGAGAATTTGCTGATCGCCTTCAATGCATTAAACAAAAACGACGAATTGGGGAAACTTTGCAATTAATCTTAATTTCACTCAATTCGCAAAGATTGTTTGCCTTATGAAAGTTTTCAAGGTTTTTTTTGAAAAATGCAACTTGGGACAGGGGCGCACCGGGAAATTTCCCGGTGTCCCGGTGGGCCAGTCCGCTTCTGCCTGATTGGTGAGAGTTGGTATGACGGTCTATCGTGCGTTCGTGCGACCCGTGCGACACCCTGAATCCGCCCCTGCTTGTAACTATTAAAAAAACTCTGATGAACCTTTAGAATGAGCTTTTCTTATTACTTTGCAATTATCTTTTTACACCATCAAGTGACCATTGTGTCTTATAGCTGTGACACTGTTTTGGTTTGTTGATAATTTCTATAGACGGAGTTCTGACAATTGCCAAACAAAATTGTAGAAAAGACATTTAAAAAACATAACTTCAGCATAGTAGATAAAAGAAGTTTAGATCATTTAAGTATATTAGTTTTTAGATCAAAAACTGTGTTGTTCTCCTAATTTCTTCCAATTTTGAGGCATAAATTCATTCGTAAGTTTAGAGATAAGCCCAAATTTGTAAATGAAACAATAAATCAGATGAACTTGAATGATAGCTTTTTTGTCATCTTTTCCATAAATAGTCTTATTAACAATTTAAGGTATTTGAAAGCCAATGTGATTAACTAACAACCCCAATTGAACTTACAGATGAGTAAAACAAATGGGCAAATGAATACGTAATGTATGTTTTGATATGAAATATATGGAAAGGCCTAAATGCAAAATGTTTTCTGCATAGTTAGACTTGATAGAAAATTCCTTGCAGAAGTACACAAACTAACCTGGGTTCGCCCCAGGTTAAAACTAACCCAGGTTAGATTTTTCGTAGTGTAAACGCAAACTAACCCAGGTTCGCCTCAGGCTAGTCAACCCATCTCAAAAGGTGGGTTCGCCCTAGGTCGAACCTGGGTTAGTTTTGATAAAGTGTGGTGTAAACGCAAACCAGGGGCGAACTTAGGTTAGTTTCTTCAGGACGCATGCGTAGTGACAGAAATGTTGCCGAGTGCAAACAATGCAAAGTTTTCTCATACACGTCGACTGCCGCCATTTTGTTTATCCTTACCTTCAGTTTGTCTTTGTTACGCATGCGTCGATATCAAACTACGCATGCGCCCTTTATTCCGTTTACACTACAAAGTCGACAGTTTCCAGTGTAAACGCATCAGGGTTCGATCCGGGTAACTTTTAACCTAGGGCTTTAAAGCAAAGATGAAAATAGACCTTTAAAGACGTAAATGGCCTTTAAAGACATAAATGGTAATATTTTACCCATTTAATTCAAGAAGTTGACTGTTATTTTGTGAAGGTGTTTCTTTTTATGAAGGCGGTTTGAAGGAAGTTTAACAAGAATTTGTTACAGCAAAAATTCAACGACAATTGTAGGATTTATAAGGAGTGGCCAATGAAACGCGAATGTTTGAGAATGAAAGGAACGAAAAGTTTTGTTCATTGGAAGCAAAGGATTATTCTAAGTTTTAAGGGGCACGAGCACCCCTGCGAAAAAATAGCTACAACCCAGTGCAGAAGTTGATTGTGTTATTATGTTACAAATTAATGTATATATTCTGTCAGTAGTAACATTGATCGAATTCCATTCAATCTTAGAACAACCTGATGGTGTTGGATCCTGCTACAAGGTATATAGAAAGAAATCGGGCAAATGTCGAAAGAAGTTGAGCGAAGGAGGAAAGGCTATAAAACTGACATATTTGGAGTGCTGTAATGGACGAGGTTTAGCATGGAAAACCAAAAAGAAATGCACCAGGTGTCCTGTGAAAGGTTAGAATTTCGAATAACCCTCAATTTATCTTCTATTCTGCCCCTTTGAAGTGTAAATAGTATATATGATAATCTCGCCAAACAGTTCAGCTACAATTTTCATAACCTACTTCTCAAAGAATCTGTACAAGACACAAAAATACAATCTCATTGACATTATTGGTAGATGACAAAACCTGGATTTGTTAAGTATCTTTATGTTAAGTTAAATAAGTAAGAGTTGTATTGCCCTATTGATATTCTAAGCGAAAGACATCTTATTCAATTGTCTGATGTCGATGATTTACTTCGTTTCCAATTGTCTTGTACCCAGCTTTGGCCCTTCGTAACTACAAAACAAAGGCTACGCCATCGATCAAAGATGGAAAAGAGAAACGCTCCATCATTTAAAGAGAACAATTTCAAATTTTTCCAAGTATCTGGACCGATGGGAAAATGATTCTTTCCTCCCCACTATTTGTACTGGAACTGAATGAGACAAAACTTTTCCCACTTCAAAGGCGATAAAATTTTACATCTGTGTTATCCTTGTTGTAAGAATTTAGTCATGCCGGAATGAAATTAATATTTGCTAATGAAATCCATAGTGGTGTTGTTTCCCATTCACTATTTTGTTATAAAGGAAGTATTATATTGAATTATGTAGATAGTATTATGTAGATATATTGAATTATTAGCCACTTCTCCCAGTCAACTTCCCCTGTATCAAACGGTACTGCAATCTCAAACAATATTGATCTGAATCAAGTGGAGAGCTTAAAGACGGAAGATTTTTCTATTCATTAGCAAACCGGCATGACTAAATTCTCAATTTTTCTCAATTTAAAGAATATTCGCTATGTTCGTTGCCTTAATTTCATTGTAATGGCAAGAATTTTGCTCAAAATCCAGCAGACGAGCTGTTCGTACTTGCCATACCCATATTTTTCTTTTCAATCTTATGATTAATAAAAGTCGTACATTGACCATTGAAGTCAAGCATTTTTTTAAGGGGGCATTGAACTGTATTCAATGTTATTTTCATCCATATCTCTGTAGTGGACGGTGGTTGGGGCAAATGGTCCTCGTGGGGTAGCTGCTCGGCAACATGCAGCAGCGGAAATAAACAGCGAACACGAAATTGCGATAGTCCGCCTCCTAAAAATGGAGGTAAATTTTGTAGAGGTTTAAATAAAGACAAAGCCGCTTGTGACACTGGTATTCCATGCCCAAGTGAGTAATTGTTTGATTATTCTTAACAAAGTTTGTGACAATGTTTGTGATGATAGGCAATCTAGGTGTAAATTTGATGATTTTTTGGAATTGTTTGTTATTACTAATCACAACTATTTTATTAAACAAAAGATAGAAATAATGCATAGAGCACCGACGCTTATACATTGCTCTTCTTACAACATCGTAACCTCGTAATCTTCCTATTCTAATAAAACACATGTACCTATGTAATAAAAGTACCTGCAGGACCAATCCAAACACATTTCGCTGCAGGGGCAGCATAAGCCCAAAACCCAAGAAACACAGCAATAAAACAACTGGCTTTTGGTATATAATGATGCTGTTAGCTAAAACAAATTATCCAAATCAGCAGAAAATCAAATTGTAAGGAAAACCGGAGCATGCAGCATAGCGACAAAAAATTAAGCTATTAAGTAAACGGACAAGGCGAAGAAACTTTAAAGGCATTGAGTCATGGTAAATAGGCCTTCTCTAAAGGGGGTCATTTGAGTTCGGCGTGATCGCTGCTGTTTCATGTGATATTGGCATCCCTTGTTGACAACTTGCTATTAATGAAAATTGTTTTGTCAATCAGTACGAGGTGAGTTCATGTGACCAGTTCCAGGTCAACCAATAGCATCGCAGTCAATCATGACTCGGATTTGCGGATTTTGGCACTTAGGGTGTGCCCAATCCATTTTATCATGACTCAATGACTTTAAAGCAAGGCTTATTAAACTTAATGTGTAAGAAGGAAGAACCGCAGGATAGGCTGTCCGCCGGATTCTGTGAGTCTTGCATGATAGTGTTGTTATGAAAGATATACAGGAACAAAGCAATACGACGACGAGAATCCAATGTCACGAGATAAAATTTTCAAAACAAATTAAATTTAAGAAATATACTCACAAAATTTAAGAAATATCTTACAAAATTTAAGAAATATCTTATTAAACTTACAAACTTTATTTCCGTGTAGCTTAAAAGCTCGGCAGACCAAGGACTGTCTAAGCAAAGCAAACATGTTATTTTCACAGCGAAATCTGAAAAAAACTTCTTTTCCACAGCGAAACACAACAGTAATCTTCTTCTCATTTTTCAGTATCTGCAAACACGTTAGAAAGCAAGGCGTGTAAAGGTTTTATGGCTGGCTACTGAACACAAAAACGAGGCTATGCCTAATTTGGCTATGTGTTGCAATTATGCTATGTGTTGCAAATCTAAACCATGGAGATAAACAGTTTTGTGTCCCTAGATTCTATATTTGTGCGTTACAGTACCTATACATACATGTTTAATTTAAATTCAGTTATTGACGTAAACACACACAATTCGTTGAAATAACTCATTCAGGTTTTCTTGTCTTGATTCTTTGCAGTCGATGGTGGCTGGTCGGAGTGGGCCAGTTGGGGCCGATGCTCGGTTTCCTGTGACTTTGGCAAAGCTGAGCGTAAAAGAAATTGCAACAACCCAGAGCCAACTTTCGGGGGCAAATATTGCTCAGGCAAAAGAACCGATGTTAAGGATTGCTCTACTGGAATAAGATGTCCAAGTAATTTTTTTCTTGTCATCTTTTCAGCCTTAAGTAGCGAGCAAAGTTCATTTTCACTATCCTTCTTTCTTGATATTCATGCAGACGGTAGCTATCATTTTGAAGACTGCGTGTGACCATAGGCAGCCTAAAATGATATTCATTGACTGGCATGTGCACTCGATCAGTTGCAAAATGTTGATTATTGTTTCAGTTGATGGCAATTGGGGACCTTGGCAACAATGGTCGCAATGCACGAAGTCATGTGGGAAAGATGGAAAACAGATCAGATCCCGTAAATGTGACTCGCCTCCGCCGCAGTACGGGGGAATTCTTTGCAAAGGTGCATCGGAGGATGGCAAGAACTGCTTTATTAAGGAGCATTGCCCAAGTAAGTGCGTTTACATACCTTTGCAGTGCTTTTCCATCTCAGCTTCTAATATTGTCAGAAGACTGCCAAATATAAAATGTACGTTGTTCCTTGATTAATCATCAAAGAAATGTTGATTAATCATCCTGTCAAATTAAAGGGCGATGGCGTAAACTAATGGGAGAAATATTGTGCTTAAGTTATTTTATTTGCTAAAAGTGACAAACTCCCTTTAATCAACATTTCTTTAAACGTAATGGTATTAATTCACAGTAGCATAATTAGAACTATGGGGAAAATCTCTTGAGCTAGCCACCGATAACAATACTCTTTGCATAATAAATTTTGCTCATTAAAGATGGTCAAATGTCTATAATAAAATTTTCAACGCCGAGACATTTAAAGAATTATTTCTAACTTAGCATCTGACGTCGTGAAAAATCTTCCGACTCCACTTAACTAATTAAAAGTTTATACAACCATTACGAGCCACTGAATGTCACCAAGAAAAAGCCTTTTCCTGATCTTCTATATCCGTTCCAAGCGTCCAGAAGTCTCTCAAAGACGAATCCATTGAATCATTGCCATACCTATTCCATTTCCTTTCCGAAGTCTCCTGAAGCCTGCAAACAGGCTAAGTCATACCTCTTTTTAAAGTTAGAAACAAGAGGTCCAAAAAAGATGAAAGAAAACTACCTTTACAGCCTCTGGTATCTAAATTAATCGAAAAGGTAATGTGAAAAAAGGCTAAAATTTCTGCAATGGAAAAAACAAATTGTACAAATGGTTTCGAACGACCCAATCCATTGATACGTGTCTATCCTTTTCAAGCGATAAAATTCTCAAAGGATTCACTTCTTATTTCATTGAGGAGATGATTCTCGTTGATCTCAGAAAAGCGTTTGACACGATAGACTATGAGATGTTTCTTGGCAAATAGATCTTCTTTGGTTTTGACGGTGAACCAATCACAGTTGTTTACATCGTATTTGCAAAACCGAGCAACTTTGTTTAATGTAAATGATCAATACTCTAATCCCGGCAATATGTCGTGTGAGACTGGTACGCAGGGTATATTTCATTAGGATTCCCACAATGATCTGTGCTAGGTCCATTACTGCTTCTTTTCTATGTGAACGACATGCCACGAGCTGTCGATGGCGATCTTCTATTATATGCAGATGATTTATGTCTAATTGGTCAAGTTAAAAATGTACAAATGATAGAAGAAAACCCAATCAGAAAATTATACTCTGCGATTTGTTCCTAGGAAATAAGCTGAGGATTCACTTTGGTGGTGATAAAACGAGATGCATCCTTTTTCCGAGCACTAAAAAAATAAACATTTTAGCTAATATAGAAATAATATTAAGTGAAATATTAATATTATTAAAAATAATGATAGAAATAATAATATCATATAGTTAAGAAAATGGAAAGCAATATTAAGAATGGATTATCTTCATCCAGAAGTAGTACAGGTCCTTAGAAAAACTCGTGGTTATGTTAATTTTCACACAATCGGTAGAGCAGAAACTGACTTTGTCGATAGAGCAGAAAAAATTGGGACATTGCCAAAATGGGTTTTGTTTTCTTCAAATAGTAAATGGCAACTGGGGCTCTTGGAATTCATGGAGTCAGTGCAGCACAACATGCAACGAAGGGCAGATGACAAAGAAACGGCAGTGCAACAACCCACAACCTCAACATGGAGGGAACCATTGTATTGGCAAGGCTGTGGAAACCGATTTTTGCCAACTTAGTAAATGTGAGTATAAATACTAGGTGACGTCACCAGTATAATCGTGATAGTTGCATGGCTAACTATTTGTTCAAAGCAACGATACATTGAATTGGTGATCTAACTGACGGACTCCATCTTGAAGGTGCAAGTTCCTGCAGGTATTGTTGACTTTGTATGGGAGATGTTTACATAAGACGCAGTCAATTGAAAAGAGTTAAAAGGAAAAACAATTCTGTTCAGTTTTAACAATCATAGAACGTTTTGCCATTATTTTTAAACTTGTGTGTACTTCATTTAACTAGGAAAATAAATAGGTTCCGTAGGAAATTCAAAACTTTTTTCTTTAAAAACAATTGTTAACCATAGGAGCGCTATTACCTTTGCAAGCTTATATAAACTTCAAAGGAATTAGCTGTTTTCAATAATTATCTTAAAAACAGGAGGTGCTCTCCCCTCGATTTGTTGTTTTGGATGGGGAAATTGAAATGAAATGGTCCCGTTAAAAACTGCTGTATGGTTTGTAAGGCTTATTCCAGATATTTTGTAGGACCGAAATTTTACACAGAACAAACGTACAAGACACATTAATCTTCGTTCTGAAACGCTTGGATATTTACTATCAAATAACCAACTGTACTTTCCCGAAAATTTGAGAGAGAAAATCAGTGAAAACATTGACAATAAGTAAATCATAAACTTTATCCACAGGTGGTGATAAAAAGGGAGGACCTGGGACAGGTGGTTCTGGTACATCTGGTGGATCTGGTTCTGGTGGATCTGGTTCTGGTGGATCTGGTTCTGGTGCATCTGGGTCTGGGTCTGGATCTGAGGAGAATGGTTCTGGGGGTAGTGGAGGGTCAGGGTCAAAAAAGACCAATCCAGATGTTACTACTGAAAGTGGCGAATCTGTTACGACAGTAAGACCTACCAAGACAACAAGAGTAACAACAGTTCCACCTGGAACTGGGGAAGGCAAGTCACATTTATTTACTTTGCTCCAATTGTTACTGGCTTGTGACTTTATCTGCTTCTATTTCTTGGCTTTGTAAGGCCCTAGTTGGCAAAAGCCTATATGTTTCTGCTTCTGGGTGGGGCAAGTATCAAAAAAATCTTACTGGTATGACCAAAACACTAAAAAGATTTTCAAAAATAATTGTTTAGATAAATGTCAGCTTAAAGTCTTTTGTAAAGGATATTTCTATAAAAACAGGTATATCTAAAAAAGAGTGCTATCGTCTACCTATTATTAAGCAAAATTAATCAAGTATATCACAGTAAATTATTCAATTACATAATGTTACTATTCGTACGACAAAACTCTAAACTTTGCACGGAATATAATTTATGAAATCATTGTGAAAACAAGCAGTTAATGGCTTCCACATTATGTCTATTAACTGACACTTGCTTTAAGGGGATGGAGATAATTCTAATGGTGGCAAAAATGGCTCAGGATCAGGTGACCAATTTGGATCTGGTGACTTGTCTGGATCAGGGGGCACTAATGGATCAGGTGGTGGCAACCTAGTGGGTTCTGGTGACAAAGGAAACAATGGTAGCAGAGAAAAGAAACCAGTGATAAATGACAAATTAAAAAGCTTGTCTCTAGCAGATGATGAAGAAGTATCAGTAGAAAGTCCAAGCAATCAATTTCAGAAAGCTAAACGTCACAAAAGTAAAAGAAAGGGACATTAGAGACTGAAGAACAAATTTTTGAACACAAATATATCCAGCATAAGAAATGCTAACTGTAATTTTTATTAGCTGTAACAATATAGAATTTGTAGGTTTTGTAGCAGTATGATAATATTGACCTTTGTACAACAAGAAGTGTCTCTCTATTAGACAATAATATATATCTGTATTCCAACAAAAGAGCAAGATATGTTATTGTATTTTTCAACTTGTTTTTTTGAACTTAAAACTACAAATTGTACTTCTTTGCTTCTGAAATAGGTGATATAATGAAATATAATCCAAAAATGTGTAGCATTTCTAAAAGAAAGCATTATTGGGTCTTTTTACCTCTCCAGAATCTCAGGTTTCCCTTCTTTGCTGTTGTCAAACCTCCAGCAGGTCTTCGGAGTTTCTTCCTTTCCATTCTATGTGCCTTAGTCTCCTCTTCTCTTTTCTTCTCTTTCTCTGTCTTCTTCAATTTGAAAGTAACCTCTTTACATCCTAGGCTTGCCCCTTTTTCTTTGATTATCTCATCATCATCTTTGCTGAGAATTTCTGAAAATGACATACCAGCATTTCTGGATTTAATTGTTTCTCTCAACTTTGCAATTGTGCTAAATGATTCTCCATCTTTAAGTTCAAATAGCTTGGGCTGGTTTTCTTCCCGTTTGGCTTGCTTTTGTTTTTCTTTCTGCTGCTTTAATTCTCTCCAAATATAATCAGTATCATCTTCTGAACTTTCATACTCATTAGTATGGCCAGTCTTTTTGTTTGTTGGCCCAATTTCATTTGAATCTCTGCTTTCTCTCTTTTGTCTCTCTTTGTCATGCTTAGAGATGACTGGATGCAGCAGTCTATATTCATCACTATCCTCGTTGATTTGGAAGTCTGGATTTTTAAATAGGGCAGAAAATCTACCATCTTCTAATGCATTCAAAAATTCTCCCTTCTTTTTGCTTTTTTCCACATCCATTATTTTTTCTGCAAGACCTCTGTTAACTTTTGGCAGTTTCTTAATAGAAATTCTTTGTGATCGTTCATCATCAATTTTACTTTTAATTTTTTCCTTGCGATATCTATCATAAGCAAATGGATCCACTATGGCCTTCACTTGGTGGTAGAGTCTCATGTCCATAAAATACCCATGCATATAAGCTCGCAGCATATTTGTTCCAATGAGGTTTGTGAGTCCAAAACTCTCCAGTTCTTGCTTTGTAATAAATTTATAATCATCATATATCAGGGTCTCATTGCTTTCCTCTAATTCCTCTGTGATGCTGTCTAGGAAGGAGCACCAAGTTGGTGCTTGGCCAAGCTCTGGAATGTAGTATATTCCCATTCTTTCAGCTTCTGCTGCAACAAATATCAACCCAGAACCAGGATATAAACAAAGATCATTGACTGGTGCATCAGGCTCTATAGCAGTAAAATTTTTCCCAGTCTCTCTCTCCCAAATTTTTATAACTTTTGAATCTGCTGACAGAATATTTGATGTTTTATCATGAAATATTATCTTTTTGATTGGGAGTCCATAGTGGTGGTCTTTAAAGTGTATTGGCTGTCTTGACCTTATGTCATATAGCAAAATTTGCCCTGATGCAGTGCCAACAGCCATTTCTAACCCATTCCTAAAAGCAAGGGAAGTGATGGCTGGGTTTGAAGAAATACCACTTTGACCAATGTCTAACAGACCAACCTTTGATCTGGACCTTGGATCATAACATTCTACTCTACCTTCTGTGGAACCAGCAGCAACTAGCTGATGAACAGGATTTATTTCACAGACATTTAGCTCTGTTGAATCGGTATTATATGGTTGCAGGAATCTACCTTGCTCTAAATTGAGCCTGAAGATCTCTGGACCTGAACCAACAACTAACAGGTCGCATGTTGGTTGGTGGTAGGCCAGATCTCGCCCAAATCTTGGGATGCGTGTTCGATAATAGCGACCGTATTGTGCATGAAATTCTATATAACGATCGGATTGAAGAAGGACTAGTTTTGAATAGTCTTCAGACAGGATGTCAAACTTCACAGCATCTGCATCAAAGCATCGTTCAAATTTTAATGATAGCTGGCCTACATCAAAACATTTTATTCTGGGCTTGTAAACACCGCTTGCAAGAATGTAGTTACTATCTTTTGATACTAGGATATTAGAAGAAGCTGTCGGCATTGTGAAATCTTGGATCAATTCAATTCGTCTGCGGATGTCAACATCTTGCTTCAAAAGCTGTCTTCTCTTCCGTTCTGAAAGCCATTCTGGCAAAGACTTTCCCGAAGAAAGATTGTATACCTTGACGTCGTTTAACTCTGATACCTGCATACTGACAAATCAAGTCGCTTTATTAGTTTAAACCTCCATCCTCGAAACACAAGTCAATCCACGTGCATCGCGATCGATAGCAAGACGATACTCTTTTTGTTCAACCTCGTATTGATTAATTATTTTTTGGCTCTGAGGCTTGGCGGCAGTTTCAGTCTCGTTGTTTTCATTTTCGAAGGCACTATAACTGGGTGATCCACGTGCGGTGATGTAGAGAACATTGCGATGAATAATGTTACTGTTTATTTATTGAAATGTGACGAAAGAAGCTGGATTTCAGCTGTTCAACCAATTGATCTGCTTTTGTTATGACATCTTGTTGTATATAAGGCTTGCACTTGGCTTTCTACCAACTGAGAACTCGTTCACATCAATCTAATACCTGCAGTTTTAAAATGACGACGAAAGAAATACTTGTCCTTGTCATTATTTGTGAAATATTTATTTTCTTAAGGACAGAGTGCTTGCTGTACCCACGAGAATCAGAGAGTCGCGAAGTTAAAGATATCAGTGGTTTGTGGAGTTTCAGAGCTGATAATTCTACAAACAGAAATCTTGGATTCGAAAAGGAATGGTGGCAAAAGCCACTGCAACAGGTACAAAAGCCGGCTTCAACAGGCATTTTAATTTCCTTTGTTAACACTAATTATCTTTTCATGTGCCCTAAACGTGCCATGATCAATCAGCCAGTTTTAACCTTTTATGAATATTATGATCAATGCTGTGCCAGGGTGTGGAATCAGTGTGAATAACGCCGGAGATATCCGTTGTGGACTTCATTATTCCCTTAGCGTACTGGCGTAAAACGAAGAAAAGAGAATTGTGATGCCATAAAGGTAGATGGGTTTGCTGCTTGTGACAATGATATAATATAGCTGTTCAATTTTCTAACTCGGGAAAAAAACCAATACAAAATGAAGGGTATAAAGCTCCCTCACAGAATAACATGCCATATGCTATGTTCCCACATCATCGCGAGCGAGTTGGGCCGTTGATGCATCACCGCAAATCGCTCAACCTACCATAAGTTTCTAAAATAAAGGGGTCATTAAGGGATTATCAAACAATAACCCCCAAATCTGATTGATGATTGGTATGGAATGGTCAGGAAAACCCTCTTTTTCCCACTAATAGCTGATGCACCAGACCTACCTAATAGCATAAAAAAACTCTAAAAAGCCTAAAATATACCTAAAGGTATGAGAGATTTAAATAATGCCGTAAAAGAAACCCAAAACACAAAGCTATACTGAAAAGGCATTTGACATAAAGGAAGACACAAAATAAGGGAGGGCTGGGAAAATAAACAGCATACTTATTTCAAAGATAATGATTTCCATAAACCAAGTTATCCTTGAGGGTACTGTATGAAACAGAGAGGTTTCAGTGACAAGCAAAGTTAAAGAAAAAACAGGCAAAAATGCTTCAGCAGATGGAAACAGACAGGCAATTTAACATGTCATTCCATGATAAATCAATGTGTCTGAGTTTTTCTGTTTGGAAAATAAGTTTCTCACATTGATTGGCCTAATAAAAAAGATGAATTGAGGTGAACAGGTCCAGTCCAATATGGGTTCTAGCTAGAAATTGTTCTCTACAAGAAAAACATTTATCACTAGACACTTAGTTAATCAATCCTGAATAAAACTTTAGGTACACGCCTGTGCTCTCACATGTAGTTGTGTGCCTCCCACTGAAAGCCCTGCTCTGGTAGATGGTCATGGTTACATTGCTATCAAAATTTCTTTATAACCCTCTTTGGGCATTCTAATTTTTTTGTCTGATCTGAAGATATTAAATGATTGTTACATGTTATCCTAAACTGGTTTAAGTTGCTGCAAGTCTTTAGTCTTAATTCTGAAATTCGAATTTACCCTGATGAATTTGATCTGATTCCTTTTTTGTAGACTGGTGATGTAATTTTAATGCCAGTTCCATCAAGTTACAATGACATTACTCAAGACTGGAAGCTTCGTGATTTTGTTGGATGGGTTTGGTATGAGAGAGAAGTTTTTATTCCATCCTCATGGAAAGACTCAGAAAAATTAAGAGTTGTCCTGAGATTTGACAGCTGTCACTATAATTGCATTGTGGTAAGTTTACACCTTTTCTTCACTGACCCGTAATTTGACTTTTGTAAGATGAGATAGAAATACAGAACCAAGTTAAGTTGTAAAGCTTTGGTTGTGTTGTTCTTTTACTCTTGCAACATATCCTGTTTATTTATTTTGAACTTTTGTGTCCCTTTGTAATTGAACAGTTTGAGTGATTTTTACAGATATTGCTATAATTTATTTAGCTTTTCACTAACCTATGCATTTGACTTGGCTTCATTCACATTTAGTTTCTGAATGACAATAAGCCAACCAAATTTCTTTTTATATGGAAGAAGTTGACTATTTTATCTTAGCCACTAGAAACCCTTCAGAAGGGGAAAACTATTTTGCTAAAGGGATGTTTCCAAATCCTGTTTGCAAAGTTGGTGACCCATCCTTTATTTGCCAGTAAGTTTTAGAATTTGTTTGCTGTCATCCAGTCAGGGGCGTAACTTGACCAATAGGTTTGGGGGGGGGTGAAAAGGGTGTCTGCCCTGCAAATGTGAGTGGTGCCCTGTAGACCTCTAAGCAAAGATTTCTCTACCTGAGCGTAAATTCTATGTCAATTTTCTTTTTCCTTTGGAATAAGGCCTCTAATCTACATCTTAGATTATTTTTGTGGACTCAACCTTGACCTCATAAACATCATTGCTTATGCATCAATCATCATTGCATCTATTGGTTATACCGACAGTTCGGTAGAAATGCTTTTGCTAATAACTGAGCTCTTCCTGACATACCTGTTCTGTTTGCTTGAATGCAGTGTCAGAAAGGGAAGTTCGTCGCAAATATGATACTTATATTTCAAAATTCCTAAACGCCCCTTACGAATTCCAGAGGAGGCATTTCTGCGCTGCAATAAAATTATTTTTGGTGCCCTGCGAAATCTTCAATTGCCATGCGAAATCGACTATTTTTTAGATTGGTAGTGTCATACCACCCTCACACCCCACCGGATTTTCGCCCCTGCATCAAGTCCTGGTAATAAAAAGGTTGTAGGTGTGCTGGTAGTCACACACCTTGAAAATGTAAGCTGTGGGCTGACGATCCATAAAACGGAGACCTTTAGATTTTTATGAAGTTGCACAAAACAGCGTAAAACGCAGATTATTGGGGCCAATAGGGTGTGGCTAAGGGTGTGGCTAAGTTTTGAATGGACCTCTTTTGGACGGACCAAAAATGTTTGACATTGTTTTCAGGGACGTTTTCAGTGTAATTTGGCCTAACTACAGCTGCTACTGATTATGTATAAATCTAACCAGAACATATCAAACCTGGCCAAAAGAAAACAGAGTAGCAAACCTGATAACAGGGAATTTTTTCTACATGTCCACCCTATGGAGTAAATATAGTATTTCTTTGTTAATGGGGGAAATGGAGTGGAATGTAATTACTGTGTTTGTAAGTTATTGATTGATCCTTAAAAGGCAAATCAACTGTTTCTAGCTGTTTCTTTTCATAAAATGCTGTTTTTAAAGACTTGATCTCTAATCATGTTACATATTTCATCTATTTATTAAGAAATTTACTTCACAACAGTAATACCAACTGTAAAATATGCAATAGCTACATGGGCTACATGCAGCGAAAGCCTTTTTGAAGAACTAGAGAACATCCATGTGCAGGACGCAAGAGTTATTAAGAGGATTTCACCAAATGTGAAAGACAGCGAGCTGTTAAATGAATCAAAATGGGACACATTAAGCTACCAATATAAAAGACGAATCCTCATATTTATGCAAAAGTACAAACTAAAAAGCCTGCCAGGTTTCTTTGATACCCTTTTTGAATCAAAAACGGAAAAATACAGTAGCCGGTGGAATCATACACTCAGGATTCCTCAATACCGAACAGAAATTGGCAGAAACTCGATTTCCTTCAGAGTTCCTGCGTTGGGAATTCATGAAGAATTAAACCATCGAAACGTTTAAAGAACATCTTGAATATGAACGAAAGATAATAAATGCAATTTCATTTACTAAAGGAACGGGGCAATTTTTAAACAAAGATTCTGATTTTCTATATATTTAACTGTAATTGAAACAATGGAAATAGGTCTTTACTTTTGTTGTATAGTATTCTCTGTTTTTCTTTAGACAGGAGGTCCACATCAGCTTGCTTTGCTGCTAGAAATTAACCTCCTTTATATAATAGATATGTATGTAAATATGTATTTACAAATTAAATTTAAAAAAAGCTACTTTCGAGAAAATATAAAGAACTTGAAAGAAACAAGAGGAAAAAATAGACAGATTATAATGTCGCGCTGCTTGTACGATGAAAATCACGCCTGGGAATTTTAAGGCGCGGTGGAGGCGAGCGCGTGCGATCGCACGCCAAAATATAACCAAGATTGCTGTCATTCCTGCAAACCATTGTCTCTTGTTTTTTAAAAATTTTTTATCAAGGTGTAAGTTAATTATGGGATATCCTTATAGCTGGTTTTAAATGAATGAGAATAAAGTTGAATTTGATTTTTTTTAGTGGATGAATGGTGAACATGTAATGAAACATGAAGGTGGCCATTTGCCATTTGAATCTGACGTCAGTGACATGGTTGATTTTGGCTTAAAGAATCGCATAACTGTTGCTGTTAACAATACTTTGACTCCAACAACATTGCCTCCTGGAAGCATTGAATACATGAATGATACTAAAAAGTAATTTTCAGTACAGACATATGATATTTTTTAGTGATTTATGTACAAAAATTTATGATTCACCGATACTTACCTGAGAGGGGAGTTCTATGAGTCATCAGCGAGGAGGAAAGGAGTTGCTCAATAAAAGTGAGCAAAGGAGTTGGGGTTGGGCCCAGATTTCTAAGTTGGGTAGGCGTACAACTCCTGCGTCTGGCTGATGACTCATAGAATTACAACCAACTTTCAACATCCCTTTCAGGTAAGTATTGGTTAATTTAAAATTCTATTTCGTCATCAGCCTATGTCGCTAGTTCGCCAAAAACTGGTCGGCTCCTGCGCTGCGCTCTTTCTCGTACAGCTGCCTATAGACATAGACTGATGACAAAATAAAAAAAGGAATGTTCATAGAAGTACCAAAGAAGAAAATATTTACAAATTATGTAACGTAAACAAAACATGAACCAACGAGCTGATACTGATATCGAATGGTTAAATATTATTTTTCTTGAATCTCGAATTAGAAGGTATTTCAAATTGTTGCATTCGAAAATTTTCGTTTATTATCAAAGAAGGGTGCAGACTCTAAATTGTTTTTGCTAACCTACATTATTTTCCAAAACGGATTTTTCTTGAGATATCCCTTCAAGTCTCCATAAGGATTCTACTTGAGGCGTTTTTCAAAGACCTTGCATCTTTTTTGAGTTATTTCCTTACATCACTACTTAGCTAGCTAGCTACTGTTACCAAACTGTTCAATTCCAAATTCCCCTCTCAAACCTGAATGATATTTTCTGCCTCCTGTTTTCAGATATCCACCTGGCTACTTCATCCAAAACCTGCAAATGGACTTTTTCAACTATGCTGGTATACACAGGCCCGTTCGGATTTACACCACACCAACTGCATATCTCTCTTCAATCACCATAGACACGGATTTTGAAGACAAAATGGGGTTAGTGAAGATAGAAACCACTGTAGCGGCAATGGAAGATGTGGAGGAGGAAGACCTGTCAGTACAATACACTTTGTTTGACGCAAACGATGAGAAAGTTGCATCTGCTGAAGGAACTGCACTCTTTAAAACAATGCTTAACATATCTGAGGTTATGCTATGGTGGCCCATTGGAATGAGTCCCAAACCTGGTTATCTTTACACACTCAAGGTTTGTGTAGATTACGGTACTAGGCTAGTGAGAGTATCGTGCAAATCCTTGCAAAAACTTTAAATTTGGTTCTAATTATTGCCAAATTGTTCTAAAATTTTCTTAAAAATGGAGTGTTGATGTGCGGAAGTGGCTCGAAAAAAGTATAATGTAATAATTTCACCATCTGATTGTTAAGAACTTTTTTCTTTAAAAGTTCAACAGCCCAGTGAAAATTTTCACTTTTAACGAAACTTTAGGCTGATGTTTTCTATAATATATAAGAAATGTTGCTGGAAAAACAGCTTGATAAATAAGCAAGTTTCAGAAATGATAGCCCTTACATTCCATTTTTTAAATGGTCACCTGGTCTTCAGGAAGAGACGAGTTAGGTAGTAAATATATGGTCAATTGCAAGCAACTATGTGTGAGCTAGCCAATTTGCATAGCATGTTAAGTCGTTGATTATAAAGTAATGTTATTCAGTTTAATGCTACGTATCGACGTTTCACGACCTTATTTTCGTTCTAGGTGACTACCCTTTGCAAAACTGGCACTTCAGATGTGTACCGACTGCCAATTGGCATTCGAACAGTGGACATAAAAGACAACAAGTTTCTTATCAATGACCAAGAGTTTTATTTCAGAGGATTCGGCAGGCATGAAGACGCAAACGTAGGCCATCAAACTTTTCATTTGATTGTTTACCTTCCCGTGTCTACTGCTGATGCAAATTTGTAAAAAAAAATTTAAAGAAAGTGATGTCAATCGATGACAATATATTCTTTTGATGTTGCCAAAATGGCTAAACTTTACCTTGCAAATGGGGTTCTTTAAAAAGTTCATTTTTTGATCCTGCAGATTAGAGGAAAAGGACTTGATCTACCGATTCTTGTGAAAGATTTTAACATGATGAAGTGGATGGGAGCCAATTCATTTCGCACTTCTCATTACCCTTACGCTGAGGAGGATCTCTTCCTGGCAGATCGTGAAGGCTTCGTTGTTATTGACGAGAGCCCCGGTGTTGGTATTGAAGAGTAAGTCTAGCCATGTTTTTGCTATTTAAAACTTAAAATTTTTTGTATTCTTATTTGTTACGACTAAGCTTCAGAAATTAGTTTCTAGAACACTCAAAAGCGATGCATATCGCGCAACCGCCCTTTTTGACTCCTACGTCCGGAATTAAAGATACGGAGCTGCAAAAAATATCTTCCTTTATGGGAACCTGGGTAACTGGACATAAAATTTTCTGTACTAATGTATTAATGTTCTTCGCTTTAAGAAAAAGTGGTAATGAAATGTGTATGTTTAGCATGGCATTAGACGCAAAAAGTGATTCCGACACCGCAATTATAGTCAGCGTTCATTTCACTGCCTTGCTACGTAAAACATTTACTTTCAGTTATAAGTTTTATAGTATATTTTGTATAACAACACTTTTCAAGCAAATAGTCGTCAAATTTTGACTCTAACTAGAGACAACATGGGTACAGAAAATCTACGACACCATTTAAAAGTGATGGAAGAACTGGTTCACCGAGACAAAAACCACCCATCTGTTGTCATGTGGTCAGTTGCTAATGAGCCAAAATCGCAATACCAGATTGCAGAGGCCTATTTCAGGTAAGCCCCCTAAAGCTTTACTTCGTTGCTTTGTTTAAATCTGTGTCAGTTTTTTTCTGTATCAGTTGTTGTAGTTGTTGGTACAAGAAACCAGTTATTCGCTCTTGATTTGGTTATAGAACTGACACCGTTCTTCAGAAGTTCATAATTGTTTAGCCAAAATTCCCTGCGATTTTGTCAAGCTGGATACGAAATATGACTTAGCACTTTCATTGCAAACCTACCTTTCAATTCAATACTCTTTGCAAGATTAACAAAGAGTTTTGATGTCGGCTTATCTCTCCCCCCCTTTCGGATTCAACCTAGCTCTTTTAACGCTCCCGCTCCAATGGGCTCCGACGCAGGATGGAAAGTGGGGGGGGGGGCAGGAGAGATTTTAACAATCATAACGAAAGATTTTTAAACAAGCTCTGTTGTTTTGTAAAGGAGTGGCACCCCGGCCCTCTTCGTTGGAGACCCTGGCACCATATATGTAAAAAAATGGTTCAGATACACGTTATACTTATCGGCTTGTCCAGTGGTCTTGAAGATTTTCGCATAAATTTGTATCTCCCTCCTAACAGGTGTTAAATATGTTCTGGCCAGTATGATGTGTTTTCACGCGTAACAGCACAATGTAACAGTTGAGATTCTTCTGAGCGCTCTTATCCTGAAATCTGTTCATTGCTCTACTTGGCATGTGATTATTTTTCTCTTTATCTTATTTTATGAACATATTCTCCCATTTTCTTCAGGAGTGTCATTGAATATACTCGTAAACTCGACCCAAACAGACCAGTCACATTTGTTACTAACCAAAGAGCTGATAGTGACAAAGTTGTAAGTATTTAACCAATGTATCAATTTCCAATGCATCAATTTCTTCGATAATTTTGCATCGTATTTATGTAACCCCGCTGCTACTAAAATTCTTACATCAGCAGTGCTATTCGATATGCAGATTTATGTTCAGATAAAAAGCATAAAAGCAGTAACTGTCCTATATTTTGAAGCATTGCTTGCTAATGCCAACCATCAGTCCTGGCCATTAGATTTTTGTGGTAGAACTTTCAGTAGTTTCACACTAAAGGAAATTCGACTTTGTCGTTTTCACCATATTATTAACACAAACATCATTACAAGATTATTATCAACCACAACTCCACAACTACCCTCATTTATTATAATAACAAGGCTTTTTATACTAGTCACAGTGCGCATGTGCAATAACAACAATAGTGTGATAAAAAAAATATTAATCCTACTGCATTTTACAGGGGGACAGTTAACAGCTCTTCTTGTAATTATACAGCTATTTAACGTTAATTAGAATATTTAATGTAGGCAATGAATTGCCCATATATTCACTGTGTTTCGAAATCCTGAATGCAAGGCAATTCATCATTAGTCATCACTTTAATACGACGTCTGCTGCATATCTGATTTTTCTCTTAGGTAAAATACACTGACGTCATATGTGTAAATAGATACTACGCTTGGTATCATGACCCTGGTCACACCGAACTCATACAGCGGCAGTTCGATTCTGCGCTGACTGACTGGTTTGAAACTTTCAAAAAACCGGTTCTTCAAGCAGAGTATGGAGCAGACGCAGTGCCTGGACTGCATCGGGTGAGTTGATGCACCGAGGCATCACATACAATGCCTCCCTAAATAACTAGGATCACCGAGAAATTGGCATTGTATTTTTATTTTTTAATTTCTTTACAAAAATATCGCTACTTTTGCCCCTTCCTTAAAGAAAAATGCTGATAGTTGAGGCAAATATCATACAAATAACATACGTCGTTTTATAGAAAACAAGCATTGTTCCCCTGGGAGAAGAGGGAAAGCTGAATTCGTCCTTGAAAACTGACGTTAATTTTCCCAGACATTTGATACAGATTGTGCCTGCTAGATATTTTAGTCCCATTTCGCCATTCGCTCTTCGTTTACCCTCATGCAGAAAAACCTCAGCTACTTTTAAACGAACTTCAACCTGCTCCAAAGAGAGTTCCGTGTACTTTAATTAGCTCAGCATTTTCATGACAGAAGAGAGAAACCCGCTTTCATTCAGTTCTTGTAAAACTTGTAAATGAAATTTGATATTTTTGAGTACTTCTGTTTACAAAAAATATCAATTTGGAAAATGTAAATCAAATTTAGTTGTGTACCTGTGTCATAAATTACAGAGTTACTTTTGTAGAGTGCAAGGGTGACTCTTTTTTTAAATACCTCCATAAACATCAAACATTTACCAAATTGTTTTTTTCACATATCAACTGTTTCTTGACAGTTAAAACTGACTAAGATCTATGAATGCATTTGCTTTAGGAGCCGTCAGTCGTATTCAGTGAAGAATACCAAGTCGACACAATTAAACAGTACTTTCCAGTTTTCGATAAGTACAGAAAGTCATTTCTTGTCGGTGAAATGCTTTGGAACCTAGCAGACTTTGCTACTAAGCAAGGTAAGATATGCTTATCATGAATGTTTCTCAGGGATATGTTTATCTCTGGTTTACCAGTCCCGTATTTTAGCTAAAAAATTGTTTTCTAAATTTCCGCTTCATTTCGCAATGAGTTGTTGTCAATACGTTTACGAACTTTAACAGAAAAAATTATATGAAATTGATTACACAATATAAAGTTGATTTGCATTTAATTTTGGTAACAATAATGTCGCCGGTTGTTTCTTAGACCTAACTCGCGTTGGTGGAAACAAGAAAGGTATCTTAACGCGTAATAGGCAACCCAAAATGGCTGCTCATGTTCTGCGGGAACGTTACCTCAAGCTAGCTAAAGAAGAGTCGGACGAGTGGGACAATGACATCATCCGTAGCCTCATTCGGGACTAAAGCAACTAGCAATATGATTGATAGGTGGTGGCAACCTCTAGTTCGAGCAACTGTACCCGACCTTTCACAAAGAGATTTTGGTTGCTTCATGTAATTATGACTGAAGCAAGGAAATTTTAAATTATCAAATTCTACTATATGTAACTTAATTCTTTCATGCAAATTATTCTTAAATTATTAAATATTATATTTTATTGCAAATTTAGTAGTCTTGTTTGAAATAAATGTTTAACATTTTGTTGAAGTTAAATATATAATGCTCTATTTCTCGAAAGTGCAAAAGCCTGTCGTTGTCATCGTTTTTATCAAATGCTTGTTACATTCGACTGTAACAAGGAATTCTAGACGCTTATTTGTTTTGAGAAAAGCTGAGCTATAGACACTGCCTACATTAAATACCAACAAACTCAGTGCCAAAAATTTCGTCGGATTAAGTTTCGGTGGAAAAAATTTAGGCCATCTTTTTAAATTTCGGTGTAATTTCGGGACCTTGAAAAATTTGACTGTAGGAGGACTTTCTCTTTCTGATTTCATTTCTAGCAATTCATGGAGGAAAACTAATTGGAAGCGTTTACAGCTGGCAATATTTTCGATCGCCAGTCACAACGAGGGGATTATAAATTCTGATCGATTCTGAGCCGAAAATTGAGGCCTTACATAGAGTAGGATTTTTCAATTTTGACCATATATACAATAAGAGTATGAAACGTCAGAATAAGGGTACAATGGAACAAGATTGAAATATATATCAGGGAATATATCAGGTTAAGAAATGATATATATTTTCCAACTTGTTATTTTGGCCCCTTGTTTTTTATTTTTGATACTCTGAAGAGAGTCAAAGAAAAAAGCTTTTAACATGTTGTGAAATATATGGAATATGTCTACAATACGTGGAATATGCGCCAGAGTGTACAGAGCAGCCGAGAAGTCCCATGTTTTCTTCAACAAAAGCTCCTAAAAAAATCAAATTGCCGCTTACCGTTGCCACTGATGTGACCAGTGAAAGGCTGAGCAGTTGAGTGTGTACTTACCTGCCATTTTTAGGCTTGACTCGACCTCGATCTCAAATCTCATATCCATCACTGCACTGAAATGGAGGCCACAAACAGTGATGCATTACTACTTGACATGTGATTATCCCTGGCATTGCGAATACAAAATCAAGCTAAAAAGCATGGTTAAAACACAAATACAGTCAAATAAATATATCAATAAAAGAATTCCTTTTTAAATTTCTATGATAAGCTACTCTCCTGAAATCAGCAATGTATTGGCTAAAAACCTGAACAATATAAAGAAGTATATTTTTCGTGAATATCTGCATGGAATCCAAATCACATCTTTTTTCTTGCTCGTATCATTGCTTTTGTTAAGAAGGCTTTATAAACATGGCTTTTTCTGCATACTTTATTAATTGTATCAACTTCTGTTTCATGTCTAAATTAGTACAAGCATCAATTAGGATATGCTGATTATGTCTTAATTCTTTTATGCAAGATATTCTTAAATCATTAAATTTTAAATTCCATTTCAAGATCATGTTCAAAAAGCATATAAAACTATATTGAAGTTTAATACTTAAAAATCTTTCAGAATTTCAAAACCTATCGTTGATTTCTCTTATATTAGATGCTTGTGACATTCTACAGGAAGGATTCTGGACACTTATCTGTGTTGTAGAGACAAGATTCTGAGCCAGAGACAGCATAAATTGACGTTTTCCTTTTTTATAATAACCCAAGAAATCTATTTACAATTTACGTGACCATAGCTTCGCGAGCGATTAACTAACTACTCATTAACTAACGTGGGTAAGTGCATTGTGTACCGAAAACAATGAAAGGTGTTGTCAACGCTGTGGCTGACAAGAAGATGGACTGGGTCCAAACAAATACCCCGGGCTTTTAGCAATTACAACAATCTGTTTCGTGAAAAGCTGACCTACAGATACTTCCTGTAATCCTGATATCCATCAGTAGTAATCCTAAATTTTACATGTTCGAGCAATAATATAAATAAATATCCTCCAATTGAAAGGATTCAAGCCATACGCCTACCATCATATCCCCAGCCATGTAGATCAATCAGTCAGTATTTTTCTTCAGCATGAAGTGACCATATCATTTAAGATAATTCTGGTAATTCTTATTAGATCTTATTAGATACGTCAGAAAGACAAAAAGGCGGACTACGCAATGTTTACTAATTCCAAATCATTATTCTTTATAATTAAAAACACTACAAAATGCAAGAAATTGTTTCGCTCAATGAATATATTTTACATCTTTGGGGTTGAATGAATTTATAAGAGAGTGGAATTCAACATTTTTGCCTCAACAGTCAACAGTTTGTGTCTGATGTTTTAGAGTGGCTAGAAAACTGTCATTGGAAATCAACGAATCTGAGTTGAGTGTCTGCCTGCTAGATATAACTTGTGACTTTCATGCAGTTTAATGGCTTTCATCGACCCTGGTGACAAACTGCCTCTGTTGCTGCAATTGAAGTCACGTTGCCATTATTCATTTTTTTATTTCCCTTGTGGACATCCCGTTACACAAGTTGATAGACATTTTAAAATTTAAAATATTTTTTAGGATGCAGTTTTTGCAACTTTTTTCAACATACGAGGACATGCACCATTCACTGTGTTTATCTAAAATCTAAAATCTCATCGCTTTTCTCTTCTGATATTTCATCCGAGGCTGACCATATTCTCATGTTGTTCGTTATTTGGCAATCGAGCCTCTTTTCCCATAAAAGGTCCGCTCTTCTGAAAAAGAGACTATACATTTTTGGTAAACAAAAACTCCTAACTCGGTCTGCATCTTAAAGTTTTGTCTGAATGTCTCTATTTTCTTTCTCAATGTTGAAAACCGATTCATTTTCACTTCTCATTTGCCTTTTTAAAGAAATATAGGCTAATACAATGGATAGCAATGTTATTCCACTGATAGTGACGCAAAGGCTTCCAGTCGACCTTGCTAGTTCTTTGTTTTTGTAAATCCTGCAACTTCCTTGAGAATTCTTGCATCTATGAAGTAGAAAAAGCGAAAATAATATTTGGTAGTGACCATAAATAGTAATAGAATATGTTTCTTAAGGGATGAATTCAAGCGACGTATGTTTTTCAAGAGTAAAATTACTGTATACATTTTTATACATATTACTATATAAGCAATGATGACTTGAAAGAATTCTTTAAAGCGTTATTGTTATCTATAAAAGCGGTTCGTAATGTTGAAAAACAGCGCTCGTTAGTAAACATTTCCATTTTAATGATACTCGCTGATACATTTGATGATACTATCATGAAAATTTTAAACGAAGATGTGCTTCATAGGTACTAACACTCGTTTTGGGTACTTTGCACAAGTTGGTCATGGGTTTAAAAAGGAAAGGAAATTGGTCATAAAAGCTGCTACACCACTCTTCACAAAGGCATACATCACAAACAGACTTATATTTGACAAGGTCGAACACCTTGACTCTTGTTAATAACAGATTTGCACAGACTTACGATTTCACCCAGAACACACAGGATTGGTCAATTATGTATCCGAACAAGACTGGACCTGGTATAGAACCGAGAACTCTTACAAGCATCCACTGTAGCCCCATTGCAAAGCTTCGGTGGTTGAAAGGCACGCATCTAAAATAGGAAACGATGGTACAAGTGACATGGGGACCGTGCCATGATCAGTTGAAATAATAGTGTTTTATTGATAAAAAGTATTCTATTCTATAGACAGAGGGATTTTATAACCCATCACTGGCGTCAAAAGCTACTTATTCTTATCACCTTAGTGACATTCTAAGTTAACTAGCTTGTGCCTCAATCCACGTGTTTAGCAAATATATTTTTTCATTAAATATACAGATTTGATGCACTCCTATACTATAGATGTAGTTGATATGAGCAAATCTTGCTTGCAACTGCTAATGGAAACTAAGCTTAAGTTAGGTACCTCAACGTTATAACTGTAGCAGGAGCCGCCATGAGCATAATTGAAAATCCAGAGACCCAGGAAAGGATAAAGTATATTGTTTTCCAAGCACCGCACGATGACTTGCACAATCCAACAGTTGCAGGCTTTTCAATCTTTGCGGTACAAGAGCAGTTTGCAAAACTCTGCAACATGTTAAACAGGTTAAGATTTCTATCTAGAAAGATGCCCCATATTGCTAAATGTAACAAGAACGGTGACGTACATACGAAAAATGAAGAAAAATTTGTCAAATATAATGTCTCCGATCTGCCTTGTGAATTTATTGCTGGACTATAGTCTAGACTCTAAGAGGTTAGTAAGATAGTATCTTTAAACAATTTTTCAATAACAGATTTATTGTGTGTCGTTTGCAAATGAAGAGCCTCTTAGATTTTACAAGTGACAATAAGCTTCAGGAAAATCGAAAAATTTTATCGAGGAAATACCATAAATTAATTGAGTATTAATTGGGTTTGTTTATTAGTTTTGCAATATACTCACGAAAGGGCCTTTTTGTTGTCTACAACCAGCAAAACATGGGTTGACATACGTGAGCCCGCCCACGCAAACAGGTACAAACAGATTTTTTGCACAGCTGCAGTTTCTGTTACATTGGCTATTCAGCGAAATGCCTGTGGAGCTAAAGAAAAGGCAAATACAGTGACACTAGTGCTGAATTTGTTCATTAATTGTATTGGATGTATTTGAGAGTTTTAGTTAATCAAGATATTCATAGAAATATTTTGCTCAATCTCTGCAATATAAGGCCAAAAGTAGACATTTAGACCCCATGCATTATAAAGAAAATGGTTGCTAGACTGGCTGCTCTTACTGCTACAGTTCTACCTCTTACTGTTAGTTACACATTGGAGAAGGTTTCAATGAGTATACGATGAGGAGCACACGTATAGCATAGACGGCTTCATACAACAGGCATCAACAGATCGCTGGCCAAGGTAACAGGGAAAGTAAAAGAGAAGAATGGTTTAAGAATTGGGACTTGAGCAAGTCTTAATTGTTCTAGGCTGGGGCTGAGAGCTACGCTGTGCAGGGGCACTAATACAATGCTACAACACAGAGGTTAGGGATGCTTCCAACATTAAAGAAGGTTAAAAAATGTTTTAATGACTGGCGAGATGAGAGTCAAGCTGTCCCCCACATCTTGCAAAAGCAATACCAATCATTATAGTTAACTGTAATCTGAAGAAAGAAACAGCTGAAATGTTTCCTAAATAACGTTATTGTGCTTTTGTGTTATAACAGTTGTGAATACCTCTGAGCATCGTAGAATTTTGTGTTCACTCCGGCCGCTGGATATGTGTCGCAGTGAATAAATGTGTACGTAGAAGTGACCACGTTGAGAACAGATACAGCCACTACCATTTTCATGATGCCAAGGGTACTTAGCTTCAATTTCTTTATGATCAGAGAGCCTTGAAAAGCAAAGGATAAAACATGTAAGGAAAAGAAAGGTATGACCATAAAACCGATTCAGAAAATTATTCAGGAATTCAAAACCACCAAGGTAAAGTAGAGACTAGCAATGTCTTCGTTTTTTGAATTGCAACAGAAAATAATAATATGATTAGCAAGGAAAGGCATTATTTTTATATTACCCATTGAGGTGCAAAAATGTGAAATTGGTTTAGTGAAAATTTGTATTTTTGCAAGGTTCGTGCAAGAACGTCTTGCGTTATCTAACAAATTAATTCGGTTTTTGAAATTACTCCAAATTTCATTGTGAGAATTTTTAGCTCAGAATAGGATTTATCAGCATGCTTTATTTTAACAGCTCTATTTCTTTATGATATAAATACCACGAACATTACTAAGATCATGAAAGTTTGCTTGTAGACTAGTTTTCTGGTCATGAAGCCGAGAAGAAGGAAAGCAATAGCGCTCTTGTCAGAGCTGGCTATCCCACCTTTGCGCAATTGACGTGCAACTTTTCCTCTGAGCCCTACTGACTTTCATTTATCGGCTGGGCTATAGGGGGGGGGGGGTAATTTCGATATGAGCCACACAAACGGCTACGAAATCAGAACAGAAGACAGCAGAAAATATACCACACCTGCCACATTGCCAATGATTGCACCTGAACCAGCGGTTAATCCATAAAGAACACTTGCCTCAGAGGCAGTGAGTCGAAACTGGAAAAGGCCTATCTTTGGGTTGAATGCAGTGCTTCCACTGATCAGCAGAGATTGTATCGATACAGCCATTGATGTAAACACAAATGTTGGATTTTTGAGAATCAACAGTTTCAGTATACCAGGCAACTCTCTCAAAGTTGGACTGACTTGTTCGTCTTTCTTAGTTTCCGGTTCCTGCAACAAATCATAGTTTAAGTTTAAGTCAGAGAGACAAACGAAGAATTCTGTTTTAATGACACAATAATGCGTCAAATGATTTCATAAATAGCGTTTCCTTTAGATCCATAAGATTTAAATTTAATAGTTACAAAACAATGTCAAAATCCATTACAAAAATATTCTCTGAAACAGCTGAAAGATTTAGTGAAGCCTCTTATTTTATAAAACTATTAGGTATAATTTTGTAAGAAATACATCGATTGACAAGGGTTTCCCCTAAAATAACGCTGCGGTAATATATTTCCAAAGTCACAACCACGAATCTCTAAATTATGTTAATCAGAGGCAAACATTTTTAACTATGGCAAAATAAAATACAGAAAAACAAGCACTTTTATAAGAAAAAAAGGTCGGGATTAGCATTTGTTTCTTAACTTTTTCATTTATTTTTGAGCTTGATGTTTTCTTAAAGCTTTTTAACTTGAAATAGAAAACGTAACATAAATAGAACACCTAATACCGTAACATAAGATAGCATACTAGAACACCTAATCAGGCACAAAGGGCTCTTATTTCTAGTTTTTGTGTCAACTAAATTGAGAAAAAGAAGCCTCATTGTCTAAAAGAATGATTTTCTTTCCATCTTCAAAAAATGCTTTCTCTTAAAAAAGTGCACATATGTTCTTTCAAGTTTTGACAAACCTTTTCCTCTGATCCGCCACCATTTGTCTGTACTTGCGTCTTGCGTCGCAGAGTCTTTGGCAATGCACTCAAGCAGACTCCAACGACTAATGCAAAAGCAGCGAATATAGCAAAACCAAGCCACCATGCTCCGATCCAAGAGGGGCTTTGAGGTGTAATGTTTACTGACACACTCGGATGGACGAATATTTTGAGGAATGCAGAGGCAACCACGAACCCACCAACAGCCGCTAGAACAGAAGCAAATTGTTAACTTCAATAATGTAAAGAGAGGGTACATTCACTGCAGTAGCTCGCAGTGAGTTCTTTATTAGGCAAACAACTTAGGCCCCCAACACTTTAGGTACTTCAAAAAAATTCCAGGCAATTTGAAATGAACCAAATAGGTTTTTCACAACAATGTTTAAAATCATATCTTGGTAAACATTTGAAGATTTAAAATTTCCCTATACGTTTTTTGCATGCTTTAGTGCAAATGTGATATCTAGGGTTGGTTGTGTCGTTACTTTATGTCAATTATTGAGCAAATGTTAATAAGAAACGCAATTAAAATTAAAAACAGTGTTATAAATATTCATCGCCTACTTGTGCTTAAAATATCGAGAAGTACTCTCCTCGCAACCATTTTTAATAGTTGATTTATTATCTGTAATATATTTTTAACTAAGTTAATAAAAGAGGGTATTAATTATCTGAGAAATTATAAAAGACAAATGCTTTAAAGATCATGTTTTCCATCCCTAACATTTGATATATTGTTCTTTTATTGCCAAATCTTTAACAATTTCGGTCAAAAATAGGATTGTTGTAAAGATATCCCAAAAAACTTTGAGTTTTTTATCAAAGTTCTGGGGAATTGAAAGAAAAGAGAATAACTTGCTCCCCTCTAGAATGTATCTTTATATTGATAGACCATCATCATCTTGTCATGAACGATTTATTACCTATTCAATTATTGTGTTAGATAGAGAGCTGGAGATGTATGCTAAAACTTCTTCAATAATTATTGCTTGTAACCAGGCCTCTCAATATAATTAGACTTGGTTTTTTAGCGGATATGAGGACCGATACTTGATATTTCAATTTCGTAGTAATGCATTGTTTGTCAATAAAAAATGAATGATTTAATTTCTTGTTCTAAGACTTTTACTCTCATCTTAATATGAATATTAATTATGAAGAACTTTGTTGTTTTGAGTTCTAAGACTTTTGTAGCCTAGCGTACCTAAGATCCCCGATGTCTGGAAAGCTCCAACGTAAAGTGGGGAGTTCTCCCGCGAAGTACTCTCATCCATATATGGAATGCCAAGGCTAATCATAGGGGCACACCCCGCACCAGCTATAAACATCCCAGCCAAGAACAATTGATAAGGCATTGTCGTCTCTTCTTTGGCATTACAAGAACCGGCAGGAGCACGGCTCGATTGCGATGCACATACCAGTGGGCTTGAAAAGTTTGCCAATACTAAGCTGCTTGTGGTGGCTATAAAAGAACAAAACTGTGCAATTGGAAAATTTTCGAAAGGAAATAAATTTGTAGATGTAATCAAATTCCCTTAATAAATGAGGTATCTGCATCTTTAACGGATGGCTTTTACATTCCTCTCTTTTCCTTTTTTCCATTCTTTCTGTCTTCTTACTTCTCAAATTTATTTCAGTATGCAAATATTTTGGATGCTGTATTGAAAAGTAGAAAATCATGAAATTTTTCAAAGAAGTTAGAAAAAAGGTGTAGAAATACATAAATTTTGCCAGCAACGCTGTAAAGTTAAGCTGCCTTAATACGATCGCAGGCATTAGCACCATAATCTGTGAGTTAATTGACACTGTTAGCAAAATACAGATTGCGTTCCTTATATATTGTACAGCTAAAGTCATTTGTTGATATTTGTAGTCATAAATTACCTGGTACATATTCCTTTGCTAAGAGATGTGGCAACAGAAAGATGACGTAGCCGACGCCCATAGTTATCATTCCAATACCAAGCACAACCGGCTTGTTTCTAACCCCGTAGTAACTCACAGGTCCAATGAATATCAATGCAGCGATGTCATAGATGCTTGTTACCATTCCCATTTGACTGCTGCAATGAAAAATGAAACACCTTGATTTCCTTGGAAACACCTTGGAAAACAGCAGTGACGGATTAAGCGGTGAGTGTAGACCCAATAATTCTGTGTCCTTCGGTAATTGTGCGTACATTCGGTAAACATTTTTTTGGTAGTCAGTAGTAACACAATAGCGCCAAGATTTTACTTTATTTATTGTCTTATCCTCTTTACCTTGAAGTTTAAAATAAAATTTTGAAAATGAGCGTTTCCATCATTTTCCAGTGACCTGAGGGTTGTGGCACCGATTCCAATTAGTATCTAACAACCCCCACCCCCCCCCACCCCCCATAATTTACTAGTTCACACCTATTCGAATACGACCGCATCACCCAATTTTATAGAGGTATTCACTTATATAACTTCATCTCTTTCCCGCCTTGATAGTAATGGCATTTACAAAGGCAAGCTTGCATTTACAATGGTAATTTCTTTAAGAAAACTAAATGATAAGATGTTTTTTATTGCAGCCCCGAGGCCAAGCAACAATTTGCTATCAATTCATTATTCGGATTAGATTATTGGCTTTTTATTGTGAATTTAGAAACTAGATTTATTTGTATTTTCGAATCAAAACAAGATCACAACAATAACAAATTTTAACGGCGTCAGTGTTTTATGTGGAGGAAGCTTTGCTCAGTATCTCGCCTTGTGGCCATGTATCTTCTATGTCGAAGCATGAAACATCAGGATCTAAATAAGTGATTGCATAGGGAGGCTACATCCTAATCTCCAAGGCTACTTTGTTTCCGTCTTAGGACTCCTAGACCTCTTAAGATGATCAACGGGCACTTAAAGAACTCGTTTTCCAGCGAAGAACTGAGAAGTTATATTCGATCATCGGCCAATAGTAGTCTTACGATCATGTGAATTTTCAAGGGAACAAAATTTGTTAAAATTATCTGCACCTGCTTTAATTATGCAACTGCTGTACAACAAAATTCTGTGGCTATACTGAGTGAAGATAGTTTCGAAAGGAAACATTGTTTTCGTTGAAATACTGAATTTTCATTGGCGAAAGATTGGATTTGGATAACAGAGGGCTGGCCGCTTCACAAAGGCCATCAGGGCCATTCATATTGTACTCTTTGGACAGCGACATAAAATGAACAGGCACTTTGTGGAGGGTTAATGCCATTGGAGATACTTTACTCATTGTTTTATTCTGATCTACTAAACATGGTCCAAGCTTTTGTTATGAAACTTCTTTAAAAAAATACTAGTTACAATGCAACACCAGATTCATTATTCGAATGAAAACTTAAGATAAAGGTACCATAAATGGATCCTTTTGCTATGAAAGAATGGTGTAACCCAGGGCTCTATATTAGGGCCTCGTTTGTTCAATATATTTCTGTCTTTCTCGCCCATTTGGCCGGCTTAAAACACAAAAGGAAAATGACACACAATTTTCCGACATTTGGCATCTTTTACTCTGGATCAAACAATAGAGGTGTACGATAGGGAGACAAGGGGAGGATCCGGAAGAGGCTCTCCTGGCTTTTCTACTCGATTTCCCTCCGCTGCTCGATTTCCTCCCACTACGAGCGGGCTCAACTGACACTTAAAAACATGCCCCAACCAATCCTTGGATGTTAGTAGCATACTTATAAACACGCCTCAACAAATCCTTAGTTGTTCTTTCCATGCTCGTTGACTATGCACTCAAGAAACCCTTTTTTAAACAAAAAAATCTTTTCAAGTTTAAGACTTTTTATGTTTCCATGAAAGACAAAAATGTGTGTAAAGGCTCATTAGAAAAGTAACTTTTGGAGAGGTAACCAACGTCGAATCAGAAAATTGTCTGAGTCCATATCTCACTGGGCTACTGGGCAAGACCTGGAACAGTGTTAGCAATAATGGAAAGGTCAATTGAAACAAAGAAGTTCCCAAATAGAACCATAGGTAAAGGGGCACAATGGCAAGGTGCAGGAGGTTACTGACTCGAAAAACATCCACTTCGTAAAAGTTTAGCCGATTATCGAAATTTGTACAAAATCTTTCTTTAATCCCCAAAAAACTTTGACTCCCACTGCACCAAGAGCCGCGGAACATGTATTACAGATTGGGGGCCTAAAACGTTTTGGGGGGCTAAACATGCCAAAACCTAAGAACAGGGTGATTTTTTGTATGGTTTCAAGTATATTTTGGAGACCCCCGTAGTTTCCCCCGTTTACACGGTCCTGCACTGCACCCCTTTACGGGAAACAGCCCTATCTCGCTTCAAAGTTCCAACAAATAAAGATTGAAACCACTGTCACAAACTTTAGCTTGCAATAAAACATGTTTGGGCGATCAAACCTGTTCCACGTTTTCTTATTCCCGTGACTGCTGCTGCTGCAACAACAACGTTCTTATTTTATTCTCTCAAAGAATCTATCTTGATTGGCACATTTGCAATGAATACATCTCCTTCGTAGGCTATGTTAGCCGTAGTCCAGTGAGTCATTCGTGCAGTCTTTTTTACAGCTGAGCGAGTTTTTCGTTGATAACCTAGTAATTTCTTTCTTTATAAAGACAAATAAAGTCAAAGAACTGATATTCTAAAAATGTCAATAAGCCTCCAGGGCGTAGTGTTGTTTTGAGAAAAATGAACTGTTTCCGGTAAAAAAACCGACATCGCACACCCTCTCGCCCAAAACAATGTTGGTTGTTTAGTTAATGTTTATGTTATCCCTTATTTTCAGGAATTCCGGAAGTGTGGCAAAGTAAAGGAGGCAAACTTGTAGCGAGCATGCAGATGGTAGGAGAGGGAAGCGCGTCGAGAAAAGGGGGCTCGGGTACTCCCCCGGGAAATTATTTGTTACAAAACCCAACAGTTTGGATTACAAGAACATCAAAGTTTACTTCTCGTGGACGAATCTTCAAGGTGATAAAGACGAATGGAGGAAAAAAAATGCTGATTGATCCTCTAGAGTACATTTATGTTATATCTTGTTTAACACGTTAAAGGTGAAGTTTATTTTTCCCCTTCAAAATCTGGACCTTATATTTTTCTACCACCTTACCAAGCTGAGTTCCAGCAGAAAATATATTTTAGTTCAAAGAAAGATTTTCCGTCAAGTAATAATGTCAGCACAAGAAATATTACTTACTAGTAATAATGTAATTTTTGTAATCATTATTATTAGTAATAATAATGAAATATAATGTTACTTTCATATCCTGGAAACAAAGTCCGATATCAAATTAAATCAAACGAGTCAAATTGTTTCTTAGCTTGTCTCTTCAAATAATATTGAGGAAAAACCTTACCTCGTCAGTGAAAATCTGGTTTCTATTGTTGAGACAGACGACGAATAAATACCATTTATGACAATGCTGTTGATTATAAAATATCCACAGAGCAAAACAAGCAGCAGAAAAGGCGAACCCAAAGGCTCCAGTATCTTAGGCCGAAATCCAAACCATCCGCACCCATGACTTTGCTCTTTTTCAGTTTTCTTGCTAGGTTCATTTTGCTTATCGATTTGGTCAGCCATTTTAATTTTATTTCACCTCTCTCCAACCCGCGCGGAAGCAGTAATCGTATGAAGACCAATTGCAAACAAAATCTGTCATGTGAAGTTCACGAGATCAGTCTGTTTTTGTCACACTTTGCCAATACAAAAGTCAGACCACAAAAACACATTGTTTCCAGGGGCGAAAATACCGGGGGGGTGTGTGTGTGTGTGGGTGTGGGTGTGGGGGTGGTTTGGGTTGATGTGGCACCCCCCAATCTTAAAAATAGCCGATTTCGCAGGGCAATCGAAGATTTCGCAGGGCGCCAAGAAGAGATTTATTTCCACGCAGAAACGCCGCCTCTGAAGTTCGTAAAGAGCCGTTTACGAATTTTGAAATGGAAATATTATATTTTTTATGACTTTCCCTTCCTGACATTGCATTTTAGAGAACGGAACAGGTATGTCAGGAAGAGCTCCGTTATTAGCAGAGCGAAAGCATTCCTCACCGAAAGTTATAGCCAATGGATGCATTAATTGATGCATAAGTTTATAAGGGCAAGGTTGAGTCCACACAAATTAATTCAAGTTATAAATTATTTTCATGGTACACTGTGGGGAATAGAGGGCTGAAGGCCCCCACTTTGGTCAAGATAAGAATTTTTTTATCATTTTTTCTATAACTTTTTAACAGTGTATGAAATAAGAAGTGAAAAAATGTTAAGATGCCGATTTTGTTTGATCCAATTGCTAACTTATTCACGTATATTTCCATTATTTTTCTTTTATTTTCAATAAATTACTTTCTGTATCATGGCGATGTTTCCATTTTGGAAGAGTAAACATGGCCTTCTCGAGATAAAAAAAGCACGTTTCTGTCCAGGAAAAAACTCTCCCAATCAATTTCTTTCCTTCCACAACGTCTATCATTAGAGTTTTAGCATACCATCCCCCCTCCCTATTTTTCCAATAAACAATAATCAGTTTTTTAGCAGTATAGTGTTTTGCTAAACTTTAGTCTGGGAGATGCTTTTTAGCCCTTTTACAAGGTATAATTTCGAAATTTTCTTCGCGTCGGACCCAACCATGGTGGGTCCTCCTACCTCACTAAACTTGATATGCCATGAAATACAAGCTTTTTACAAAGGAAAATCAAATTTAACATTTAATTAACGCTCACGTAAAAAAATAGATATTTCATAAGCAATGAAGTTTCAAGTTTGCTTAAAAGTTTGTTCTTGGTAAAGACAAATTTACACTGGTAAAGCTTTCAGTAGTAACCTATAGACAAACCTTTGCTACGAGGTCTGCAGGGCACCACTCATTTTGCAGGGCAGAAACCCTTTTCACCCCCCCCCCAAACCTATTGGCCAAGTCACGCCCCTGATTGTTTCAGTCTAGAGGTTTGTGAAAACATGGAATGATTGTTTTCACAAGGATCAGGTTAGAGCGAGCAAGCAGGCACGTAAATACTGGGGGGTGTAGGGGGGTGTGACACCCCCCAATCTTTCATTCAGTCTGAAAATTCGAGGACAGTCGGATAATTTAAAGCTGTTGGTAGAAAGATAGGTTAATCGGAAAAAATTTGAATCATTGTGAAGTTTGAAGTTTTGATTCAAATGACCTTGTGAACTGTAGCTCAAAGAGAAGCATAAGAAAGGTATAAGTTCAAAAGAAATAGTTAGATGATAAAAGGCGATACAGAAAAAACGAAGTTTTGTATGAGAAGGCAAGTATTTTCAACTACATTCGTCGCAATGGGGATAGTGTAATAATCATTCCATCAAATTACTTCTAAAAACGGGATACGAAATAGAATTTTTTAAATAATATTTAACAGCAATGCTTTAAGAAGCGCAGTACATTTCCCATGACTTGTCAAGAACTTTCTCCGTTCGAGATCAACCGATGTAACATAGGCGATACCAGGCGGGGAGCTGGGGGCTTCAGCCCCCTCCCACTTTTTTGCAAAAATGTATTTTTAAGCAAATAAAAAGAGTAAAGGAAAAAGTATAAAGAAAAGAATAATCCGACAAATCCTTTAGTGAGGCCCTTTGAGGGGGGATGACGCTATTTCATATTTCTTGATAATATTTTGCAATTATTTCATATTTTGAAATTACCAAGGCAAATTATTTTGAAATTGTCAGATGTTCTATTCTGCCTTCAGGTGTCAAGAAAGGTTGGACCGACTCACATACAAAATGGACCGATTCTTCAAAACCAATCTTTGCAGCTAAAAATATTGCAAATGTAGAAAGAATTTGTTCGGAAAAGAGCCAAAGGGCCCCGTACTTTCGCAAAAAGCCTCCTTGAGACCCCGTTTACACTGTCCCGGGACAATTTTGTACCGTTACGGTTCGCAAGTGTTTACACTGTCGCGGTTCCAAATTGTTTCGTTTAGCCGTTCCGTTTACACTGTACCGGTACAGTGTACTGGCTTCAGAATTTAATGGCAGAACATTGTTTAGAAGAAGCTGTATTTAGTCAACCAAGGCTTTTATTTTGCCGCCGAAGTCAACAATCGAATTTTTATTGAGAGTTAAAATGGAGTGGAAGGCCGATAAAAACTTTACTTGGACGAACGACAAGGTGGCTTTAATTTTCAGTGTTATTTTAGACTACAAAACTGCAAAGTCCAATCAAGGCTTGGACTGGGAAACAATACAAGCCTTTTCTGTGGTCGTCTTTTCTTCAGAATTTCCTTTTCTTCAGAATTTGACAACGTAGTTACGCCACAATCAAAGCCTCGATTACCTCCAACTGCCATACAAAAGACCTCTTTGTGAATCCGTGACAAAATCGTCTCGGATAGGTGTTTACACTGTCCAGTTCAAAAACGGAACCGTGACGGTACAAAATTCGTTCGCTTTCAAAGCAGGGTCCAAACTGTTCCGGATAGCAGAGCAAAATCGTCACGGTTCCACAGTGCTAGTGTAAACGGAAGGGCGAACCGCGACAGTTTTGTCACGGTTCCAAACTTGCACGGGACAGTGTAAACGGGGTCTCATTCTCTTTGGACTTGTGGTGATCAGTGGCGGACTGGCTACCCTTTGATCCACCGGAAAAAGCAAGCAAAAGGGCGCAAATAGGTGTTAAAGTTGCTTATTCTTGGGGCTTGTAAAACGGGTCGGGAAAATTTTGTCATACTTCTTCCTTAAAATTCTTTGCAATTGAAAACACCCTATTTAGAATGTCGGAACAATTGGCATTGGCATGAAGAAGACTCTCTGTCAAATTGACTGTATTTGAAACGTCTACACGGCTGGTCAAATTTGTAGGTATCAAGTGACGTATTGTCCTCAATTTTATGTATTAAATGTTGTTATCAAATGATAGATTTTGAAAGTTGGACCAAAACTCAAATCCCGTTTTCAGTTAGCGAGACACTCCTTTCCAAGACTTTATAAAGAAAGCAGCTTTTTTGGCCTAGGAGACTAGATTATTTTCAATTAAACTCGATCTCAAAATCTTTAAAAATTTGACGAAATATTTGACTTCGTTCTCATCAAACGGTAACATAAAATTGTTTGAAAGTTTTGGAGCATATCATTGAGAAATGTAAAGGGTAATTTGTTAAAATAGTTAAGCATAATAAGCGCAATTGCCATAACGTTTGTGTAAATCCCCCCTCCCCATCTCTGATTACATAATATGTGAACGTTCCCATACCCAATAGCCAACACATCCAGTAACAGCCATTCTGATTAGAAAGAACGCAGGGTAGTGCTCAGCTAAGAACCACAAACATCCTTAAGGAAGGTGACCAGAAAAGAGTGCCAAATTTCTTTTGTCTTTACGGTTGCGTGTTCATGGCTTTTGATAATATCTCCTTATAGTTTGATGGAATATAGTTATTTCGTTTTGCGTCAAATAACGTAAATTTTATTCACTTCATAATAACATTGTTTATTGGCACAATACTGAATTCAATGATATGGCCAGTAATAACATTTTCAAGATAAGAATAATTTTGCGGGAAACATGTTAACCCCAGATAAAAAATTTAAAAATTAACTATAACTTGTTTAATATTACTATCAGCAAATCAATATTGTTGTTTACAAAACTGTAGTTTAGTAGTCTTAGAAAGAATTCATAGTATGTATGTGGAACAATCAATGTAGATAAAAAATTTTTATGATATTATTTGATGTTGGCAATTTTCCTAAACGTGAAGTATGAAAAACCTTTAAAACTCATAAAAAGGTTGAAATATTTAAAAGAAAAACCCAAGCGTGATATGATATCTTAACAGCTCTACAGATCAATAGTCACTTGAGTCAGTGCTGTTATCAAATAGATAATTCTCACACAACATTTTAAAGAGGTATTCAGTTATGTTGATTTTTTATATTTCATACAGAGAACCAAAATTATTTCATATTTCAAGACTAAAAACCTAAATATTTATATTTTCATCCCGAGAATCTCAATTATTTCATATTTCAAATATCTCTTACAGGGCCTCTTTAGTTGCTTAATTTCCAAGGAATACGCCGAGGTCTATGGTGCCTCATAAAGTAATGAATTCAATTTTAAGACTGGAATTAATCAAACGTAATAAGAGCATGCCTTAGAAATAACAAAATGTCTTAAACGATTGCAAGAAAATACCTGCAAGAGATATAAATATTCTGAAATGTATTTTAAGCTAATCTAAAAAGCGTGGTCTTGAAAATTTTCTGCTCGCTTCGCTCGCAGGGAAGCCATTTCTTTCCAATACCCTTAAGGCCTCCGCTAACCTCCCGCCAGCCCCTTCAAACTTACTGCTAGGATAATGAGTGCCCCATAAAATAATTGGTATAAAATATCGTGAATCGTTTTAGTGCGTTTTTTCAAAAGATTGTTCTTTAGTCAAATAATTCTATCAACTCGAGCCCCCCCCCCCCCTCCACTTTGAATTTCTTGGCGCCGCCCCTATGAAATACTAAGCGACCTCGTGATTCTTACCTGCGAGAAAAACATTCTGGACAACGTAAATTTAGATAAGATAGTGGAGCAATGGCCAAGTCGTAGAAGGAGAAAAATTAATACCTGATTTTTGGACTACGTATGTTTTGATGCACTAATTAAACTAACAGTCTTTATGCTCGACCTTCCAAATTTACGAAATCTAGAAACTTTATCATACAGCTGAATAATTATTTACGAGACAATTTATAAGGTTTTGTTGGTAAAAACTATTAAAGTTTACGCCCTGATACAAAAATTAGAATTGACCTTTGTCAGTCGGAAATTTTGAGAAGCTCCAAAACGAAACGAGCTCCATATCTCAAAAACCGCTTGCAAGATCGAATCGAAACCATGTTTCAACAAATATAGCAGCCCAACCTTTAAAGATGATAAAAACTTGCGTCTTTTAGGCACTGCGGAGCAGGGAGGCTGGGGGCTTTAGCCCCCACTTTTTGCAAAAAAATTTTAGTGCAAAAAATATTTAGTACTATACTACCAGTAAAGCCTCTTTTTATAAGGTTTTAGCCCCCTCCTTTTATTAGACCCACCACTTTTCTTAACGCTCCGTGGTGCCTGGTCTTTGTAATTTTCCGTTGGTGCATGGTTTTCAGGTACGTACCTTTTTTGGTGCGGGCCCCTTTAGGATCATTTTCTCCCGGCCCAATTCTAGGAGCCACAAGGCCCCGGGAGCTACAGCTTAGAAGGAAATTTCTTTACCGCAGGGCCCACGCCACGAACTTCAAGGTGCAGGGGCCAAGTTTTATACATCTAAATTGAATTTAGTGCTTCAAAGAGCCGAAAAAGAGCCGAATTATGCAACTATGCAGACGATACCACTATCTACATACGCGACTCTGAGGTCAAAAATGTCATTGATGGACTAGAACAAAATGTCATCTAACTACCAATCCGGTATCCTGAAAACTATATGAAATTAAATGCGGACAAATGTCATTTTATGATTTTTGGGGAGAAAAAAGAAAAGATGAAATTAAATGTAGGAATGGCGGTAATAGAAGAAAGTGACGAAGAAACATTACTGGGAGTTACACTAGATACAAAACTTAGCTGCAAAGCTGATGTGCAGACTCTTTGTAAAAAGGTCAGCCAAAAACTCTATGCTTTATCTCGCATTTCGATTTTCATGGATTCCAAAAAGAATAAAACTGATGATGAACACTTTTATAATGTCACAATTCAGCTGCTGCCCATTAATCTGGATGTTTCATGATAAAAATATTAGTAACTAGATAAACAGGATACAGGAAAGGGCCCTTCGAATCGCATACAAAGATAACACATCTCCTTACGAGAAATTTTTAGAAAATGATATTTCGGTATCTATACATCAGAAGAACCTACAGTTGCTCATGGTTGAAATTTACAAAACAAGGAATCACTTGAATCCCTCGCTTATGATGGAAATTTTTGAGGAAAAGGCAATGCCGTATCAACTAAGAAGCTCAAGCAATTTAAACCTACCAAAAGTGAGAACCACATGTCAAAAAATATGGGCAAAATTACTTATAGAAGAAAACTTCAGTCTCTTTGACTGTTTTTAAAAAACATCTTAAGAAAACAAAATGCAAACATTGCAATTGTAGGATTTGCAAAACTTTTATATATGGTTTAGGTTTTTTGTAATTATTATGTATTTCCTTTGTATACACCTTTTGTAAATAGTTGGCCTTAATTACCTATTTTTTTAGCTATTTCAAACAGCCAACTTTAAATTAAAGTATTAATAATAATAACAATAATAATAATAATAATGAAAACATTTTTATTATATATTCTTCTACTTACAACAGTACCAGAAGGGCCCTGTACCAGAAGGATAAGAAAGAAAGAGCTATAATTTACCTTGTCTGTTTTTTTAATACAACAAGCAGTATCACCTTCTTTGATGCTGTATCTTTCGGCTTAACAATAACACGCCAATGGGGTGGGTCTGGGAAAAACCATAGGGTGCCTGTTGAACAATGTCGATGAATATGTAATGAATTTGCATCTTCTTCTGATTGCTTTGTAATTCAATGTAACTGAATTGTGGGCGCAATTTTAATGTAAAGTTGAGTCACGGAGGTAGGCTGAGCTCTTTTACACTGCAACTGGCTTACACAGGCATTTCGCGACCTTTCTTTTACAAAGTTTCGAGCGCTTTATTCCAAAATATACTTGGAAGGAATCAGAAGAAAACTCTAATTTCAGGGAATGAATTTTCCGTAAAGAAGAAAGAGTAAGGAAATCAAATTCTTGATAAATGATCCAGAGATTGGATCCCAGGCCGGAATAAGGGGGCTAACTAGGCTGCTTAAAGCGCCATTGTAATCAGCCAAAACTAGCCAAGGCTGAGGATAGTCGTCCTTCTGGCCTCATAAAATTCATAAATTTTCTTCATTTTGCTATTTTCTCGGATACTGGGCTTGAATTATGCATATGTATATGCACATGCCGATATTCATGTTAGCATGTATCATTACGGGAAACAATAAAACAGTATCAGCAAACACAGCAGAGAAAGTGAGATTAAAGGCAAGATTAAAAATGAAGTAAGAATAGAGTAGCCTGTTTGAAAACAAAATGGAAAAAGATACTGATCACCGGAAGTAAATGATTTCTTCACCTATTGGGAGGGGGGCGTGTGGTGGTTTGGGCTCGGGCTCATGGATATCATGGATGGATTCCTTTAACGTTTTTTGGGTCAAGTGGCTGCAGAGGTAGCTATAATCGTGGATTGTGATACATCTGCAGCACCTTTGGTTCAAGTTTTAGGATGGTCTACAGTCGAGACATTTCTTCGTCGTGAAACTTCAGCTATGGCCTTTGAATGTCTGAACAATCTAGCCCCAGAATACCTTAGTGGGTGCTTTTCTAAACTGTCAGATTACCATAATCGCGGACTTCGTAACTCAAGGATTGACCTGCTATTACCCCGAATGAAAACATCCTACTGACAAAAACCCTTCGCTTATCGTGGTGCAAAAGTTTGGAATGACCTTGCCTTAAAATCAAAATTGGCATCCTCCATCCATTGCTTTAAATCGAGCTTTGTATTTTACTGTATTTTTGTATTTGATTAAAATAACTCGGTATTATTAGGTATTTTTTCACAGGACCAATTGTAAAACAGGTTTCTTTACTGAATTGTTACCACGATATAAAAAATTAAATGAAATCAATATGAAATTGTGACGGTCGGAGATACATAGAATCAGTTTATGATTGGTGATGAAGAAATCGCATTTATGAACATACACAAGTGTAAGCATGCTTAATCCAACCTTATCAAAAAATAAAAGGAAATTCAGAATTTGGGCCCGATTAGATAAAAGTTAATGGAGATATACGCCCTGGGAGTGGGAGCGTCTTTAACTGTCTCTTAAACTGCCCCTTAAACTACCCCTTCTTTTCCTTCCTGTTTTCTTGCTTTCAGGGAGTCACAGAATTCACCTCAACCCTGAAGTTGAAAGTTTGATCCCCATACTCGGATAAAAGTCTTTGATTAGAAAAGATCAACAGGGCCCCAACACCAACAACAACAACAGCTATCCCCACCCAACCCAACCTGCCGACATTATTTGAAAGTGACTGAACTGGAAGGAGGGAATCGAAAACAAAAGTCTCCAGGGAGAAAATTATCATCAGGTCAGAAAATTGTGTTCATGCTTAACTAATACATATAAATTTATTCTATACTTCTTGAAGGTATTTAGATTTGGTTAATGGCTAGTGTTCAGTGATCGATCTTTTTTTGTGATAGGCCGTTTGTCCGTTTGCTCTGATCAGAGGTTAGGATTCCCGCTTTAGTCACCGAGAGGCTCCAGTATTTCTCTGTATTTTATCAAGTTGTAAGTTGATATATTAGCTTTCCCCTCTTGTGGTTGGTAGCCGTACTTTACCACTGGCAATTGAACTCAAGTGTAACTAGACCTAACGGTCATTCCGTTACATCCAGTGCTGTTTTGATTGCAAACACATGTGCTTTTTATTCAGATTATGAGCGATTCAAGCTACTTCCTGAATATATTTCTTCGCAGGCTTTGCATCTTTGAATATCATTAACGAGTCGAGGCTGCAAAGCTTCTCTTTTTTCTTTGCTTAGTAAGAAAGATGCATTTTTATGTCAGTTGCGGTTATGGATATATGAGGTGCCTTTTATTTCGACCTTAGGCTCGTTTTACGCACACAAACCCACCAGCTAATAGTTAGTTTTATTACCTATGCTGAGTTAGGTTTGCTTAAAGCCTTACCAGATCTATCCCTTAGGTTATTAAGTGTAAATAATTTGCCTGAAAAATTTCCCATTTTAGGCAAAGGAAAATAATGTTCTTTGCCACTTTATGCTACCATAGCATGTAACATCTTGGCAGAAGGAATGTTACTTATCAATCAATTCATGAATGCTACAAGCAAATATGCATCTGACCCTTGCCCTGAAGATTGAATTTGATAGATTATTTTTAATTACCTTGTGTGTGTGTGTGGAAATGGATGTTGTTGCCATTAAGTATCCAAATTTATTCCTAAAGCAGAAGGACCAATAATTAAATTATGTGTCATCAAGGAAACCACGCAAATGATTAAATATGAGAAATGGAGATACTAAATTCTAGCTTTTAAATTAAGAAGTTAATGAACAGGAATAATTTTTATGCAATGTAACTTTTAAGTATACAACTTTTTTGCAGAGTAGCCTTTTGAGCTTCAGCCACATGTTAATACTGGTTTGAGAGGAATTCTGATTGGCACCCTGCAAAGGTGGTTGTTGCAATATTTTTCTGTATGAAAAAAGTGCTTAACAGGCATTTTGGTAAGAAATAGCCCATGTGAGTGGCCCAGGGCTCACATGATTTCTCTTGCAGGAGTGATCACCCTAATAATAATAATAATAAAGAATGCTAAAAGCGTCTGTCATGTTTATAAAATGTCATGTTAAGGTGATGTCAAATGAAAACAGACTGTTATGATGAACTTTAAGGCACTCCAAGAAAGATTAAATACCCAAATATAAATTGTTTATAAATTTTATCTTCATTACAAAGATTATTGCTGGATGGTCGCAAATGTTATTCCTTTTAAAAACCCTTTAACTGCTAAGTACCTGATACTATTCTTAAAAATTTTTGAACATTTAAAAATAGTAGTATTTTCTTGCAACTCATGGGACAATAGCAAGTTATTAGCATCTAGCTTAAATTGATATGCAGCAGCTACTCCAACCTATACTTTAAAAATCTGCCCCTGTCAATACTTTTTATTTGAAAGAAAAAAGTCATGAGCCTACTTCATGCTCATGATTTTATTTTATATATTCAAGTGTATTGACCAACTGTGAAATAACCAGGTAAGACCATAACAGGTTTTCAAGCAGTCAGTCCTATTTTCTCCTTTGCCTCCATCACTTTCTAGTATCTAACACAATGTGTAGAAAGTGTGCTTGAGATGTCTTTGAATGTTATCAAAGTCTAATATTTTTCTTTTTCTAGCTGGTTATAATAACATCTATTGAGATGTCTTCCTATGTTGGGTTTGCAAACCTCCCAAATCAAGTTCACAGAAAAACTGTCAAAAGAGGTTTTGAATTCACACTTATGGTTGTAGGTGAGTTGAAATTGGGTATTTAAAATGTTTTAATTGGAATTTTGCTTTTGACATGACAAAAAAGCCAATCTAATCAAGGTGACCATTTTGCACTGCATGGCTACACTAACAGTCAGTCTTTTGTGCCTATTCCATTTGCTTATCATATCAGATTCAAAAATTGATTCAGAGTTTATTGAGTCTCCCAAATGGAGGGGTGAAGCAAGAAACTAAAAGACTAGATGGTCACAATTAAACCAAGTTAAAAACAGAAAAGAAGACAGATGATAATGTTGTAAAAAATGAAAATTGATATAATAATACTTTGATTCTGGCGACTTTAAAGTTTTAATTTAAAGTTTTTGATTGGTTAGACATCTGCCAACTTCGCCAACAAGCCACTTCGGGTCAGCACTAGGGTGTCAATAGGGTGTCAACATTGTTAAAAAGGACTCCATGTAATTCCTTGTTGGTTCCCATTACTTGTCTCTGATTGAACTCCTGTGCTACTAATTGCAGAAGTGGCCATTAAGCCGTGTAGCTCACCATCAAACATTTGAAACATACTTAAGCTTTTCGTCCAACACTCTTCAGAATATAGAATGTCAGAACTTAGATTGGAAACTCTACTCTAGGAAATATTTATTCCCAGTTGAGGAGTAAAATTGAACTTGTGACCTATTTGGATCCACAACTGGGTATATATACATTTCCTAGCTTAGAATTTTAGATCTTTGATCTCGAGTTTTATGTTTGAAGAGTGTCAGACAAAAAGCTTTAGTAACATGTTTCAATTTTTTTTAAAGCAATTTTTAATTCTGTACCACAAAAAGATTGTTACAAATAGAAAGTTTTTTTGCAAATAGCTGCAGAGAAACATTCTGCTTTGTGCAAGGTCTCTCCTAAGATGTAACACCCTCTCCTCTTTATGATTTCTTTGTAATTTCCATTTATAAATTCTCTCTCTCATTTCAAACAAATGAAAAATATACCTGCTTAATTTCTCTGTATTGATCTGATGTCCTTTTGCCCATTTTGGATGCACATGGCCAGAAATTCTAGTCTGCAAATACTTCATTAATTTAGCCATGTTGGAGCAATTTCTGTACCTCTTCCTGCCTTTTTTGACACTCTTCAATTTGTTACATGATATCAATAGTTTCTTTCTTTTGTGCAGGTGAATCTGGACTTGGAAAATCTACTCTTGTTAACAGTTTGTTTCTGACAGATCTTTATGCTGGAAGAGCTGTTCCATCAGCATCAGGTATAAAGTATTTTTGTTTTGTGAGTATTGCTTGTATTGCCGGAGAAAATGAAATTTTTATTTAACGTTAATCAATTTGCTACGTATTAAGAAACAGTGCCAGAATGTAAAGTACATCACTCCGTGGATCACCATTGTGTATGGCTGCGCACATAGGCGTGGTACTACCAAATAATATGATGTGTATTCATACGGAGAAGTAATTTTAGTCTCTATGTTGAGTCTTGTTCTGTTGACTTTAATTTTTTATATATTATATATAAATTATTTCCTTGTATATTATTTATTTCTTCAATTTTTAACTCATGAATTCATTCCTAGAGAGAGTGAAATCAACATTGAACATCGAGACATCTGCATGTGAAATAGAAGAGCGTGGTGTGAAGCTAAAGTTGACCGTTGTGGATACACCAGGCTTCGGTGATGGGATTAACAATTCAGAATGGTGGGTACCAAGTAAAATGTGCCAATCGGGAGCATCTTATGTCTTTACCAGTCTTGGTTCTCATGTGATGTGTCTTGTAAGTTGAAACAAGCGAATTCATGGCTCAAAGTGGAAGCATCAAGAGGAAAATCAGTGTCAAGATTTATTTGTCATTTTTGAAAATTTTACTAATGATCTTGCTCCCTTGCTTCTGTCCATGTATGAGGTACTTTAGGAGTAGAAAGTCGATTGTTTCAGAGTTTCTCTCCTAACTATAAATGTCTTCTTTTAAAGCTTCGAGCCAATTCTTGAATACGTGGATCTGCAATTTGAAAATTATCTACGAGATGAATCTGGCCTAAACCGACGAAATATCGCTGATACAAGAGTGCACTGCTGTTTTTATTTTGTCAGTCCTTCTGGGCATGGGTAAGTGATAGATGGTACACTGTGCTTCAAAAGACTCTGCAGTCTTTATTTCACTGCAGACATTCAAGAAATAAGATTCTTATTTTTTCATCTGTCGACAGGAAGGCAATTTTTGCGTTGATTGCTAAAGCGGTTATAGTTTTTAAAACCCTTCACTTTCTTAAATTTTTGAAGAACCAGATTTTTATATCGTTAATTTAAAGGAAATTATGGTAATCCATTGGTAATGATTCGAAAAACGCCATAGCAAGAACCAAAAACAAAACCGCAACAACCTAATCATGCACATTGTCTTAAGCCAGGCTATACTTGTGACATAAAGTACCACGCCTACGGTTACATCTCAGTAAGAGATTTGCCAGTAACGACTGGAATTTGACAACCACGAAACACAAAAACAGTTCTGTTTCATGACATCTTTCATTTCAAGAACACATGACATCTTTTAAGAACCTAATCAGACTTAGCCTATCTGAAGAAGGACTGACGAATTAATGCCTATTTTTGATTTAGGGAATTTTATTTGAGATACGGATAGAAATCTTATATGTAACGATGGTCTTGAATGCCCATTATTTAAATTTGTGCAATTTTTCTTGCTGAAAAACTTGGTTTTCTGGGGATTGTTATCTAAGAATAATTTGCACGAGAATTCACTTTAATGCTCATTTTTTAGCAAGAGAAACGAAATGTGCAGATCGGTGATTTTTTGAGAAATCAATCATTGTTTAATTTTTGGGTATTTAAATAAACCCTCTTTTGCAAAACGTCCAAGATCCAAGGCCCATTCTATTTGCTGGCATGGCCCGTGTTTGTGCTTAAAATGGGCTGGATTTGATCTTATATATAAACTTCATTAGTTGTATCCGGGTCTTTTCAGTTATCATTAATGCGTTATTTTATATACCTTCAGATTTGCTCATCGTTCTATGATAAAATATTTGAATCTTTTGTGCAGACTAAAACCCATCGATGTGAAGTTCATGAAGATGCTGCATGAAAAAGTGAACATCGTTCCAGTTATAGGAAAAGCTGACAGCCTCACGAAGACTGAAATTGGAAAATTAAAGAAAAAGGTTTCCTCAAATGCCTTTGTTTTATGATTTTTTATATTTTATCCTTTTCTCTCTGAAGCACGTATGCACCTCTTTTGGTATGTCGTATAACATTTTAAAAATAATAGAAATATTAGCAAAACCACGTAGTTATTTCATAGCTGTTTATAGTTTACATAACTAGAGTTCATTACAGTTGCTAAAGCGTTGCCTGTACTGGTTTTGGTTTTCCAAGCGAATATAAGTGTAATCTGGCTCGCCGTAGATGTTTTGTTTTGACGATTGAACGCTTGAAGTTTTCCTTGATGTTAAAGACACACGACAGATTTAAAGGGTGTCTTGTGCCATGGGTCTGGGCAAGCTAAAAATAACAGCCAACGACCATCGGTTGTGAGATTTTGCATGTGATTGCTTGTTCATATTTTGCTGTTGTTGTTTTATTTGTCCATTGACAGAACAATTATTGGTGGAACAATAGTAGCCATGTAGCAAGATAAATTATCTGGTACAAGCGGTAAAAAGTTTGCTGGTCAAATACATTTTTAATGCACTTTTTGAGTTAATCAGTTTAATTTGCAGGTAATGGAGGAAATGCAGAAGCACGGAATTCGTCTGTACGACTTTCCTGATTGCGAGCAGGACGAGGATGAAGATTTCAGGAATTTGACGAAACAGCTCAAGGTAATTTCTCTCTGTGTGTGTATTGGAATAAAGAATTTTCGTCAAATTGATCCAGAATTTTCTGAAGTGGGAGAGCATTGCCTAAAGCATCATTATAAGAGCTATCATAAGTTTGATGTTTAGCAATTCGTTTTGGCATCTTCTTAAAGTTTTGTGCGGTCGAAGATTACAAGGCTTTATAACGTTTGGAATTGCTCTGCGTTCTCTGGTTGTTTTCTTGCTTTTGAAAGGTCTTTGCCTTGAAGCATGAGCAAGACAAAATTCATCTTTTTTGTAAGAAAATGTGAAACTGGTAGCCATTTGATTAATCAGTGTTTCGTTTCCGTTTGTAGGCTACGATGCCTTTTGCGGTGGTCGGAAGTAACGCTGTGCTTGATGTGAAGGGAAAGAAAGTCAGAGGACGAGCTTACCCATGGGGAGTCGTTGAAGGTATGCTCCTCATCCTAATGTGGAGTCAATTGTGGACTGAAATAAGTTTTTGATGTAATTGGGTTTTCAGTTTTAATTTTTACAAGCATCACGAGTAGAGAATTTTGCGATAATTTTTTACATTTTTTGACGTTTTGACCAACTTGAATGATTTTTAACCAATATGAATTATATAAATTTGATTGACGAAAAGGAAAGACAACAAATAAATTTTGTAAATTTTTGGTTTTGTTTTTACAAATATTATACGCAATTTAAAGTGAAAAAGGCCTAGATAAGCTTTCAGGATCTGTAAAGACTTTTTTGCTTACTTTAAACTAATATATTATGATGATGATAGATATTAAAAGATGGATGTACAAGTTCATATGAAGCACTATGCTTGCTATGCAATGATTATTAAAATGAATTTGAATTAATCTTGTACACGGAATGGCTGTTGTGCTCGAGACAAAGTCACGGCGTAAATAAACGGTTTTAGCTGGCTGCTTGGAAGCTGAATTGCTCGTTTTCTCACGTTCTTAGTTTTCCGACCAATCATAAAACAATAACTTCCCATGTCAGCTATTAACAGATAACGTATTTTGTTCCACTGGTTTTCGTTTGAGTTATCTGCTTCATTTAAAAAACATCAATTCTCTTTATAGTTGAAAATCCCGAACACAGTGACTTTGTAAAACTGAGAACCATGCTTATGTGAGTTTACGTTCATTTCAATATTGGCGTTTTTCTTCAACCAACTATGTGTATTCTTCTATAATTTTTGCATCTTAAGACTTTTAAGTGGTTTGAAATAACATGGAAAGATAATTAATAAATAAAAGGTTGCACTATATACTTTATATACAATTTTTGCTAAAATATCAATAATTTGTACTGAGGTTGTCTTCTTGCAGTTGCTTTTGCTCAAATCGATTTGATCCTTTATTTATGGTGACTTTTGTATACACATTTAGGAAAGCAGTTTGATATCACTGGTAACCTCGCCTTCTGTAACAAATATGCATACGAACTTAAAGCTGCAACTCTTTTATACCTCCAGATATTATTATTTTCAGTTTCATAATCAGCGGATGGTATTGATAGTACCAAATATTTCTTTGCAGTACATACATGCAAGATTTAAAGGAAGTAACTCAAGATGTGCACTACGAGAATTATCGAGCACAAAAGCTGACAAAGCCTGGGCAAGAAGTGGCCAAAAAAGAGTTAGTTTGATTGATAACAAGTTCCATCGTCAAGCACTGTATTATTTTTAACCTAAGTTTCTTATACGCTCTCTGAGTATTCATGTTTTTGATTGGCCCTGCTTGTTTCAAAATTAACCATGTTCTGTTCTCTTCCTAGACCTAGAGTGAATGCTGATGACAAGGATGCTTTGCTCAAAGAAAAAGAAGCGGAGGTTTGTATTCTCTTCCAATTTTGATAATTGAGCACCTACCCAATAACGCAGTTTTTTACCGCTGTGTTTAAGTATGCAATAAGATTTCTTTTCTAATCTTATTTTGGTCTTCGCTCAAGACCATAACTCAGTTGGGTCACAATGTTTTGACTCATCCGTTAGGAAGAGAACACTATTTCTTGCTGTAAGCTGTGCTCAGATGATTAAGAATTGCACGTGTATGTTTTGTTTTCAGCATTTTCAGTTTTTAAGCATTTATGCATTTCAATGTGTGGTTAATATCTGTAAAACGGCCAGCTTCGAGCCTTTGTTTTGAAGAGCATATAATACAATTATATGGGTGAAATCTTCTTATTTTTCAAAAGAATTCCCAGGACCGAGACAATGAGATCTAAGCTAAATTATGCTCCCAACATTTCTTTAATTTATCTGGTTTTAAGTCTTTTCAAGACAACTATGATTGTTGTGACGGCATTATCAAAATCTTTATGAATCCACGATAACCTTTTAAATGTTTATATGCAACTAAATTGAACACCAAAGCTATTATGTTCAATATACTCAAACTAAATTTAATCATGTGCAGTTTAAAAATTAAGCAATAGGGGTTTTGTCCTGTGTTTATTTTCTAGAACAATAGAGCTGGACGTCATGTGTCTTGTAAACAGAATAATGCCTTCAAAATTTTTTTTCAGTTAAAGCGAATGCAAGATATGATTGCGAAGATGCAAGCCCAAATGAAAAGCCAACAGCAGTGATTGAATATGTAGATGAGTGCTTGAAAGCAGGTCTTTATGTACACGTTACCGATTTGCCAAGGTCTGCTTTGTGGCCTAACGTAACTTGTGTATTTACGGTGCTGTATCTTGAGTTGCTATGACTGATCTCCTAAATATTAAAAGTAGACCTGTATAAGCATTTTACGGATATTTCTCATTTAAGGTATCCCTTTATTGTAAAATAAAAAAATTGTTCTTTAAACACTATTAATTTCCTGCATTGTATATGCTAGTAATAATTTAAAGCTATTTCAGATATATTTTCTTATGTCTCTTGTCCTTATTGAGGCAAAATATGAAATTATGTTTTTTTGCGATAGCGTTATTTTACAGTAGAGGGCATTTATATGAATTGCAAAATTTAAGCTAGTTTCTCTTGTATCAATGCTAACTCGTTGTAACTTTGGACTTTCAGAAGATATGTGATGAGGCCTTTTGTTTTGATTTGTGAAGATGCATGATTTCAAAAAAATTTTGATTTAAACCTCTGCTTTGGTGATTAAAATATTCAGCTATACATTTGCTAATGGCTTTTTGATGTTATTTTGTTTTTCTAGCACCTTTTTTGTTTGGAGGGGAAATTGAATTTTAGTGGTACCTGACTTTATGCAAGATATTCCAGCAATGAACCAAATTGCATTCGTCTCTCCTGTCATTAAGGATTTCGATTTCTTTGATTTGTTTTCTCATATCTTAGATATGGATTTAAATTCTTTGATATTTAGTGAAATTGTGTATTGTTTTGTATTCTTTGTTATTATTAGTATAATTATTATAATTGAGATTATCACGAGTTGACAAGTGACTTGTCTCAGAATCACTCTTCTTGCAACGTACCCATATCTTTGAACGTACCTTTGTGATTAGACAGCGACCTGCGTGCATGTCTCACTTCCTGTAAGCTTTTCCAACGCTCATTAGGCATGCTTGAGCTAGGGGCTGGGGGCTAGGGGTTGGTGGAGGGCTACTTTTTTGCTGAAGTGTGGTATCAAAGATGGGAAATTATTAGACCCTACCCCAAATTGTGTTCGTCCCTGCTCACTGATTTGCACCAGTATCCGTCGATGTCTACAATCCTGGTCGGGCAGTTGTTTTAGTTATACCCTCCCCCAGTTTAATGTTTATATTACCGAACAGCCATAGCACTGCAAAATTCAAAGGAGTTGTAGAAGTGTTTTCCTTTGCATTTTGTGCCTCTGCATCCATATTTGATAAATTACCTTGATGTGGCCAGTTCCGATGCCATTTTCGATGAATGGCTAGCAAAGAGATTTCCAAGCATAATTCGTTACCGTTGAACTATTTAGCTTTGGTAAATAAGTTTTTGGTGGCTTTAATAGTATTATTATTGCACGCGTTTTTGAAATAATCGTAGGTATTAACGAATCCACAAACTAATGTCGATACAATTCTTTTAAAAACGTTTCCGCCCTACCTAGGTTTTAATGAATTAAGCATGAAGAAGGAGTGAAGCGTTGATGCCGGATCATTTCTTTCGCTTTGCAAAATACCACATTATTGCAATTTGCGATGTATTAATGTTTTGCATCGGTAATTCGTCAGTTTGAGGCTAACCTCGGCGGGATTTGAGTGCAGAACGCACATCAAAGTGGAGGAAAATGAAAGAATGACTGCAGGGAATATTTCGATGTCTTGAACTACAAAAGAATGTCAGCTCGGTTACTGACATGACTCAAAGCAAACCATCAATACTATTTTATATAACAGTAATGTAAAATTAGTTTTGATTTTATTAAAAATTATGTTGCCAATTTTGTTTGATGTTTATGTTTGGGCTTCAGCTGTTTCCATAGGAGCGAGCTCCAAATTTACCCTAGAAAACTAGGGACAGGCAATAGCAGGGCTCGATATTCGCCTCAATCTCCCCGGATGAAATTCTACCCTATTTACAAACCTCAAAATTTCCCTTGAATACCTTGAATAAAGGTTTCTTATAAATGGAGAGTAAAATCATCTATCGTTTAGTTAGCGTTGAATCTTCGAGCACAACGGTAGAATCTTCTTATTTTTTACACACACTTGACAAATTATGCGTTGGCCTCCCACAAAACTACCGCATCTTTGGATAACCTTCCTCCGGCTTAAAACCACGAGCCCCTTGAGTTTTCTGGACACTGGCGATAGGTTTACTCTAGAAGAAAAACAGTTGAACCCGTTTGTAAGATATTTGTTAAAATAAGCGGACTTGTCGAGAGATCATCAGGATCATTTTGCAAAAAGAAGAGTTCTTTTTTAGGGTGGATTCAAATATATTGTTGTATCGCCAAAAGTTTTTCGTCATATACTAGCCCGGATCCTTCACCTCTTTACTTTAACATCGCAACATACGGGAATGTATTTCAAACAATTTTGTTACTTAATGTCCAGGCTCAGTGAGAAGTTTATCGAAAATGGTATATTTGTATTGAGGCTGATGGATTCACTCCAGTCCCTGCTCCACTTACAGTTGATTTGTTTGTTATCCTGCTCACCACTGCGGGGTCCCCGATAAAGGGGGGCCTTGCCCCCCTCCCCCACTTTTTTGCAAAACAATAGTTTTTTTCAAAATCTTTTGTTATGGGTGTTAAATTTTCCCTTGGCCCCCCCCCCACTTTTCAACCTTTGTCGGAGCCCATGCACTGCTCACCTTATTTTTAAAATGTTGCATTCCAGTTGAAACATATAAGAAATTAGCAAATTATCAAATGATTAGAAAAGAAAGTTGGCTTTGCTGAAAATATAGAATTTGCACTAGTACACCGGCGAGGTTTCCTTATCAGGTTAGGTTTCCTTCGTTTACCAAGGATTGAAATCCTGTTTCTTAACTCATCTACTGCTCAGCTATTCGTGGATTTCACATCATGGACTTGAAACAGAATTTTTAAAACCACCTGCTATGAAGCAAGATTTAATCATCTCTCAATATTCATCGCCCACGGCGAGCGGATTCTAATTGACTTGTCATTTGTAGATGGCGTTTTCATGACTATTTTAATGTTGTTTGGCTATGACGCATTCATTGGAAGTTTTAGTGCCCTACCTTTGCAAATAAATCGAGTTGCAAATAACTAGAGCAAATGTCGAGGGATTATCAACTTACATGTCAAGTGACAGGTGAATATATGCTTTTAAATGTCGTATTTTAAAACAACAACCACTTGGCCTGGTTTAAAAGATGGTGCCCAAGAATCTTGGGTGAATTAGGTGAGATCAATAAATCAATTCAATCTTTGTTCGACAATTTCAAAAAACAATCTTGCTTCCATTGATGTAGAACAACTAAAGGATCGTTGTGATATACACAAGTCCTTGAATAATTAAATCACGTTAATGGAGTAATCAAAAAACTCCAACGCGAGAGGAAAGTTATCACCATGGAAACCAATGAAGTGCCTCTGAATGAATCAGGTCGCGACCGTAATGGCGGATGGTCACGATTGGCATGCTCTTCACCTGTTAAATCTTAGATGAGAGATTAATTGGCATCACTTGCGCGTAAACCAATGCATGCCAAGCAGCTCGAAGCAGCCTGTGCTTATTTGCAGTGACAGAAGAATTTACCATAGACATGTTTGTAAAACACAGAGATAATCGGAGTGTAAACATTGTCCTCGTGGGATATCAGTAGACAGTGAAAGGTTACCTACAAATCGGGGATTTTTGCTCTGTTGTAGTATTATTCAAATAGATAGTTGTTTAAAGTCAGTATGTTTTTGTCTGATGGAAGCAAAGAAAGACGAACATTCCAAAGACAGGCTGATTCAACCAGTGAACAGCAATGAAGAGTCGACCGCAGGGTCGAGTCGAACAAGTGCAATTCCGTTAGCAAAAAATTCTAAAAGACAAGGATCGGTTGCAAAGGGTGACAAAGAAAGTGAACCTTTAAAAATTCAAGAGACATCCGAGAAGGATAAAGAAAGTGCAACAATAAAACCTGGTGGTTTGCCAAACTCAACACAATCAGAATCGAAAAGAACTGGAGGAAAGAACTCGAGGTAAAACCGTCATTGTTTTATAATTGATTGAAAATCAGGGCAAATTATTCCTTGATTTATTTACAGCAATTAGCAGAAATAATTTTGTCAATGAAACCTGACAATGAAATATTGAAAGCCGCGCTTTAATCGAGAACATTCTTACTTACCTATTTAATAATGTTCGAAAATTAAAAGCGTATTGCGAATTTCGTCTTAGCAAGTCAAAATTTTATTTTATTTCAAAACACTAAAAACTGAAGAAACTTATACAAATCCTACCTCTATATTCAAAAAAATTATAAAAGAGCTTAGCAATTTTGGAACCTATCACCTATTTCTTGATAACATAAAAACCAGATTATCTTTTCAATCGTTAATTCATTGTTCATGTTTTGCAATAGTTTTGTTGGTGATTCAAGCGTGTTAACCGAAACCCCAGCGACTTGTTTCGTGGTTTCGTCAACTCGAGGGGGATTTATTTCAATCAGTTAAAAGATTAGCAAACTTGTTCTTTGTGTGCAAGATATTTTGAAATATTTTGATTGGAGCCAACAGCCTACTCTTTCTTGAGACCTTAGAAGGGAGATGGTGCCAATTCTCTGCTAAGATGTTTCGTTCGTTAAAAAGTTTCAAAATTTATTAAAATGTATATTTGCTGATTATAGAATTGAATATTCATTTCGCTATTCTTAAGATTTTTCAACTTTGAACAGGGAAGCCTGCACTCAAAGAGGGCACGGGGGCAAAGCGCCAGGGAAAAGGGCAAAACAATAGTAAAACGAAGAAAAATTCTCAATTTTGCGGGGGCAAGGGAAGCTGCCCCCGCTGCCCCTGGGCGCAGACGTCCTTGACTTTCCGCCCTTTTCTTGTGACAGTTCAGGCTCTCAAAATGCTAAGACTTTGATATTTTTTAAAAAACTTGATACATTTTTCGAAATCGGATGAATCACAAGTAACGCAAAAACTTTACCTTGAATTCATTCTCACTTTGCTCTAATGCTTTCTTATCAATATTACTTTAGCTTTAACAAAGTTGATCAAGTTATTGCCTTGATTAAACGATTATTGTGCTTTCTCACTTAACTAATTAATTGTGCAACCATTTGCAAATTTTTTTCTAATTCCTTTTGAATACGATTAACACTTTATCAAATGATTCTTCGCAATTTTAAAGCAGAAACAATCTGTGACGTCATCATGCTTGTTCTTCTTTTTTCCTCTTTTTATTAAAATTTCGCGATTGCATGGTTTAAATTGGAAACAGAGGTTTTGTTATGAGATTGAAGATGCTTTTGAAACGGTCTTTTCACGAACCTCTTTTTAATTCAAAGTTTTCTATATACTCAGCTACTTGTCTTGGTCCCAAGTTGTTTGAAAGCCTTCCCTACCCGGCACTTCTTTACATCTTTGTGTCCAGGGGTTGGCAATTCTGCAAATTCTTTTGTGGACCTTTTACACCTTTCATGAACGGTTCTGTACCAGGCACGAAGATAAAAGCAAGTTCAAATACATGAGGTAGCTTGCAAATACAATGCCCACTCATCCCAAAGGGCCAAAACTGTTGCTGCATCCCTACTTTATTTATTCTGTCCTTCGTTGCCATTACTAATCTCTATTCCAACTTGACTTCATCGTTAGATCTATGGGAATGATTGGAAAGAGGACCAATCGTTCTCTATGCTCTTCATCGCAAAAATCGTTTATAGCATGACCACCGTTTAGTGTAAAGGAACTCGCCAAATCTAAGCCGCTATTGTCCAACATGGGTACTAGTTAGTGCTATGTACCCAAAATTACAAATCTGGCAAATTTTTCTTTCTTGAGATATGATTGTCCTAAGCTGTTTACTTGAATGACTCAAAGTGACGATGTCGATTTTATTTTCCAGCAACTCTTCCGCCAAAAATGTATCGCGTACAAGCTCAGCAACTGACCTTGAGAATGCCAGTTCAAACAGCATCAAAGTCGTTGTAAGGTGAGTTGCAATTTACGATCATTGGTTCTCTGCATGCTTTCATTTATTGTAAACTTTTTGGTCCATTTTCTGCATCCTGGTCCTTTTGCTGCGCGCCTTTGCTAAACGGCGTTGGTCCCTTTGTATTTTCACCGATGCCTAGAGGATTATAATGACAACGTGTTTGCTTGAACAATGCTGGTGCTCTCAAATGCGTGCTAGGCACCTATATTTATGCCAGTATTCTTGTTTTTAGGGGAATGTAGAAAAAATTCAAGTAACAACATGAGGAGCGAGTCTATATTCTCATCAACAAGCTCTCTATATTGAACTGTAGACTCATATTTTCGGATCTTAAGACATTTTGGTACAATTTTTTCTCGATCAATGAAAAGAACAATTTCAATGTTTTGTTATCAAACTTCAAGTGTTTGATTTAGTTTTTCAAGCTCAAACTTCCGTGTTTCGGATTCTTTTTCAGGGTTATTTGTAAATTCTCACTTGAAACGGGATACAGTCCTTGATAGTTCAGCTTTGTGAATGAAAAAATATTTTGGGTTCCTGTGTCGAAGACATTGTTGTGCTTTTCTTGGCCAGCTGGCTTCGTTGTAAGCTATGTTGTTATTAGTCAGTTTTTGGACAGTTCGCGATACGAGCCAGAATGCAATGCGCGTTGACCGGTCGGTTATGTTCTTTCAGACCTCGAGTGTCGTACATCGCAGTGCATTGTGGACAGGGTCATAGAACGGTCTAAATGGTTTTTGCTGGATGAAGAAGTCTTTTTCATGATGAGAACAAAACTATGTTCTTTTGAACAATGAAATGACGCTGGAATGGAGAGGCAAATCATGTTAGCATTTATTAAGGCCCTGCTTATAAAGATCCTATTTTTGCGTCGATGTTTCGCAAATTCAAAACAACAGCTCAAAGAAAGTTCCTCAAAAATGCATTTTAATCATGTTTTGTAAATATCTAAACCAGGCTAGAGCTAAAAATATCCACTAAGTTTCTATCTGCTGTAGAATTATCAAAATAGAGTCAAGCCTTTGTCTGCAATTTTTGGAAAGTTCAGGTCAAGGCAAGGCGACGCCGGTATCTTGCTCAAACTGCGCTTTACGTATTCTCACGGTAAAACATTGTGGGCAACATTTTAATTCCCTGCACAGAATCGATTCGTTTTCTTTTAACTTTTTTGCTATGCAGCTCTGTAAAAAACAAGTTTAAATGAAATCGAGAAATAAGGACTGCACATGCAATTCATAGCTTCAAATCTCTAATAGTAAATATTTTGCGCTGCTTCTTAATTTCAGGGTCAGACCAATTAATGCATTGGAGCTTCGTAAGGAGGAGAAAGCAAGCATCGAATTTCCAGAAGATGGGGTCATTTGGGTATGTGGTTACACTTCTTTATCAATACGTTTTTCTTACCAGGGATTGAATTTCAAGCAGCATTCAGCAGATAGCCTCCTCCGGTCCTTTTAAGATAATGAACCAGTATTAGTGAGTATAAAAAATAGCATCAATGATTTGCTGGATGATGGGATGTAATCCCGGGTCTATCCGTCCACTGGTACACAAAGCCCTTTATTAAATTTTATCATATTATAATCATACCATATGAGTTCTTTAATCTTAGCAGTACTCTAGGAGAGAGGAGGTTGATTGAAAAATGTTAATAAAAAAGCTGCTGGTATCTATTTTTTCCACGTATTCCAGAACTTTTTGCCAGAATACAACCGTGATTTATCGCTCGTATATGTTTCTCACGCAAATTAATATTGTTAGGCGTAAAGGTAGAGGGATTTCTTTAGATTCTATTACAAAATACAATTGGGTGATTAAACTTGACATTCGTAGGTTAATGCGCAAGGGAACACCAAACCTTTCACGTTTAATGAAGTCTTTCAAGACAAAGCCTCTCAGCCTGAGGTAGGTTTTTATTTAGAAAGACACATCCCTCTTTTAATTAACTCTTTTTTCGATACATGGAGAATGACAATTGTAGCACACAATGTTCAAAAATTATTTGAACTAACAATTGATTTTTATCTTCATTAGTCATACAGATGATCCAAATTTAAGTAAGTTTCTCTGTTTTTAAGAACAACCAGGCTCGGATTTCATCGACTGCTTGACATTTTTTCTATCTAATTATTTTGAGTGAATAAGACTAGCCTGACTTTCATGAGAAAAGTTTGAGGTACATTCATCAAGCTTGTTTTGTGCCAGTATTTCTCGTTTTCTACAATGTTTTCACTGAGGTACACTCATCAAGCTTGTCATGTGCCAGTATTTCTCGTTTTCTACAATGTTTTCATGAATAAAAATTCAGTAGCAAAGATTTAAACTTTATTTCTCAATGACTGAATTTGCACGTTTGTTCGGTTAAGAACGACTTAAGGATGATTGTAGGCTCTGCAAAGTTAACTACTGTCCCAAATTAAATAACAACTTATCATGATAAGCGAATTTTTTTCTGCATTTTTAGGAGCAATCTTTGCTTCTTTTCTGAAAAAGACCCTAACTTGGAAAAAACAGCACCTTTGTTTCAGATTAATGGAAAACCACTTTTAAATTTGTGACCATTGAGGAAGAAGTCGCTAATTGAAATTGAAAAGCTGTTCAGAGGGAAATCTGATACTTGTCTGCTGTAGGCCAATCATTTATTCTCTGGCTTAAGATATCAAGAAGCTGCCGAATGCGATAAATCTCGCATCTTTCTTTAATCCTTTTTGTCTTATTCTGCAGATATTCAATCAATGTGGGATCAAAGGACTCATCGAGAAAGCATTAGACGGGTGAGCTTTCTTTTGCCAAATTATTACATCCTAAATACTTGTGCCCTTATGAATAATTCAGCATTTTCCTGGATTGTGTCTTAAATGCTGGAAAATTTTGCCAAAAAGATTTGGCCAGCTTATAAAATCAGCCAAACCACTTGCGTGAAGATTTAGATGCGTCTAGAAGATTTTAATTTTAATTTTCCTCGATTTTCAGTGCATTGTTGTCTGGTTTTAATTTTAAAAAGTCTGATTCATAACATATTGAGAAGACTGACTTGCAAAAATTTCAGTTTATCCCCATAACAAAATTGGCACACTTAGTTGATTTCCATGTAAATCAATCGATGTGCATAAGTTTTTTTTGAAATTCACTCTGATCTCCTGAAGGCTAGTAATTTGTGTAATTGAAAAACAATTGGGTAAAGTTGAATAACATCGCTAGGCAATTTTGTCAGTAAGCGATGTGCATAAAAGCTCCTTTTTTTAAAACCATCTATGGATCCAACAGTCCGGAGGTTGTTTACTTTTTGCTCTGTTATTTGGACACGGTCAAACGCGGTATTTAAATTGATAAACTGTTCCTCGCAGCTGTATTTCGTTTCTTTATTTCAATAGTTTTCCCTTTCTTTTTTCACTTCAACGTTGTCAATAACCAATATATAGATTTTTCATTTAGCTATATTGGTAGCTTCTGTAGGTTTTTCAAAGTGTCTGTGATCTTATGCATTATCAGAGAGACTTACTTTTTGTAAATTGTCTTTAGTACCTTTCTTATCATCAATAGATTCTCTTGCACTGCATTTGCCTTCGGTCAGACCGGATCTGGAAAGACGTACACAATCACCGGTCCATATAATCCGGTATGTCTTCGCTTTCTAGTATTATGGATAAATGAAAAAAAACGAAATAATTGCAAGATTTAAAGAATAAATGATTAATTGTGAGGTTTCTGCCACAAAAGTTAAAGGTGCAACGAATCAGGGCCATCGCAAGACAAGCCTTGTTTGGGGGAGGGGGGGGGAGGTGTGGACTACAAAACCTCTGCAATACATTTTGCCAATCTAACTGTGTGGTATATAATTCGCAACATTCATTTTAAAATGATAATAACGGACTTTCCTAATAGTTTTGCCAAATCTGTATACCGGGCCGGGCAACTGCCCAAGGTGGCACGATGGTTGCCGCCGAAGGAACAGGAAAAATCTTTCGAATGTTGATGCTTCCAGTTCCCTGGAAAATGCTGGAAAATGCAATCCTCCTAATCCTAGCGAAAATTCTTTAATTTTTGCAAACAAATTGATCAGCAGATAAACACAACTGGTACAATTTCGCCGTGGTCTTGAAAAATTCCATGTTGTCAGTTACTTCTAAAGCTAGGTAACAAGCAACACTGGTTTTAGATCCCTCTTTCCATCTTAGCATGCCTTTTTAGGAGAAATGGATACAAGGCCTGGATTTTTAGATTTTGTGGCAACAAGAAATCTTCAAATCTTCAAATCATTACTTTGTTTATCTTCCTCCATATCAAGAAATATCATATTTAGCCAAAAGAGCAACTACTTTTGCTTGATCCTTTATTGAAGTTATAAATGACAGTCGCTGAAATATCTAAAGCGTTTCTTCCACTGGGTGGATTTTACCTGAAATTTCCTATCAAGATGCTATTCGAGGGGGGGGGGGTGTGACACCCCCACACCCCTCGTTCGCGATGCCCCTGCAGCGAATAAAAGAAATTCTACTAATCTCAACACAACTATTCCTGAACGACAAGAATTGGCAGCTTTGTATCCAGGCTCAGTATATCCGATTGTATAGCATTGCGTTATGGTTTTATAAAGTTATTTCTGACGTTTGTGATAAAGTATTTCAATATTGGTGCACCCAGGGGCGAAACTTCACTATTTTCATTAGGGGGGTATGAAGCTTAGATGCCCGACGAAAGGGCGTGGCATGCTTGATGAAAGGGCGTGTCATACATGAACTTCATTTTTAGAGCACATCGCCTCAAGTGCTGAAATCATCGGGAAGCCCGAGAGAGGGTCTTTAGACTCAGGCTGTTTGTTTAAAGTCAAGAAATATGCCTCTAGTTTTTCTGGTGCTGGCTATAAACATTTGTTTCCGAAAAGCAAGCATTTTTAAGGCCTGTTTTTTCTATAAAAGAAAAAAGTCCACTTTCTAAATCACCTAGCTATTAAGAGAGCAATTCAAAAAAGGGGATTGAAGTAGGGTCTCAATTTTATCAAAGTGGGACACCAAAACACAGCTAGGAAATTTCGGAATTTAGAAACAGCTACGCAGACTACAATGTTTCAACAAAAAAGAGCTTCAGTTGCATTTTCTGAGTTTCATTTTCAATTTTCGGTTGCTCCGGAAGCAATTTCAACATTTTTAGACACCCAAGCACAAAGTACGTATCTCTAAATTCACCATAACAAAATCCCTCAAGCAAAGGAAAGTTTTTTATTGGATGTATTTTACAGGTACACCTATCATTAAAGCTCAATTTTTGTGTTTTCGTAATCATGGATAATGTTCAGAAATAGAATAAACTCGAAAATTTTATGCAATTCATATCTTAACTACAATTTCTTGATAAATTTTATATTATTTGCCGCTTGAACTGATTGAAACTTTCTGTTACTTGTTACAGTTATTCGAATCTTTTTAGTTAAAAAACTTTGGCGTCTGTATGACCATTTTCTAGCGAAGGGTGCAATACTTTCGAACTGTAAGTGTAAAACCTTAAGAGAATTTTGGGGCATAACTCCTTATGAATGTATGATGAAAGTTTCATACATTTGGAAAAGAAAGTATTGATTGATTTTTCTCAACAACGTATTCCGAGATGGTATATCCTTCATGCTTTGATTTATGATGCTTCCAAAACTGTCAGTGTTCCATGGGCTCCGAGGCAGAATGGAAAGGGGGGGGGGCGGGGGCTTGTCAAAGGAAAATTTAGAAATCACAACAAAAGATTTTGAAAAAGCTCTCTTGTTTTGCAAAAAGTAGGGGGAGGGGTATGCACAGTGTTCATTTCCTTCTTGCATCAAACACACTTTACTTTCAATCCATACTTTCGCTGTCGATCAATACTTAGACTTCATCTCGAGGCGAAGATAAACATGCGCGCATCGAGCTCGAGACGAAAGCGCTGATCGGTGGACGAAAGACAGAAATGTATATATGTTGCTGTTCCTAGCCTCGTTTCTGTTTTGTTTTTTTAACTGGGAGGAGATTGAAAAAAAGATGGGGGAAAATACCATGAATTAAAAAACCAAGCTAGGGCAAAAAGTAGCCATAAAAGTGCGACCTAAAGAAAATTTCCAGATTTGCCCGACAGATACACTGGCAGCCATAAATTTGCCCGACAAAATCTGCTTTTTTGAAGGTTGGGGGGGGTGCAGCACCCCCCCATACCCCCCAGTAGTTTCGCCCCTGGGTGCGCCACAAAGTAACTAATTATTTCTTACAGGAAGCCAATGAGGTTCTCCCGTCTGAAGAATTATATGGCCTGATTCCAAGGTATAGAGTTACATAATACACTGCGAAGTTGCTATACTGAGAAGAACTTGATCTACTCTGACGGTCTTTTTAATTGACTCTGATTCCGTAAGCCGCCTCCCTCTCCCTAACTTTTTTTTACTGTGTTCACTTAAGCAACTTAGGTAGCTTTTGGAGCCCACTTCTAGCTAGTTGCTATAGAAAATTGAAAAATTGCACAATTGTACCAGGATTTAGTTAACTCGTTGAAAAATAACTGGATCTTCCAACACTGAGTTTTTTTAGTTGTGACCAAATAAAGGCAAGGTCTATCACATCCACTCTTTAAGCCAGTGGTATTTTTCTCTGCAAATTTTGAATTACTTTTTCTTAATACTTATCAGAAAACGTGTGAGTGCAATGTTTTAAAGTTAATTCTAAAATTTCTGAACAGTTATAGATCAATGATTTATTGCTTTGTTCACCAAGCACGTTTTCAGTCTTCGTTTTCGTCGTTTTCAGACGATAGCACTACTTGGATGCATAATGGAACAGACAACTTGAAGTTGGACCTGAAATTTATAATAATTTTCGCCTGATTTGAGCGATTTGAGCACCCACTAACCAGGGTCCAAAGTAAATGACTGCTACTATCTTTTTGTTTTCTCTTCAGATCTTTTGAATTCCTCCTTTCGCAAGTAAGGCAACGCGAAGAGAATTCCACTCTGAAAGCTGCCTACTTGGAAGTTTATAATGAAAAGGTAACATCGTTTTGATACTTGCACCCCTCTTTCTCATTGGCATTTTGTTTTTTGATAATTAATTCATTCTCGCTTCCATGTTCATTGCTCCCACAAGATGACAAAAAGACTGCCTTGAACATATCAAGACTACGAGATCTGTCCCTCGTGTCTATTCTTTCGAGCCAATTTCACAGTTTCCTGAACTTTGTTACACTGCCCTTCAATTTTTCCTTGAGTTTCCAATCTTCTCGCATATCAGCCCCTCCATTCCCATCGTCTGCCTATTAACAGACTGTCATCTACAATTAAAAACAACTTTTTTCAAACTTTTCTTTAAATGACATTTCTTTCTGTATAAGTAGATGCGTATCAATAGTGTTCAAAGGATAGAGAGAGAGATTCAATTGCAAACAGTAACTAAAACTGTCATAGCCAACAGTACTTTTGAATAACGTATTGCCTCTGACACTTCTGAAATTTTAGAATTTAATAGTCGACTTGGAGGGTAATTATTTCGCTGCTCAATTTAGGTAAAGGATCTGCTGAACCCTTCAACTGCCCGGGAATCTTTGCCGGTACGATGGTCCTCTACCAAAGGTTTTTACGTTGAGAACTTATTCATGATGGAATGCGAAACACTTGAAGACTTCATGGCTGTGTTGGAAGAAGGGCTAGAGAACAGGAAAGTTGGAGGTCATGCAATGAATGACCACTCGAGTAGAAGTCATACGATGCTGACTGTCTATATTGATTCAGAGATCGTAAGTACAAGGCCTGTTTCACTTACAAGGGCCGTACTTTGCATCGAGGTGCATCTCCTTCACTGACTCAACTACTTAGCAGGCTGCAATTCTTAATAAAAATTTATTGGAATACCGTAAAATTAACATTCAAGAGTTTGCACCCCTGGAATCTCTCCTTGTTAACAACGTTCTCTGATCCCTTTTCTCCTACCCTACACAAAATTGATTCCTTCATTAAAAGTGTTTGTGCGCTCAGTGCAAGTCAATAGATTCTCTCCGAAAATCTTACAATAGGGATAATCAACAAAATTTAAACGGGAAGAAGGGAGACTCTATAATGACTTAAATACTTTGTATAGGTGCTCCAACAATATGGTCAAGGCACCCTACACCCCAACAATAACCTGCTCATAATTTCTGCCGCTCTTTCTAGTTTACTCCAAGCACCATACCAAATTCAAACTAATTTAATGGCAAGTCAAATCCCAAAACAAGGAAGTTTAAATCAGTGGTCTGTTGGGTTGAATTTCCTCGATCTTTCTGATGGCTCAATGGAAAGCGCTTTGATATTGTTCTGACAGCCATACAGTAATCCATAACCAGGTCTTCAATTCAAAGGATTATTTATCTCTCAAACCTAGAAAGTAGCATTGCTGTATTCTAAGCCGAATAATTTAACACTGAAACTTTGACTACAAAAATTATGATCGTCATTGATGATATTTAACTGCTAACCAAAAAATTTAAAAGTAAGTTGCTATAGAATCACAACGTGTTTTGTTAGTTTTGTTGCATTCATGCTGACATCTTATATTTCAGATTGACCCTGAAGATGATCTCTCTGTAATAAGGCAAGGGAAGATCAGTTTTGTTGATCTGGCAGGTAACTGGTTGATTGTTAAGTCTAACTGGATATTCCTACGGATAGACACTCAATTCCTCCGCATAATGCCTTTTTCAGGCCATCTTGAAGTTGTCTCCCTTCCATTGCTACTTCCACGAGGCAACATGATGTAATATTTATTCGTTGATTTATTCTAGGCAATGAAAGAGTCAAAGAAACCAAAGCAACTGGCGAGGCTTTGACAGAATCTCAAAACATCAACAAGAGCTTATTAACTTTAGGTCTGTTTTGTCAAATGTTTTTCCCTACGCATCAAAACATTCCTGAAAATTAATTGAATTTTGCAATTTGATTGCTCGTTTATACGTTATTCTTTATCAATTTAAGTTACTTTTATCAATTTATCAACTTTTTAAAATCTTTCTCCGTTAATTTATCAGAAATTTATCAGAAATAGTTACGAGCAATAATTTTTCTACATATTCCTTAACATTTTTATCCAATTTTTGTGTTTATCATTTTGCGATGAATATAATCGAATACGCCAACTGCTATGATTTTCATATTTCGTTACAGGGAACTGCATTGCTGCCCTCGGGGACCCGAAGAAACGCGGGGGACATATTCCTTACAGAGACAGCAAATTGACGAAGCTTCTTGCAGATAGCATTGGAGGTGAAGGATACACGTTAATGGTAAGGTAGATTTGTCAAGATTCACTGTCAATGCACTTTTTCCTATCCATTACACCTGTATTATCCATACCAATTAACTATGCATTAAAGTCCTTTCCACTGTGTAAATTATCGAATTATATTTCTTATTATATAATGATATTATTTGTTATCTACATCCATCATGTATTATCTATCATGTATAACCTAATCGTTTTCCATATTATCTTAGAATAATATTTAGTATTAAGCTATAATGTTCAGTATTATCTACAGACATCATGTATTATCTTTCATGTATAACCTAATCGTTTTCCATATTATCTTAGAATAATATTCAGTATTAAGCTATAATGTTCAGTATTATCTACAGACATCATTTATTACTTAGGGTATGTTTTGTTCTTCTAATGACCGAGCTTCAATTAGTCATACGCTTCATGCCTAAAGCTGACTGGATTTCTATTTATCTGGTGGGCAGCCGTCAGAGTTAGCCGTGCAGAGGGTAGTTGGTACGGAGTGGGCGTTACGCCTTCAGTCAGAGCTAGTAGGATGACTGTGACGAGACACATAATATTGGTTTTCTGAGCTCACCATTTATGTATCTTTGTTGCTATTATGCTCCAATGTTGCTATTATGATGTTTTCCTATTTTCTTACAGAAGCCATAGCACAGATTTTAACTAAGACAGTTCATGTTTGAAGCTTCAATTTTTAATAAAACAATCTTTTAAGAACGATGGCTCTCTGTTCTGAATTAGGAAAGCAAAATGATAAAACAATTACTTTTTTTATTGCGCAGATTGCCTGTGTGTCACCGTCGTCAACAGCCCTACAAGACACATTAAATACACTTCGCTACGCCAACAGAGCAAAGAATATTAAGAACAAGCCGGTCGTCAAAATGGTAAGTCTTATGGTAGTCATTCAGCCTCCATGTGAGAGTGAGGTTTTGTGAAGAAAAGAGTTTGTCTCCCAAAACCGACAACGGTAATATGCCCACCTACCAAACCAGCTTCTAAAAGAGGTTCAGTTCAATCGTTCAAAAGGTTTTTGTTGTCACTGTATTATCATTTCAGACAGCAGGATGTATAGTTGCTTTAAATGCGAATGCCAAAGAAGCGTAAAGAGCGTCTCTATTTGTGTACTTGAAGCTTTGTTATGTGTCTAAAGGCTTTCTTTTTCAAGACTTTTAATAACTAAATTTCTTGAAGAATTGCAATATATAGAGACCAAAACTACGATATATATTTTTTTTTCACCAGAGCATGTCTGAAACGATTTCCATCAATTTTTTCATCAAATGGTTTCACAAGCTTCAGCTGAACTTCTGAATTTACTGTTGTTTGAGGCTTTTCCAACAAGTATAAGAATTAATATCCTGACAAATAATTGTCTTCCAGTAAAAAGGGTGACACTTTAAAGTTAGACGTATATCCGCTCAGAATAGAGCTACAAATAGATTCTGGATTCGATTTATTCTGGCAAACATTACTGCTTGCCTTTCAATTATGTGAGAGTTTGTCGCTGAGAAATGAAAATATATTTCTTAAACAGAGTTCAAAAGTCCACAGAGTCTATCATAGCCGCTGATAATTTACTTTTCTGATAGTGAGAGAATTGTTTTCCTTTGCTTTTTGTGTCTTTGATGTAGTGATTGATAGAGTGCTGTGAAAAAAACAATAATTGGGTTAACTACGAAATAAGCAATTTCGATGATAAGTTGATATAATTCCATGTCTATTCTATTGTGAAAATGAACTTGAGAAAAATTGTAAATGTTTTGTCAACAGGACCCTAGAGAGCAACTGATCATAAGCATGAAAAGAGAGATGAAGCTTCTGAAGGCAGAAAATGCCTACTTCCGGCAACAGGTATAAAGCAACTCTGCTCATAAAATTGTATTAGCAATGCTCTTCGCCGACGTCTTAGGTAGCCTTGCTCTGTTTCTAATCAAATTGATACAATCAGGTGGTTTGAGCTTTAAGGTTGTGTGTTGAAACAACTTCTTTCAACAAGAGAGAACTTGTTTTGTAAAATTTCCTTATATTTACCCAATCGAGTAACCTGATCTTTATTGGTTTTCAGCTTAATATACCGTGTTCGGACTCTCAAGTTGTCATAACACCGGAGCAGATTCAGGGGGTAATGAGTGCTGATGAGAACAGTGGCTCACTGAGTCCTGCCATTGGCACCAAAACGTACTCTTCGCTTGAATCTTCAAGTAAGCAATTACAATTACGATAACTGATCCCTTGTTCTCGCTGTTAAATCATATTTCAGAAACGACAGCTCTTTCGAACAATTAGACTCTAAGGATATAGCTTTACTAGACCCTAGAAAAGTGTCCATTTTTCTTGTACGATTGCCTGTTCATCAATTGGTCATCACACTTATATCAATAACCTTTCTATTTCTTCATGAAAATGTGATTTCACCAGCATTCTAGCAGATCTGCATTATTTTCCAACAGGCAGGAATAGCTTGTCAGAAGTGAAGTCTGAAGAGACAGTTCCCAGAGCTACAACTGCAATGTTTGTATAAATTTGCAATAACTAACACCTAAATTCAAGCAAATTCAGGAATTTCGATTGCCTGAAAATTTGAACCATTACTAAGTCGAAAATAGACTTTTATATTCATCCTATTCAAGTACAATTTTTCATAAATCAAGTAAAATCTCCTTCCTTTGGAAGCGCCAATCACCTAACATTGAGTATATAATGTGCCTCTATTTGATAAAAATGTCAGCTCTAGTCGGGTTTTGGTTTTAATCCTTTTAATATTTTCACAAAGTTTTTAAAATAGTCGATATTATCTATAAAATAATGAAAGGCTCTTGCTTAATGGAATTTGTTCTCTGTTTTTTAAAAGTTGTTTACGAAGTCTAAATGCAGGTACGACTTTTGTAGGGAGTTAGCTTAGCATACTGGTTCAAGAGACATCGATTTGATTTTCAATTCAAATTTTCAAGACTTATTTAGAATGGTATTTTTTGTTAACAATTGCCAGGATATATCAAATAAAGTTGAAAATGAATATTGCCTTCATAAACACAAAAAGAAAGAAGAAAAACTAGTATAGTAATTAGAGGAAAATCTCTTAGCAGACATCGCTTTAAATTGGAAATAAATTTCTTTTTCAACCTTGTGTATTACAAAGTGGCTTTGTTCATTTGATACTCGTTATGCCAATTAATTCCTTAAATGTAGATGAAATTACTTATGTTTCTAAGTATTTCCCTTTAGGTATGCCATGACAGCAAGTATTGGGCTGTATGACATGCTGCAAGAGTACATCAATGAAAACGAAACACTGAGGCAAGTTCACGTTTGCTGTTTCTTAATTTCTCTTGTTTACAATATTATACACCTGTCAAAAAATAATTGTTTCAAAAGGAGATAATATTTTTCAGATATTGTTTCAGAATTGTTGTATTGTAAGTGGTACGAAGACTAAACATACAGATGTGAAGATATAGAAGCTTGACAAGTAGATATCGACCCAACCATGAATATAAATTTCTGCTTACCTTTTTGTCATTATCAGAACTCTATACTCTGGAAATCATCGGATGAAATTACTTCAAAATTTTGTTCCGTTTTTTGTGCTATTTTCAAACACAACATGACGAAGATAACTTTTAAGACAGCCAGACTACGTAATTGAAAAAAGCAAAACAAAAAACCACGTAAATGTCCTGTAATGAACAAGCAAACAAATTTATTCACTTTTAATGTCAGAACAATCTTTGGACGCCTATTGCAATTGCATGTTTACTGCATGCAAACTATAGAGTAAAATTTGTGACATTTTTATTTAATGTTGTAAGGTTCTCCTACTTTCTTGGAGGAACATAACACTGAGAGGTCCTGAATCTGGTGGAAACCCCACTTTTCCAACAAAAGACGTACAAAATTTGACATTGCAACAGAAAAGCAAAAACGATTGTATACGGACTATTTGAAAGTTTTCATAAACTCTGTGAAATCTTAATGGCATTAATTTGATCTTCTAGGCAACAGAATTTCGATTTGTTTAAAAAGAGAAAAGAAGTTGAGAGGGAGTATGAGGTATGTTTTTTCACTAATTTTGATAAGTAAAGTTGATAAATAAATTGTTCAGTACGGTTTTAAATCCATGATATTCCATTTTTCCCTAACACCAAAACTTTCTTGGCAAAATCTGATTGATTGTTTATATTTGTACAAAAATTGAGAAGTGACTATCTTTTGCATTTAAAATCGATGCTAGCGATTAAATATGAACTTTATGGATTCGCCGTTCAATGTTTTTGACTTACTTTTTACTATTTCCCACAGCTGCTTTCTATGAAAAATGACAGTTTGAGTCAAAAGCTGGGCAATATAGAAAGGTATTCAATATTTTTATGTACCAAAATGCAGTCTGAATGCGTGCATAACTTGACGAGTTTTTTACAATATTTTTGCTCTGTAGCAAAAGAAAGTGTTCCGCGCAAAGCAAGTTCATTAAAATAAGAATTAGAAGTATTTATTTGAGATGTTTAAAAGATTTGAGAATTAAGTTTCCAGCGCGAGGCCTTTTCTGGTGTCATTAGGTGAAAATAAAATTGTTCCTGTGCAATTCATAGTTAAACAGTCACATTGCTTTTGTAGTATTATAATATTTGTGCTAAGATTTGTGAGAGCTTTATTGGCCAAGGCCAAGACGAGGCTGAATAAGGATCGCTATACTTTTTAAATTATAATGCATTGTACTTTTCAAATCAATATTATCAAATATAATCAGGAGTAAAAATATTTCTTGAATATTCGTTTGTGCCTCACTAAATGCAAAATTACTAGCTGACTGTAAACCAGGCCGAATTTCCTTGTAAGCTATGAAATATCATTGCAAACTCTTTTAATTTTGACACAGAGCTTTAAGCAGCACATCTTTGTCCACTCGATCTGACTCTGAGGACACGTTGACGGACAGCCGACATGATCGAAGGCCTTCCTTGCATGGTGAGTTTTTTTATAGCGAGTTTACTGAGGATGCGCCAGACACAATGCTACAGAAGAGCCATGGGATTGCAGTCTTTGCCATAGTTTTAAATTCTAGTTATGATCTTTCTAGATGCTTTGAAGGACTAATTTTTGGCAATATTTTCCCTTTGCGTTCAAGGTTATGACGTAACAAGACAAGTTAGAGATTGAGTGGCTTTACGCAGTTTTAATTATATTTATTGTCTTAAGTTTCGATTTAGCGACTTGCTGGTTTGTAATGTTCCTGCCCCAAACTTTTGAACCCCTTTCATTGTAAAAATCCTGGACTCAGTGATTAAGTTTATATCTCTGTTGCAACAATGTATATTAATTAGTGGCCGTTCAAAATTGGTAAGCGATTAATTATATGGACCCTAATGAACCAAGGCGTTGCATCATCTTTTCCCTATCTTCAGACTCTTTCTGTTTTAGATTTTCAGAAAGAGGCAGGCTTCAATCTCACTTTCCCGCCACTTCGATCTGGCACTTATCCCAACATCATCTCTGCTGACGTGGATCTGGCTGCTGAGGTTGAAAGAGAACATCGAAAGATAAAGGAGGAGCGTGCGCGAAAGCAGAGAGAAAAAGAGATGCAGGAGAAGAAAATGGAACAAGAAAGAGACAGCCCTGAGGAGGAGCACAGCCGCACAGCCGCGGAGATTGCATTTAAGACAGAAGAAGGAAAATCAATAGGGAGTCCTGTCACGAAGAAAAGAGGTATTTTTTATCAGTTTTACATGTTATGTATTGTATGGCAAAAATGAAACTGCACTATTAACATGTGTTGATGGGCATATGAACTTCAGTAAATGCATTCAAAAGTGAAATTTCTAAAGCAATACAGTTGCCTTGGAATTGGTGGATAAGTTCTAAAGATTTTCAAGAGACAGCTTTTAATCGAAAAATTAGACTTTTGCAGCTGAAATTCTCCAAAAGGAAAGATAACAAGCTTCTTCGCGTACTCGTATTTTTCTCCGTAGGTGCAAAACATGCAATCAGCGCAGTATTCCAATTTAGTCATACACTTTATAAAGTCTGCATGGCAAAAAGCCTTTTCCTGGCCATGCTAAACAACAGAAAGACCCCTGCAAAACATGATGGTTATTGCGTTTTTGATAATGCAGTTATGCAATGGCATATCGTAGGTTGAACCATTACAGCCTCTCCCTGAAAAAATGTACGTTGGGTCTTCAGAACGAGTAACTCGGAGTCAAAAGTTTCTAATGTAAACTTATGCTGCGAGAAATCAGTCTATTGCTGCAGTCAAAAAAAAACAAACGGGCTGATGCAGCATTGATAATTTGCTTTGTGGTAGTGAGTCTTTTCTGATTTTGACCATCTTTGCTGACATTTTGACCAATGAGGATAAGAAATGCATGAACAAACCTAGATAATATGATGCGTCTGCGTCTCCAACTACAAGAAACACGAGTAAGCTAGGTTCTTGGATCAAAACGTAAAAGCAAACAGAACGACTTCTTGACTCAAACCTCAATTTCTTTATCTTATTATTGCTTGTAGATGGCTAGTAAACTACATACTTAATAGGTCAAATAAATGTGGTCTGAGATATTCAAACTGTCTAAATAACCTGTTGCTACTGGTTATTGACATTCGAGGCTTCGTTGGTTGCTGTTGCTATGTAGAAGAGGCATGTGTTGTGATATGGAGACGTAAAGAAGCTAGTTAGAGGTATAAAAAATGAAATTATATCTGATCAGGCAACTATTGAAAAGAGTAAATACGCAAAAATTGAATGTCAAAATTTGAAAGCAGGTTTTGGAACATGTCTTAATTTGCAAGACACTCACAATCTTAATCCTATGTGAGGCTTCTATTTTGCTTTCTTAACTGCAGAATATCAACTTTTAATTAGCCTTAATTTATAATCAGCTGAATCTCAGTACACTACCCTTGTGCTTGAACTAAATTGCTCCTTTCTAGCATCATATAGGCCTCGTGGTTTTTAGTACACTTCGTAGATTATATTTATTCTGTTTTTTATAGTCTAGAATTTTGTCTTCAAGATACAAACGTATCTGCTGAGAAGGAGCAGATGGACAAACAAGATCAGGCACTGGCATCAAATAAAACAGCGAAGTGGAATTTCAAGCTCAAAGCAGCCGCGTATGTTTTCATTTTTTATATGTGCCAATTTAGACCGACAGAGCTGTGCCAATTGCACCTGTCTAACCAAAACAGAACGTCAATTTCTATTTACTCTTTGAAGGAAGCTATTTATTTTTGTCTTTGTTGTCAGCAAATATTGTTTACAAGTTAAGCTGCCTTTTCTTTCAGGATAGAGTTCTAAATTTGATGTCATAAAAGATTTTTTTTTATTTTGAACTTTTTGAAACATAATCTAAAAGAACACCATGGAATTTTGCGAAAATCGCAAGATGAGTTAGAGTTGGTGCAACTGGTATTGGATTACTGTTGTTTTTCCCTGGTTCATAGATTTTAGATTTAACGAGAAAAGAGCCTATGTCCATGTAGCAATCTCTCCACCTATTATAACTTTCTTAGTTGATTTTCACAGTCAGCGGTATTTCATAATGCTCTTTTCGTTTTGGGTAACGTTGTCCAAATCTAAAAGATAGTTACGACGTCATCACTTTTGAAGTTTAATACCTTCCGTGTTTCCAAATCGATGTTCTAACTTCATACATTGTCAGTGCGCTCAAATTTTGCAAAATTCTTTTGGAGGTCTTTAGAACGGTTAAACGTTTGCAGATTCACTTCACCTTGCAGGAAATTTTGCGCCTTTTAGGAAAAAGAGACCAAACGTTGAACGAGAGAGAGGCCAGAATAGCTACGCAGCAAAGTTTGCAGTCAGAAAAGGCATTGGTCCTACATCCAGTTACCAGCAGTCATTGCAGAGAGATTCGAATGAAAAACAAACTACATCAAAAGACTATTTCCTACAATCCTCGCAAGACTTTTCGCCCTACCAAGCACAGAACAGTGATTTTGAGCCAATCATAATTGGAGGTAGTCCTAGATTGCTAATTAACGGTAGGTTACTTTTTCTAGAAATTTATTTCGATTCTATAATTATGGTTCATCCTTTTGTTCAATGATATGTTCTTTTTGATGTCATACCTCGAAAAGTTAACCTTTAGGTGCTTACAAAATTATCTGAAAAGACATACCTAGTGCTCTTTGGAATATAAAAGTGCATATTACAACGATGCATTTATATAAAATTATATAGCAAAATACGGCAGGAAACACTTTTTCCAAAGTCGTGCTCAACGATTGTCCTAACGCCTTTGAAAACCTGCTTTAAAAATACCTATTAGGAGAACTTTTGACACCTTTTTATGCCTCCGTCTCTCGCCTAGGCTTTTTTACGCCCCTTTCTCAAGCAGAACATGTAAGACTCGTGTGCAAGCAGGGGTATAGTTCAGAAGATGCTTTATAGACAGAGAATTTCGCACAACAGTCTAGCAACCTGCCTAACCGAAATTGTTAAATTTTAAATCATAAAAGTAATGACCGCTGATTATTTTAAGCTTTGGGGACAATCTGGCAAATGACCGGAAATTACGTTCTCCGAAGCATAAAGGATGCACCGTCTGCAAAATTTCGACTTTCGAATTTTTTAAAATTTGATGATGCCATTAGAAAGAAATTTTAAACTTAGTAAAAGATATAAAAGACGCAATTCTGACCTATAAACAAAATGTAATGACTGTTGAAATTTTTTAATTTTGTCAAACAACCTGCTTTCTGAAGATTTACTATGGTAGTAGCATTGTGCATGTTATGATAACAGCATGAAATTTGGTGCAAGTCACAATCCGATATGCTGAATAAGATGAAATCAATATCAAGCTTCAATAATGCCCCCAAAAGCTATTTTTGGACTGGGGGTACTGGTCCAGTTCTATTTTAGGTATAGCACAGCAACGTTAAAATTATTGCAATTTATAAAACTGAAACTTAATTTGCTGGCGTTATTTGACGTGCGGGGTGCAAAGCAGATTTAAAAATTATTGCGATTTATAAAACTGAAACTTAATTTTCTGGCGTTATTTGACGTGCTGAATGAAATGAGATGCAAAGCCAGCTTTAAAAGTTCCAAAAAAGCAATTTCTAGACTACGGTACTTGTACCCAGTCCTCTATTGAGTCTCGCAAAACTTTATGACTATGCGAGTTATGCAACCAAAACTTTGTTGTCTGGCGAAATCTGACGTGCTAAATAAAATGTAATGCAGACCTAGTACTTTTGGTCAAGCTTTAATGAGAATCACTTATAATCCATGAAAATTGAAAAGATAAGCGAAGAAAATTGCTTAGCATCAGGCACATAAACTTTACCAGTGACTAAGCAAAGTTTTCAGAAATGAATAATACTGTTTACGCAAGAAAGAAAAAAACCTAATCAGGATCCCGATCGATTTATATGTATTACTCGGAGCCGAAGGCATACAAAATTCAGAAGAATGAATATCAGTCCCGACTTCTAATGCAGCTCGAACACTATATGTCGCTGGTATTTTCTATCTCGGTTCAGAAACGTATAGGAAAGCGTACGAGGATAAACCTCAAATTTACAAAATGACCTTAACTGTGCATTTTGATGGTCTGAAGACGATGAAGCCCCTATAAATGATGCAGAGAATCCATTTGAGGATTTTCAAAGAAGTAGAAATTCATTATATCACGCTTAATATATGCCAATATGCTATCTGCTACTTCCTCTGTATGCGTCAATTCATCTTCTGCTTCTCTCTCAACAATTTGAACACAGCAAAGCTTGTTGAAGTTTAGAATTACTGTTTTTTCCTCTGAGATTTCGGATTTTTTCAGTATAAGAGTCTTATCATATACATTTTTTCATAGATTCCCATACTATGAATGACCAGCTGCGAATTGAACTGGAGCAACTTGAGGGCCAGATCCAGAAAGAGTTTGCATTTAAGCAAAGTCACAAGCCAGCTTACCACGGAAGGTGATCAAGGCTCAAAGAATTAACTAGAGACTTAAAACGAAAACAAACTGTGCCAGCAAATCTTATTGGAGACATAGAAGCATCGCTGCTATAAAATTTTATATAGTCAAGAACAATCTTTAAAAGGTTGCTATGTTATTGACGTCACCAAAATTGGTTTCAAGAACTTGTTGTTAGTATCCTGTCAGAGATAGCACCAGGCGTAAAATCTCCCAAAACACCAAAGACCGCTTTCATCTAATTGTTAAATATGTTTTTGATCTTGTAAGCGCTATTAGACACTTCATTTTCGCAGAAACTAATAGCCTTCTGGAAGTTTTCAGAAGATATTTTCATCAAATTGCATACTGACTCGATAGAAGTGTTTTACGAGGCAACTTACTTTGCCAAATTTTTCAGCAGCAGAGTGCTCTTATCACCCCAACCAAATGCTTTTTGAGTCCTAGCAATTTGAATATATATAGATTGATATAGATTGAAGAAAGTAAAACTACATGGTTTATCTCTACAAGCCTGTTTCGTGAGTAACTCACTCTTCAGGAGATGTTCTGAAGAGTGAGTTACTCACGAAACAGGCTTGTAGAGATAAACCATGTAGTTTTACTTTCTTCAATCTATGATATATCACGCTCTACGTGCTAACGTTTTGAGCACTGTGCTACGGAAGTATCAAAAGACAAATTTCTAGATTGATATAGATATATATTCAAATTTGTTAAATTTGAATATTCAGAAAAAAAATGAACTTTGAAAATAAAGGAAAAGTTGAGGACAAAAATATAAAAAACTCTAGCAGAAAAATTAACAATTTTCAAAAGAAATTGAACCAAGAGTGATCCCAAGCAGCCCATTGAATTTTTAATGTCTTAATTAGGACCTAAACCTGCCTGACCGGAAGGTGATTCATGTTTGACCTATTTCTATATTTTGTCGACCCTGGGGTATACTTTGAGGTATCATCAATGAGGTATACGTTATAGTTAAAATTATGCAAATTTTGCTAGTAATTCTTGAAGTTTTTCTGTGGTTCATTCAAGCCAACAATTTTCTGACAAGTTAAAAACTTGAATGGGCTTTCGAAGAGTTATACTTTTCTCTAATTTCCGACGAAAGCCCGAATATTCAGACAAGAATGCAATTGAGGCCCGAGCCTCCCCCTCCCATGCCACATATAATTTAATTATGTTTGTAGTTCTCCTTAAACGATCTACTTGTATATACTTGCATAAGATTTTGATATGAAATAAATTTAGCTTTTAAGGTTAACACTGTCACTCTACTCTCATTTGCACAATCTGTCATTTAATAGGATGTCGAGCATCTTTTCAAAATAGAGCAGTGGTTTGTAGACGAGATTGCAATCCAACTCAATCCTCCCTTCTTGTGCCTTATATAAACAAACTTTTCATAATGTTGTTGTGGTGGTAGTGACAAGAAGGAAGGAAAATGCAGTTGGTTACCACATAGGGCGTTGGGATATGAACTAAACCATCATTTAATCCAAGTAAAGCCCCCTCAAAGAATGGCTAATTCGAAGAAAAAGCTCGCCAAGATATGCGTATCAACAATGGAGGCTGATTTAGAGTTTCCAGTTCACGTATGTTATGCTTACGCCATGTTTTTCACAAAAACGTGTAGTGGAAGTTTTATTGAGGTTTTTCCCGGTAAACTCTCCATGCGTGTTGTTGCTTTTATTATTTTGATAAATAACTTGATGAGTCAATTCAGTAAGGGTGATTATTACTGAAACAAAAAGATAAAATATAGTAGTTATCACATCATAACACTAAATCAGGTTGGGATGTCAAGCTCCTTCATCGAAGACATCATGTTTTGAATTTCGTTGCCAGTATGCTAAAGTTGAAAATTTTTTATTCTGTATAAAATATGGTTTACATCAAGCTATATATGATCTGGTTGCTTGAGAGCTAAAGACATCTTAATGAATGCATTTCTGATACATTGATCAATTTTTGGATCAAAGATCATACTGTGATTTGTTGGTTTGTGCTTTGAGTTATGGTAATACCCTTATTGAACCATCTGCCACTTAACACGATCAGGGACGCCTGCACAAGATTAGGGCAGGAGGGGCAGTTTTGGTGCTGAGGGCAAATCATAGAATTTTGCTACTAATATGATCAAGTATTCCTGGTTGGGTCAGGGGGGGGGATCAAGGGTGGGGTAACATAATAACAAATTAACATGGATGTGTGCTGCCCATACAGCTGGGTTTTTTACCATCAATGATTCCAAGATGAAATAAAGAACTTAAGTTACAAGAAACAAGAAAAAATTTAGAAGTTCGTTATTTTATCTTGATATTTCTAAACATAGAGAAAATGTTGACCAAATTATCTATACATAGGAATGGGTATCCAATGGCCTTGTAACTTTTTACAATATTTTGATTTATAAAACTTATATCTGTTATAAATGGACTGGTTGTAAAATGTTGATTGCCTGCTAAGATTTAATACCGATTTATCCTCCTTAGGTTCGTGGAGTACTTCTGAGGGAACTAGTCTTTTGTTTATCTAGTATTATCTTTGCTGCTCTCCCTCTTGTGGCCCACCTTGTCACAGGCAAACTTTTCAACCTTTGTGTTTTTTGCTGGTGTTATAATCTTTCTAATCATTTCTAACAGAAATTAACATAACGAGAGTGGTCAAAGTGGTCATCAATTATCGATGAGATTCTATAATATTTTCTTATATTTCAGGGCACTTCTTGCCCCCTCTGCCCCTTTACAAAGAGCAGCTGCCCCTCCAGCCCTGCCCCCAGTGTAGGCCCCCCTCAACATGATGGGCTTATAGGAGACGTTTGTCCTACCTCCACATAAATTATCAAATCAAAAAACCCAATGATACAAAAAAATTAATTCCTATGCAAGAGGTACCCAGCATTTCATAGGGTTTTCCTAATCCATCACAGAAGACTATTACTAGAATACGTACATCACTTTGTTGTAGTTTAACTTGTGTAAAGCAACCTTTCTTGTCTAGAAAATCCCTATAAGCCTTTCTTTTTGAAACTCAATGTAAAATCCTTTAGCATGTAAAACCTTATATCTCAACTTTCATATTGATAAACAAGGCATGTCTTTTTGTAATGTCAAGGAATGACCAGGAACTACTAAAATTGTTCTAAATGTGTCAGTTCAGACAGAACTTGATTGACAGGATCTCCTTTTTGGATTATGCAATACTGGGAACTTTGGCATAGTTGCAATATTATTCCCTTACTTGACTGGAAGGAAAGATAATAAACCAATAAAGATGCAAAAAATGCAATAATAATTAACATATATTATTTCTTTACATTGCTGTGTGTCATTTTATTCCGTTACCATACAATATCCTTCATCTTAAGGGTATCCCAAAGTCTTGGTGCAGGTCCAAAATGGTGAACTGAGTCATTTAGAGATAATCATTAGCATCTTCCTCCTGATTGCAGCCTGAATTTCAGCCCTGATTACAGGCCTAATTACAGCCTTCTTGATTACAGCCCTGATGACAACCCTGATGACAACCCTGATTAGTATCAAAATATGTACAATGATACAATACTCAAATTGTACGCTGATTCAAAAGTGATACCATGAAAGATTAATTTCTCTACTCAATTATTTCAAACCTTAAAACTTACCTGATGATCATGATTCTAAATAAGAAAATTTTAAGTTCATATTTACCTTCAGGTAAAACCTACATTAACAAATTGTATTTTATTACTGTATATAAAGTAGTTCCAAAATTATGATATTCTGGTGATAAGGATGGTAATGATAGGACCCTTGTCTAATTCTAGTCTAAGATTACTGGAAGAATACTGTTTGAATTAGTCTGCAAAACAATTGGGTTAAGAGAGTCATGGTACTTTGGCCTTCAGTATAAAGACTGCGATAGCATATTTTGGTGGCTAAGAATGGATGAAAAGGTATGTTTCATTAGATATTTTAATTATTCAAAAATCATCAGTCATATGGTTTTTCCTTTCAAAGTTGAAATGTTGAAACCCAGGAACTTGTTTAGAGCTCTCTGTTCAGCGGACGTTTTTAAAATTACCCTTTCTGATGGGCATTAGTTTTTGTTAATAGAAAATGACTTGATTTGATTTTTTTGCTGGAAAGCAATAAAAAACCCAATGAAGGCAAGATAAATGTAAATAGGCCTGATACTTTTAAATCAAACAGGATTTTTGGAATTCTTTGATTTTCCAGGGTAAACTGCAACCTATTTCCAATTGTAAGCACAATGGGCAGAAGAAATCAAGAGCAAATTGGGAGCACAAACTTTTAGGTCTCTGGTTTTGCCACTACTGGTGTAACCTATTAGGGGAGAGATTAAGCTGTCTGGCATTCTTAAAACTGGCTGAAAATTGTTCATTATCCATGAAATTGTTTTGGTTGGTAATAAATCACCATAGAAAGTGAACTATTTTTAAATGAGAGAGCTAAAGTATTGTTTCATTTTCCAATGTCACTTTCCACTTGGGGGATGTAATTGTTTGAGTATTTGAGTATGAAGTTCTTTTGCAAATGCAATTTGTGCTTAAAAGGCTCACCCAACAAGCACAATAGAATATTTTTAACATAATGTCATGAAAAATCATGCAATAACTAATTCTATAGAAACTTTGTCACTGCACATTTTTATGAATTAAAATGGTTAATTGGCATTGCCCTTGAGAAAGGTTTGTTAGGCATGCCCTTTATTTCCCATCAGGTTAATTCAGGTTATCAATTTTTTTACCATTGTCCATAGTTTTTTGTTTGAATATGTCAAATTTGTTTGAATTTTTGTTTTTATGTTTGCCTAAAATACCTAAAGTTTGTCTGCGATGACTATCCTGCACATTTGTACTTTTTGTAATTCCAAAAAATAGACTTTAAAATTAGGTTAGCACACTACAAAGGTGGAGTTTGCATTTCTATAGGAGACAGGGGGTGGTAAAAAATTCTGCTTGCTACATCAGAAGATTGTTACCCAAAAAACAATTGAGAGTATGATCAAACAAACATAATGAAATTCCAAAACTATGGATATGCATATTAAGGATTTATAACAACGTCTGTTACTGACTGTTTTTGTCACACCCACAAATTGTAATGTGCGAGGCATTCAACAACCCTAATAGCAAGGTCAGGTTTATACCAAAAATTTTTCCAAAAACATGATGTGCAAAATTTAAAAATAGTAAGAAAAAGATGAAAAGATGCTTGAAAAAGATGAAGAAGGAACTTGTGTAATAAAGAAAATTGTAATCAAAACTGAAATATTCAACGCTGAAAAAAAATTTCACAAGAACAGGCTGTCCCTGTCACTTCTATTTCATTCTTTTTAATGAATGATGCATTTGACATATTCACAAATTGCAAGCATACTTATGGTAACCAGTGAATCCTCATTAGAAGATAAATGTTACATACTACCCTTATGCTCCTATTGTGTGTCTGTTTATCTTGATATATTTATTGGGGCTTTGTTGTTATATAGGTGGTAGATCAAATATCAGACAAAAATGGCAACCTCAGAAGACTAAATCTTTTGGTTCAATATTTCCCAGAAGATATCGAGGAAGATCTAATTCAAGAGATTACGAAACATCTATTTTTCTTGCAAATTAAGGAGGCAGTATTAAATGAGGATATATACTGTCCTGCGGAGGCTTCAGTCCTTCTTGCATCATATGCACTCCAAGCAAAAGTAAGCTTGCCCTTTAACTTTAAAAATGCTCTGTGGCAAACAGTATGTTGTTGGATTTATTTTGTTTCATTCGCTAGAAATTTGACTTTTTTAATCTAGTGAATCAAATTTACAGCTTTTTTCTAGTTGAGGATTGGCAAATTTATAGCAGAATGATTCTCTCATTTGGCCTGGTATAATCATGAATCACTCGAATGTTGGTACCCTTTTCTAAGAAACCGTTAACTATTTTTTGCAGTATGGAGATTGTGAAGAGAAAATGAGCCAGCCCGGCTGTTTAGCAGATGAGCAATTGCTTCCAGTGCGGGTAAGGCAATTAAGAAATCAATTTTTATTTAGGCTTTAGATTTCTTCAAGAATGTTCTTCATTGTCGATAGTTTATGAGTTTCAGAAGCGAAAACAGTTAAATAATCGTAGCTTTTAGTTTTAAATGTAAACGTCATAAAAAGATACACAGAATAGGCAGGATAGGCTATGACGTAAAAGTAATACACAGGAACAAAGTAAAACGAGAACAAAAATCCAATACATTGTCGAATAGAATTTTAAAAACAAATTAAATGTAAAGCTGATATCTCATCACGGAGTATAGCAAATGATTTTATATTTGATATTATTTTGATCATCTCTTTGAAACGGTGCCTCATTACTCGGTTATAACTAATCTCTTATCATTATTGTTGTATCATTTTCAGGTAACAAGCCAGTATCAGCTGACTGCCGAAATGTGGGAAGAGAAGATTGTTTCTTGGTATGCAACACAACTTGGAATGTGCAGGTAACAAAAACTTTGTTGACACATGCTGAACATAAACCAACATATGTTTCTTGATGTTTAAGAACATTCACGATCACCATTAAGCTTAGTTAAAACGGCTGACCATTTATTTCCTACAAATGGCTGTTTCCTTCTCAATTTCTTTCGCATTTATGTTCTGAATCGTGTCAGACGAGGAAGCTCTACGCGTAAAAGCTGACTTTTCAAATTTAAAAGCAAATGTCTAAAAATAAAAAACAGTATTCAAAAGCTTTAAACCAAGTCAATTACGCTAGTAGCAAAGTCTGCAAAATCCTTTACAAGCGTTTCAGTAGCTAGTTTTTCAAGGATTCAAGCATTTTAGCACTTTTGTACCTATTTCATCGGGAATGTCTAAAGAACGCGAAGGACTCTTTATAAAAGCTTATGTAAAAACGGGCGGAAATGGAGAAACATCCCTAGCTGGGATAGATGAGCGAAGCTAGCAGAAAATCTTTGCGACCACGTCCTTACGATTATCTTAAAATATATTTCAGAATATTTATTTCAGTCATCTAAAACATTTACTTTCTTAGGGTCGACTTCCTTTTTAGTTAAGCTGAACTTATATCTTGGAAATCCTGACTGTATGGAAAGGCGAATCATTTCATGTAAACAAATCAATACCTTTTTTGGATTAAGCAAATGTATTCATGTGTTTGAGTGACAACCATAGAGTGACCAAGTTTGAATTCAGATAAAGATAGACATCTCAAAGTGCTTTTCCTCTAGCTGCTGCTGCCATATAAAGTTAGTTACTGTTGACTAATCGGGGTTTAAAAAGTTCAGAGGATTCACGTTTAGCTTCTATTAACAGGTGTGAAGCAGAAACAGAATATCTGAAAATCGCCCAAGACCTAGAAATGTTTGCGATTAGCTATTACCCCATTAAGGTTTGAAGTATATTTTTTGCTTCTCTAAAAAGTTCAATTGAATTTTCTCGAATGACAACTAATTTTTGCTTTTGCTTTTACCAAGTGAAAGTAAATACCGTAACTTGTGATGTACATCTCGGATCAGTTAACTGGTGTCTCTAACGACTGTCTTGCATCGTCATGCATATAAAAATCTGCAATCTTCAAGAACTCATTTTAATGAAACTGGCTGATTAATGACGCAGAGATTAGTTTACATTTTAACATGCGATTCCTCATTTTAAGACAGCTTTTTATCTGTTGTTTTAAATGCACCACCGAATAAAATAGCTAAAAAGCTTCCCTGAATCCCTTAACCAGGGTAGTTTTTGCAGACCACAAGAGGAAAACGATCCTTTTCTAAATGATGCTAAGACACTGAAAAGTTTATTTGCAACATAATTTATTTGTAGAATCGGAACCAGACTGATTTGTGGATTGGCATCCATCCGTCTGGCATAAGCGTCTACAGCCAAGACAACAAACTCACCCCAGTTGTTTCATTTGTGTGGAGCGAGATGAAAGACATTTCCTTCAAAAATAAAAAGGTAATACATATTTTGAAAACCATCAAGATCTATCAGAAGTATTAAATGCTTTTTATTGTCAAAATTCCACAAGATAAGTTGGGATCTGTGCCAGTGGCGTTTAATTTGTCTGTAGTTGCACCAAACAAACAATGTTGTTTTGTATTGTACAAAGTGTTATAAATATCACATGATATTACATATTTGTAATTTAATGACTTTTTTGCATCGTCATGTTTAATTGTCTTGGACTTATTAACCTAACTCAAAGACATTCAGTTTCTACTTTCACCTTTTTTCAAAAGTATATATTAGTTTGGTAATAAATAGTGATAATTTTTTTATTGCAATTACAGTTTCGCATTGTCCCAGAAGACAGATTTGCACATCCTTTTATATTTTACTCAGACAATCCTGAAGTGAATCGTCAGGTATGTTACTTGCCAGCAACATCACTTTGACAGCATATTTGACTGAAATATTTGGCAATTTTTATGTCATGATATGTGATACTGCTATGTTTTTGGTTTGTGGCAGTGTTACCAGGAATCTAAATCTTTTCAAACAATTCCAGGAGGTCCGTTTTGTTATATATACTCGATTGGTAAAAATTCGAATTATGCAGTTGCTGTAGCTTGAAAAACTTTGCCTTTCGAGTAGGAATAGAAACACAAACTTTTTTAGTGTGATGTAAGAACTTTAACTTGGTAGGGGGTTTTTAATTGCCATGTCATTTTTGTAACCTTTTCGAAGCCAAAGTTATCTGTTCTAATCTAATCAGTAATTTTTCTGTTCATAATACCAACAATTGCAGTTTATCTTCAAATTATACAATTTTTGAGAAAATATTGTAGATTTTCGAATAAATTGGATGAGAAAAAGGAATATCACTGTATTAGAGGGTCAAAAATGCAGGGAGCCGTCACTTGTTGCTTAAGATTGAAAGTGGGAAAAAGTAGATTGAGAAGATAAGAAATTGATACAGCAGATGTGTTAGCTAATGTTCAAAGAGATGTGTTATGTTTCCTTAAAACATGGCCTAGCAGAACGAGACATGAAAAACAACGCGTCCGATTTTCAGAACACTCAACTTCGAAGAAATAATAAACTGTCATAAACAACTATGCACGAGCATAAGTCCCCTTGGGGTTACTCTATTTAAATGGTTAACAATAACACAATCATCTCAAGATGTGAAGTTAATATCTACTTTTTGGTACTGTAGTCATTCACAGTAGAAAGCTATTAATGGTTCATATTTGTTTTTTGTTTTAGATATTGGACTTGTCAATTACGAACCACAGTCTTTATTTACGAAGACGAAGGCCTGATACGATGGAAGTACAGCAAATGAAAGCACAAGCAAAAGAAGAAAAATTGCGACGAGAGGTAAATTAAATGTTGCAATAAAGGATAACGGTGTATAGGCAGCTCTAGAAAGAATGCTTTAGGCTTTTAATTTAGGATTTGGAATAGTTTATCATCAGAAATATCTGTATTTTCGTATTCAAATTGATGTTGATTATTATGGCATAATAATTTTCCGCATCTTTGCAATGTAAGGAAAAATGTCTCGCCATTATTTTAGAGTCACAAGCTTTTTCAATGTAAAGTAAATTATATTTCAATGTAATTTTGTGTTGTGGTTAAATTCTGTTTGATTTTTATGTTTTAGATTAACGTTCTCTTAATTTTTGTCCTTTTTGGAGACAACATTTCTTGATTACAATTTTAACAATTTTTTTAAGAACGACAGATTACGTTTCATACGAGAAAGAGAGGCTAGAGAAGCTGCTTGTAGAGAAAATGAGGAGCTGAGAAGGAGGCTTGAAGAATATCAAAACGAACTGGATAGTTACAGGGAATCAATGGTAAATAATTCAAACAGTAATTAGAGTTGCCGTGTATCTAATATCTAATATTCAATTGCCTTCAATTTATAACCAGCTCATACTCCATGTAAATAAAAATGTTTGTTTGCTCGTTACGTAAGATTATCATTGGCTTCTGTGGTCTTTTTAAAAGGAGCGATCCGAAGAAACGACAAATTTGCTAGCTGAAAAGGCAAGAATTGCGGAGGAGGAATCTGGTCTACTGTTGAGGAAGGCAGCTGATCTTGAGAAGGAGATTTTCAGATTAAATCTAGCTATGTCAGAGGTATATAAAAGACTATTTATTATTTGTTTTTTAGATGAAAGATGAATGTCAGAAAGCTCCTCTTCTTTGCTATCGACTTAAACTGAGCCGTGCCTCCATATTGCACATAATTTAAATTTAAACAAGCATTTTGATACGAGGTCATAAATTTTACAAATGATACTCGATTTCGCATTTTCAATTGCATATTTTATAATTCGTGGTAAATTTATATGATCAATTTCTCCGGAAACATGCTGTACCTGCAGAGGCTATGAATTATGTTGCTTGTTGCGTGTTTTTTTCGAAGCAAAGCTGTTAATCGTGCAAAAGTATGTTGTTTTGATTTCATAGAAAGAAGTCCAAGGTGCAATGTTGGAAGGGAAAATAAGAGAACATGAAATGATGATACGAACTGTCTTGGACCAGTCGGAACAGAGGCGAGTCCAGCTTCAAACATTAAATTCTCTTTTGGTTTATCTCGAATTCATGAATGCAGCTCTATAAAAGGAAATACATAGAGGAAAGCAGATTTAGAGCATGGCAACTTTCTAAGACATCTTCAAGAAAACGAAAGTTTCTTTGAAATCTTTATCACGTAAAAATACAGTCTATCTGCAGTAAGAATACTGAAACTGAGAAAACTTCATCTGAAAGCACAGTTGTCAATGTACGATGTCTAGCATTGTCGGGGCCATATAGGCAATTATCACGAGCAAGTACAAACAGCCCTATATCTTATTGTCGTTTGATTCAACAGATGGTAAGTCCACCCGCCCTGAGATTGCTTAACTATTTGATGAAAGGTCTTGAGAAATTGTATATCTTAGTTCCTTTGCGCTATTTTATTTAGGCCTGAGTTTTTTTGGCAAACATTATTACCATTTGTAAGGGCAGTTCGCTCTGAATTTTGTCATTTTTAATGATGGTTGATGAAATTTAATCTTCCTGAGTTGTTATTGTTTGCTATTCGTGATAGTGTGAGAGTCTCTTGTGATGTGTTTCATCACGTTTTTTCTGATTTGTTTATGTGCATTGCAAATGAGGCTTTTGGCATCCTGAGAACTTTGATTTGCAATGTAGAGTAAGGAGTGTGTTTTCATTGCATTTTTATTCCCTTTTTTCGCGTGGGGGTATTTGAGGTTTCAGCATAACGTGGGTCTCACTTCATTTGGTGAAGCACTTTTGGTAGGTTTATGGTAGGTTGAGCACTTTGCGATGCACCAACGGCCCAACTCGCTTTCCTTGAAGTGAGAACTTAGCCTCACGACTGACTCCCTGATATACCAAAGGCATCTTTGTTTCAGATTTTGTATCCAATCAAAACTAGTGGATTATTGCACTTTCTTCACTGCAGAATTTATTTAATAAATGAAAGAATTTAATTTTGCTCTAGCATGAGAAGTGCTGACATGTTGAAAGACGAGCTTCAAAGAGCGCGACACTCCGAGAGACTCGCCAAAGAGAAACTTGTGCAGCTCATGGCCACACCCAATTTTGTAACTATTTTTCCACTTTCTTTCTTTTTTGTCTTGCTTTATGTGATTTTGTTTGCCACAGTTTATTACGTTAATTCAAAGTGCCAAATTATTCGTTGTTAACAGAATGCTAAAAACTTTTGATTGTGATCCCTGAGTGCCATGACATTGATCGTCACTTCTATTGATTGTTAGATGCCTTCGGTCAGAACAGAGCCAACTGTGAATGGAGCATTAGAAAATGAGCTGCTGCTTTCACGCGAAATGCAAGAAGAAAGGTCAATACAAGTTTCTTTCTATAGTTTGTTTCTGCCAGCAAATCCTGAATATGTCTTCCATTGAAATATTGTCTCCAATAATTCCATTGCCAGGATCATTGATAATTAAGAAACTACAATGCTGTAAAGAACGGTTTTGGGTAACTTCACAGCCGTCTTGATTTTCTCATTGTATCATTGTAACATTGTATCTTTCCATTTTATCAATTTATTGTATCTCGTGGACAAGTATTTTATTTTCAAAATTTTTGCTTACAGGCTAGATTATTTCAAGAAAAGCAGGGAATTACAGAAACAATTGTTAGACTTGAAGTCAGAAATTGAGGTAAATTGAGGGGTTGCAAAAGATTTCCTTGTAATTTATGAATTAGCATAGGTATTGTTTGGTACAACTTAAAATCATTGTAATTCTGCTTCACCTAGATGCAATTCCTAATGAAAATGTTTGCCCAAATTTCTTTATGTGCACACTTTTTGCTTATACATAAATCTTTTACTTCGTGTTTTTAAAGCCTTGTCTTTCTTTTTCTTGCAGGGACTAAAAGTTGCTGGAAAGCAAGACCCCCTGGAACTGAGGCATCTTGAAAGCATCGAGAGAGGGGAGAATAAATATGCTACTTTAAGAAAGGTAAAGACTACTTCTCCTTGTTACAAATAAGAATGCATAGAAAATCTTAAATTAATCAGTGCATGTAAAGTGGAATTAATATGCAGCCCCTTAAAATTCTTTAAGAGTTATTGTGATTTATTTGTTTATATTTTAGGTAACGGAGGGCAGTGCAAGTGCAAGGGTGGAGTTTTATGAACGGCTGTGATTGAAGAATGTTTGTGTGATGCAGGAAATATCTCCATTTATCAATTATAGACAATAGTTTTAAAAATGCAGGTCTCTTACAATGAAGAATTTTCAAACCCATAAAATGTCTCTCGGAAAGGCTTTAAGAAATTGTGAAATCAAAACCTTGCGGAAACTTCTCTTCAAAGACCTCTGTTCTCTACAGAGCATCTTTTCTCGTATAGGTAACATCTTTATGCAATGTGTGAATCTGCATCTTCTTTTCTTCTACTTTTTCTTCCTCTTCTTCTTCTTTTTCTTCTTCCTTTTTTCTTCCTTTTTCTTCTTCTTTTTCTTCTTCTTCTCCTTCTTCTTTTTCTTCTTACTTTTTCTTCTTCTTTTTCTTCTTCTTCTTCTGCAGCTTTTCTTGTCTTTGCATGGGGGCACTGTTCCTCGAGAGTTTCTTCCATTCTTCTCTATCTCCTACTTTGTGTTCATTGATGTTCTGTTCCCGCGTATTTTCTTTCAGTCTGTCTTTCCATCTAATTTTAGGTCGCCCTCCTCTTCTGTGTCCTGGGATTTCCATTGTCATGACTCTTCTTCCAGCATAGTCCTCCTCTCCTCTCGTCACATGACTATACCAATTAGTCTTCTTTCTTGCGTCATTGAATTTTGATCTGCATCTTCTGGCAATATTTTGCGAATTGTGCGGCGTTGAAAATGAAGATAGCTTAGAATGCCAGGTCACGTCTCTACTCAGCAGTTTAAGGCCATGAGAAAATGTTATGGTATTAGGATACTCAATTTAGATTTGGAAACATTTTTGCTTGCTAAGTTTTGTAGCTATAATTTGTAAATATTTGTCAGAAAATTAAAAACGTGGATAGAATGGATTTATAGTATGTTTGCTAATTAGAAAATCTGTTTACCTTTAGTTTAATTTTTGTTAATTAAGCTGGCTGTTAGTGAGATTCGTTTTAAGTGACCGTACGTCTTGTTATTTATACAGTGCTGGTGTATTGTTTTTAATAATGTAAGGTTAAATGTTAAAGGTCTGAGCACTTGCACTTTTTGTATAGCAGGAACTTGTTTACTTTTTCATTCTGGTGATGGGGTTTCTTTGCTTTGTTTTGAAGTAGCCAACATCTCTTTTTAGGAAATATGTCATTGAAAATAGATATCATTGTGAAAATGTTCAGCCTGATTAGCCAATGCCAATATCCCCGAATTCCACATCACGCCCCCTTTCTTCCCATTCCAAGTAAAAGTTTTCTTAGAAATAATTTCTAAGGATTCTTATGAAGTTTATTTCGATTTGTAAAAGAGAATGTAATGTTTTTAATGGAGTATTTTCAATCGTTTTTGTACAAGTTAAGATGAATGAAGATTGTTTATATTGTGCCTTAAATCGATCTGTTTTTATGTGGAAATAGTGTACCAAACCTTCTTTACTGACACAAGCTAAACCGCTCCCTACTGAATAACTGACACTAGATGTGCATGTTCTTATTTTGTGTCATCATTCGTGTATCATGTACTTTCATTTTCCTGCTATCCTTATCTTCACCAACCAGCAGCAACCTGGTCCTTTTTTATGTTAGTACTTAAGAGTCCTGGGTCTTATGGTCTTATGGTCTTAGGGTCTACCGTATGCCGTCATTATTCTGCCACCACAAACGTTTCATCGTGTTATGTACTTTCTTTAATGCATTTTCATTGCCGTGTTGCCGTCATACGCGCGTCATCGTGCCAGTGTCATCATTGTAGTTTTATCGTTCACGTGTCATCATGTTCGTGCCCTTATTCCTGTGTTGTGTGTTATCAACACTTGTGTTATCATGTTGCTGCTGTCATTGCCGTGGCATCATTTTTTTGCCGTCATATGCGTGTCATCATGCCAGTGTCTTCATACCAGTGTCCTCACTTTCATTTCACTAATCGCGTACGTGTTTTTATTGTCGTTCTACCATGGCCATGATTTGCTTTGTCATTGTTTATTTACTGCCTTGCATTGTTTATATATGGCACCCAACGAGGTTACAATTTAAGTTCCTAAACGATATTCTTTGCAGCTGTTAATTGAATCTTATTTTTGATAAAGGAGTACTTCACCAACCTGACCTTATCAAAAAGTATATTAATCAGACTTTGAAGTAATAAGATTTAAACCTCAATCATTTCCAGGTGTTGCTTCTAAATCATACAATGTTTATATCAAGACTTATATTGCAGAAGTCACACTCACACTGGACGAGAAAGTTTCCTATTCCTCACTTAGCCATTTATTGGAATGATCGTGTGTTTACTTGCCAGTCATATCTGATCTACTCTATGCTATTCATGTTTTAAATAGCAATGGTACAGCTCCAAAACAAGGAAAACATTTCTTTTTTGCTAAATTTGACTAAACACTTCCTTTTCCTAAAATTTCCGGCAAGCTTTATTCTTCTCAAACATGTGGGCAAGCACGTTTATCAAAAATGTTTGTTCACGGATGCTTTAGTGGGACCTGAAACAAGGGAACTGAATCACGCATTTGAAGCTTCCAGTAAAATTATATGTTCGCATTACGTCTTTATATTCTTACATTTCATTGGTTTTCTCTCCTCCCTTCGCAATTAATGCTTTGCCAAGTATCATGTTAAAATCAATGAACGTTAGAGATTTTAAAGTATAACTACAGGTGGAAATGGAAATTTATGGAATCTTTTTCGAATTTTCGATAATATTAAAAGCTATGGACTTGCTAACTTACATAGTTGACAATCATAAAGGTGTATACTCGCGAATAGATCATGCTTATTCTATAATTGGCTTTTTCTTAATCAGTTGTTTTTTATGTTCGAGATAGGTTTTAAATTTTTTGATGAATTTAAATAAACATCTTTTGACTCCTTCCCTAAATTCAATCATATCCCATCGATCATTGCGATGAAGTTTATTAAGCAGGAAGATTACTGCCAAGTCTTTTGTTGGCATCCAATGATGAATAAATATTTCGTTAAACATTGCTGCAATGAAAATACAATTATTACCGCTTCAAAACGAGCTAAATAAGTTAACAGTGTCAACATTGATAATGAATCTTGCCTTAGTAATTATAATTTTAAAAGAAAGACATTGCAAAACGTAAGTTTCTGTACAAAGTTCATTAATCAAATACGTCTTGAAAATCATCAAATTCTAATTTTTATTGTCAGCTTTGATCATAGGAATAATATAGGAATTACAGTTGTTATTAGTTTATCAAATGTGTACCGTTGGCTTTTCGTTAAAGGGTTTCGTTCGAGAAGTTGATCTTTATTTCTGTTCAATCGCGGCCTTAAGAATGGCAATGCAAAGGTTTTTCGCTTCATGCATCATTGTTGCTTTGTTATCAAATTCTGTCACTGCGGGTATGTTTAAAGAACTTACTAGGTATTCATATTAATTTTGAGGCAATTCTTTGTTATTTATTAATCAAGGTTGCGTTTTTTGACAGATTCTTATACTTATTCTGACACGAAAGAGAGAGAGATAAAGTAAAAAGAGTATGAACAAAGTATAAAAGGCCTTAAAAGTATATAAAGTCAATCAAAGCCATGAACAGTATATAAAGTATTCCTCACAAGAAGGAAAAATGACGTGAACTCTGACGTGAACTGTTTGATTTGACGTGAATTCTTTCCAAGTATTAAATATATACTTGCTTTCGTACTGTTTCTGTCGGGACTTTGACCAATACATGTTTAATTTGAGAAAGTGGTTTATCATATAACCCAAAGAAGCAATATTTTCATAAAAACATTATACTAATCGATTTATTTCCTTAACTTAACTTGTGTATCGACAAATTCTTTCTGCTTGAATTTTTGTTCCAATTTAAAGTTATAATCAGCTAGAGTTGCCTTGGCGTCACTTGGCTGCTTGCTTCCAATTTCAGTGCAGAAAACGTGCGATTTTGAAGATGGAAAAACTTGCTGGAGCGTACCAGGATTAAGTCAATCCTACAAGTGGCAAGTAAGCACGCAGTTTCTGTCTGCTCACCCCCAGACTGATCATACAAATGGCAACGGTAAGTGACATTTGTAGGAGTTTTGTTCTATGAAGAAATCATTGTTTGTTAGTTACGCATTTTGACGTAAATTTTTCCTGACTTTGGGACTTACCCATATTTTTTCCTTGTTTACTTTGAGCTAATTTCCTGAAAACAATATCCAAAATTTCGAGGTTTGAAGTTAGAATATGATTCTCTACAGGTCGATACCTGTACGCAAACGGAGCTCCCCCAGCTGAGCATAAGGACAAAGCAAGACTCTTGAGTGGCAACTTGGAGCCCGTCTCCTCTTGTCTCACGTTTTGGTACCACATGTCTGGTGCAAATATTGGTACACTTCGAGTTTTAACAAGAAACGTAATCGGAGGAAAGGAAGAAGAGCTCTGGAAGAAAACTGGTGACCAAGGCAGTGGATGGCGTGAAGCAAGGGTGCCCGTGGAAAATTTCGGACTGTTTGAGGTCGTCATATGTTTGTTGCTTTGCGATTTTGTTATATGCTTAAATGTTTTGCAAGATATGATTTTAAGATCATTGTCTTTCAAAAATTTCAATGTAGTACCGAAAGCATTTACAAAATACTTAACAAATTTTTATGAGACATCAGTCGGTCAAAAGCAAGTTCGAAGAGGGTGATTAGTTTTGGCCCTACCGTTAACAAAACTTGTAGAGTGTAAAACCGTGCTAAGGCCGTTCTTTTAAAAATATAGAGCTGAAGAAACTTTTTACTCTATATTTAAACCAGCGTGCTTGTTGCAGGTCGTAATAGAGGCAACCAGAGGCACGGATTACCATGGATCCAACATTGCACTGGACGATATTGGGTACAAAACTGAGAAGTGTAAAACATGTGGGTATACTTGAGTCTTCTGCCAGTTAAGCTTAAAAGACCGTATTATCATGTCTTCCTTACTTTTAAATACACAATTTCCTTCAAAATCTTTATTTCATTAGATCTGCATGTTATGTTGCTGTAGATAACACAGCCCGCGGGTGTCAAACACAGCCCGCGGGTGTCAAACACAGCCCGCGGGTGTCAAACACAGCCCGCGGTTGTCAAACACAGCCCGCGGGTGTCAAACACAGCCCGCGGGTGTCAAACACAGCCCGCGGGTGTCAAGCTGTGGCCCCCGAGGGCATAACTTGACCACGGCACTATGTCTTGGGAGTGCCATTCTCACCTAAATTATCAAAAAGTTTGTAAGACTCACTTTCTCATCATCAAGCAAGTTTATTTGATCTGAAAGCAGATATTTTCTCTTATGAAGCTGAACAAGCCAATTCAAAATTTACAGATTAACATTTACATGACATCCTTGACATGAAAAACTACCAATTTAATGCGTGATGTGAATTATGTTGCTGCATACAGCAAATATAATATTTTGCATAGACAATTTTTTTCTTACGACTCTTTTCTGTAATTTTTCCTGTAATTTTTCATGAAATCCACTTACGGTTAACTACAAAATTTGCCGATACATTCCGCAATTAATCATCTGGCCCCCTTGTCACGTAAGGTTTTGTCTATGGCCCAACCCAAGACTTTATTCGAGAACCCCTGCTGTAGATTATAAACATTTTTCTCCTAGCGAAATTGTTTGGACAGTGTGGGCTGGAAGTCAAGGGGGTCGGCTGTTTCAAAGACGAATATAATGACCGCGTTTTCGATCAGTTGCTAGCAACGTACAGAGGGCGTCCAATGACAGCGGACCAGACCATTTGGCGCTATTATGAAGCCTCTCTAACCAGGTACGTCAGGCAAGATCTATCTTTCAATTTTAACACAAAAACTAACTGCAGAAGCTCGTTAATGTTTGCGTGTATTCTGAGTACTGTTAGCATAGGCTCCAAATCTTTGATTGGCTGAGCGACAAAAATTCTCCATACCCCTTAAGTCAATCAGAATTCAAGAATATGACAACAAACGTGTCTCGCAGCTAGATTTAAGCCTATTTTGGACGTTTTTACTATCACCCTAAAAAATTAAGCGTGTAAAATGTGCTGAAAGATAAGATTTGGAGGCTATGCTAGAACTGTTTCATTACTTTTAAAAGATAAATTCTTAATACAATGCTTATGTTTAAAGTCAAATCATAGTCACAATGATTTTGATAAGCTTAGAAGCCTTAGAATACCTTAGAAGCCTTAGAAGTTCTATCTTTTCATTGGCTAAACATTTTCCAATTTATAGGTTACTCTGTAGATGTGCGTCACTTGCAAAAGAACGAGGATACAAATATTTTGGCCTTCAGTATTATGCAGAATGCTGGAGCGCTCCTGGCAGCATCGTATACGACAGAAAAGGGAAAGCCCAAAATTGCATCAACGGTACCTTTGAACTTGGCAGCTGTGGAGGCGCTAATGATGGCGCTTGTGTTGGCCCCTCTCTTGTAAATTACGTATATGCGTTAGAATGAGAAATGACGTCACACTAACTTTGTTCATTTAATTTTTTCCATTAACATCATATAGAGAGCTAAATATGTTATCTGAATATGATCTATTGGTTGCACTTGTGAATCCGGACTTCTTCTTGGTTGGATCTATTGGTTGCATTCCTTCTCGACATAACAAAATCTTCAAAAGCTTCTTGCTGTAAGAAAACATTATTACGCAATCTCGTTAACAAAGCAAATCGTTAGCAATAAAAGCAAAATCTGACAAAAAACTTTTAAAATCGCTGCCTGCAATCTTATGGCTTTGAAGTGATTTTAATCTTCAGCATTGGAGCAGCAGATTGGGCCTGGTGGTTCTTCACCACTCAGTATGCTAAAAGACGTCTTTTTGCTTCTCAATGGCTCTAAAACCTAAAAGTATTGCTGTCTTCGGGCACTCCAGATTTTCAATGAACGTTGCTGTATTGTTGAATGATGCTTTGTTTTGGCATCAAAACTGGCTTTTTTAAATAATTTCAAATTTATTGCAGGCATTTCAGAAAAGAACTTTTGACGTATTTGAGTAGACAGTCATTTGCAACAGGCTCAAGATTTTGCAAAATTTCAGCCTATTTTAGGATAAAACTTTATAATAAAATTGTCTGCTTTTTTATTTGTCTTTTGATATACCTACTATTACCCGCAATCCATTCCCTTTTTCATTCTCGTTTTCCAAGCCATACCATGCATATGGTGTTGATTACGTCATATAAAGATTCGTTTACCCGAGAGGATAATTGTTAGGGAGACAAACCAGCATTTGTTTGGAGGTCGGTTGGTTTATCAAATTTTACACATGCGCATTTAGAGTCAATGTCATTGTTTTACGAATTTATCATGTGGTAGGTGCATTCGTGGGACTTACGGGAATACGCTATTCTCGAGTAGAAAGACATAGAAAATTTAGAGAAGATTGAGTAAAGCGAAGAGTGAAATGAAACTCTGGTTTATATGATGCAACCATGATTTATAATGTGTTTGATTAATTTATGCAAAGCGCCATAAAATGTCAATTTTGCTAGTCGCTAAACAATGAGAATTTAGATTCGTCTCTCCAGCAAATAAGGAAATGTGCCAAATTTTAAACGAAGTGCGATGTTTAAATGGAATACTGAAAACAAAGGCCGTTGCATTTATGTTTAGCAATCTCAAATCGTAGACATGTGGTATGCTTCACATGCAAATCATAGGAGGTGGTTTCCGATATCGCAAAGTTAGAAAACTTTCTGTAGACTGGTGAGAGAGTGCAGAGGGTGTTAAAAGATTGAAAGCAAATGTTAGCTTTGAGGATAGATATAGGGTCTTCATTATGATAAGAAGGGAAATTTGTACTAAACATTTTAATACATTTTAACGGGCTCTTTGCAACGCAAGAAGTAGCACCCTATGTGTGTCAAAACTTGTTTACCTCTTATTTCTGAGAAATTGAATAAAGGGTACTGGATATAAAATGATAAATCATATGAGAATCATGCGTCGAATAACTCAAAAACCAAAGATTCCAACCAGAGTTCATACTTGAATTTCAACTTTGGCTACTTAGTACGCCTAATCATTACAAGCTCTCTCAATCAGAAACTCTTTCTACAATTGTGGGCATCATTCTTCTCTCCTGAATGAGTTGAATTTCTTCTGCAAAATGATTTTGGAACATGTCATTAACAAACCTCAAAATGCCTGCAGTTTCTAAACTGGCAATTTTTGCTTTCTCGAAGTTTGTTTATATTTATTCCACAGCCTGTTGATAATTACATAATAAAGGCGTGAAAGTATGCTAGACACAGAAATTTCTACATCTGTTTGGTAAATACATCTGTTCTTTGCATTTAGCCACCATTCTTTTTGGAAGTAAAATACAAACAAATTGTTCTGTTTTACAAAGATACTCGTGGCTCTTTTAAGCAATTGAAATACACTCATTTTTCATAAGAAACTGGCTATAAGAAACGAGTACTGGACAGTCAGAAAAAATTAAGAAATTTCAGTACTAGAAGCAAAAAAATTGAGCAACTATTAAAACTGCGAACAACGAAATTTTGTAAAATCCAAGAACATGATTGCCCTATTGGCCTAGAACTTATGGCACAAGGGATAGAAGTATACTTCCCACATCTAAATACAGCATCAGAAAGGAAGCGAATCTCTTGACGTGATCATTTCATAACATCATTCATGACATAATAATAAAGAAAATCTTAAGAAACAATAAGTATTTAAATTTTCAGAACATTAGAAACTGGAGTACTCAACATCGATCTTTATTTCTTAGAAAAAATGAGTGTATGCTGTGCAATTTTGTAGCACTAAAAGCTGAAATAATTTTTGCATAAAGACATCGTCAGCAGACTTTGAATTGGGTCGGGAGATTTGAGAAGGGCATCAAAAGACCTATTAGCTATTTGCTGGTCCATTCGGAGTAAATGCAATCGGTTACTCAAGCACCTTGCAGCTCAAACTTCTTGATATGCAAACAAATTTGAGTTTGAAATGTCTATTCATAAGTCTCTTTGATCTGCTTTTGTTGCCTGTATATGAGAAAGGGAGTCCGGCAACTTAAAAAGAAGTTGAAACAAGTGCGTATCAATTCCTTTCGAAGAACCAACTTTTGGAGCAATTCTTTATTTTCAACAAAACAAAAAAAGATTAAAAATATTGAAGAAAATAATTGAAGATCCTGGAACACTCTTTTGAAAGTATCTCCATGCTATGAAACGTCCGTAACTGACGAAAATGCAACTTAAACTTAATGAAAATTACTTTCACAGGTGTGCCTGAAGGTGCTCGATGCCGTAAAAACAGAGCTGTGCACGCTAGTTGCCTGATGATCGCATCAGGGGAAAAGGGGAAAAAGCCTTGGTCCCCTACTTTTGCTAGCCTTGCCCCCCCACTTTTAAAATCGTGGCGTAGGCCCTGCTTAAAGGGTAAATAAAAACTTACAACAAGTTGCAGGTCGAAAGTAACTTGAGATAAAAAGTGACTCCTTTGATTGGTTTCTTAGTTTTAACGAAGCACCGACTGCAAATTCTACACACAGTTGAAAAATCCAATAAAGAAAATGACCATTTTTTGTCAAACAAGTTTAGATATGTTAAGGCATCTAAACAGAAAGAGAACAAACTTTACCCAACCATTTTAAACTTTTCTTCATCGTACGTTTGGCATAATCTCTTTGTAGCTGAGCCACACATTGTAACTTGACATGCTATAAAAGCTTTTCTCTTTTAAAACCGTTTTTCTTGATTTAAGCTCAATTTTTTGTTTCTGTTGTTTGTTCTTAATCCCAAACTTCACATCGGTACAAAAATACATAAACAATTTCAATCCTTTTGGCTGGTATGAAGAAATGAAGCGCTCTAAATTAACTGCCATATTGCATTTCTCCTAAAGAGTACGCTTAACTTTGTGAAGTTCATAACCCAGCGCAGTTCTAATTTAAAAGAATTGCTTTAAAAAGAAGTATTATAAAGATATAAGAAAAAGTTGAATATTGCGATAATGAATATTTTATTGATAAAGCCGACATAGCTAATTTTACTTAAAAAATTTTCATATTCGATTCTTTTCATATATTCTTCTTTGGAGCACAAAATATTCGTATTTAGGTATTTGTCTTAGGATTTGAAATCAATAAATGTGCATAAAAACATACAAGTAATGTAATCCTGTCTTTAAATAGTTTTTGTAAAATTGATAATGAAACGAAATGTCAGAAAGGTCGACTTCTTCAGGTTCTAAAAATTCCTGATATTGTGGACAAGAACTCATAGCAACGACAATAATGCATAAAGATTCAATTCTTTTATAACAATTCAAAGTGCAAATTGTGTCAAAATTGGCAGAAAAAATCCAAGGATTCACATAGTGATGAATGTAACACCAATACTTTCTCAGTCTTGGCTTTTTGCTTGTATTTTAACACTTAAAAAAAGTTAGAAATCTTTTCAGTCTGTTGAGATGTCAAGTACGAACGATTGATTTACTAGTTCATTGGTTATGCTTTGCTTTCAAAACTTGCGCTAGTCTCCTGTTATTATAGCTACTGTGTTACGACTTGCGTGTGTTCAAGAGAAAGAAGCTACTCCTAACAATGAAATCTTATAATTGAAATGGTATACAACTTATGCTGTATGTACGAATGGATGTGCAATCATAATATGGAGGGTTTAAAAGAGCATCCGAATCCAGACGACATCCCTGACAAATGTCTTTTTGCTATCGCATTGCATTCTGATTTGCATGTTACCATGTTAATAAAGTGATGCTTCAATTGAAACAACAGAAGGTTTGCCATACAATTCACAGTGATGTTTGCCTCGCCGCGTTTGTTATATTAACTTTTGTTTACACAACATAACTTTTGTTATAAGTGACGAAGAAAGTTGTTCTCGTCCCAGTAGGATTCGAGCTGCTCCAGAGTGACGTCTTGAGGAGGTGCACACCAGTGTTACAGGCTGGTGAAATCCTTTCGAAGAAGATGTCGAAGACAGTGCTTTGTGTTGTTACCTGGCTGGCTATGCTTGCCTATGACCTCAATGCAGCCCCAGGTATCATTTTGTAATGTCCATTCAATTGATTTAACCTCTATGTCTATTAAAGATTGTGCATCTAAATACGCAGTTTACAGTAATGACGTTATATAAATTCTAAAGTTCAAAAATATTTTTAGTAATTTGTATAAAAAGACTTTTGTAGAGAACATTTTTAACCTACTGTTGTAAATCAAATCACATTTTAGCAATTGCATGATCAAGGACAACTCGTAGATTTTGGTTAACTTTAACCAGCATGTTATCAGTATAACTTTCTAGGAAGTTTAAAAAATCTAGCAAACATGCACCTTTGCCAGCTACTGTAGTGATAATTCGAAGACAAGTAAAGAGAAATTCTCTTTAATTATCTGCCGAAATTCGCTCCTTTGCTAAGAGCCTATCAGGTATTTTTAGAAATTTTTAGCAATGTCTAAAGCAAACTAGGATTACATGTTCTAAAAGAGTGTCGCCATGGTATATATATCTTTTTCATAATTGCCGAGTTAAATACTTAGAATGATGGTGATGAAAAATAATAGAACGATGACCTGTTCAACGCGTATTTTCCTTGCAAGATTCTTGCCAGACTATTCTTGCCAGACTATTCTTGCTAGACTATTCTTGCCAGACTATTCTTGCCAGACTATTCTTGCCAGACTATTCTTGCCAGACTATTCTTGCCAGACTATTCTTGCCAGACTATTCTTGCCAGACTATTCTTGCCAGACTATTCTTGCCAGACTATTCTTGTCAGACAATTCTTGCCAGACTATTGACGACGTTTATTCAATGTGTTTCGGGCAGTTAGCTTGTCTCATCTTCATAGGACTTGCGAATATTTTAAGTAGCAAGTGATGATAGCTTTTTTTAAGTAAACAAGGAGCAGGACGGTGACTATGATAGCTCCTTGAGGAACATCGAAGGCTTCTCTGCCTATGTGTTACAACCTCCAGCTGCAACATTTATTCAAAAACTATCCTGTTGGCATTTTTTTCTATTTTTAGCAAATCAAGGCAGTGATAAGAGTGTTTACGACGCAATTGAAAAAATCAATCAGAGTATGTGAATAAATTATACATCATATTCATCATAAATTATTTACGTTAACTCTTAAAAGCATTCTGATTACATTTCCTGAGTAAGTAACAACATAATCTTTACATAATAGTCTCTATGTATGATACTTCCTTGAGATAAAAGAAGATAATTCTGTTGCAGAGCTAAATCTACTTTTCAAGTAAGAAAGTCAGTTGTATTTGCATTTTACAGAATACTAATAGATGCTTTGTTGTGCATTGAATTCGAAGGCAAATTGATAAAACCTGTCGACAATTATCTTTCATGCTTTCACTATAATATTTTGAAGTAAGAAGATTAGATGAACATCATATTTCTTTAAAAGCTTTATCCCCGCAAGAAGCAAACCTGAAATCCTTTGATACCTGAAATGACAGTAATGTTTATTTACTTCTTCTTCTTCCCACCCGGCAAGATTTTCGGTAAATTATCGTGAGAAAAGCTCTATTTGTTCGACATGCTATTGAAAAAGGCTCCTTGAATAAAATTTAAAAAAATTATTTGCTTACTCGATTGAAGTCATAGTCTCGCATTCATCTTCTTACTTCACGTTTTTAGCATCTTTTGCCTTGCAGAGAAAACTGGTCTCTTTGAAGGTGATATTTTGCCAAGTGAATTGGTCGATGAGATCACAAGCAAAGTTTCAACAAGAAAAAGAGACGCTACAAGATTCCGACATTATCTATGGAGGACAAGAATTATCCCTTTTACAATCTCATCTGAATTTGGTTCGTGTGTTTTGATAAGTTCAAAATGCCTGTCACTTAACCTTTGCAAAAGGAAAGCTTTCACAGCCTCGATTAATCTGAATTTTGACAAGAATTTGCGATTTTAAAACTTTGTATCATAGCAATCCAATTGAATTTCAAACATGATCTTTTTCGAGAAAAGGAGGAAGTTCTTCAGTGATAAAAGCATGCAGTCTCTCCCTACTATGCATTTTCTCCTACTGTGTCTTCCTGCATTTCATTTTCAGTGAAAAGACTGATTATGTACACAATATCAGAGAAAAGCTGCAGATAAAAAGCGTAGCATATGATTTACAATTCTACTGTTTATTGAAATAATACTTAATACTCTTCTGATGTGATAGTCAAGAATTAAATAGGTATGCGTAGCAAAATCCATTTTTTCATCTCTGGCTGAACTTTCGTTGAACAGGAACTTCAGAGAAAGAAGCCATTCTCGCTGCAATAAGAATACTCCAAGAACATACATGCTTGACATTCAAAAATCACTCCAGCGAAGACCAATGGGTCAACTTTCGGAGGCTCGATGGGTAAACTCAATTTAAATCATGAAGTGACTATTTGCATAAGGGAAAAAGTTAAATTAACAGAAAAGCAGCCAATTTCAAAGTTTGAATATTGTTATGGAATGCATTAAGAGAATAAATGAATTAAAAATTGCAAGCAAATGTTTAGAAGCACTCAGTGTTACGTGAACAAATAGCAACGAAATACCAGTTTATAGTTACCTGGTGAACACTTTTACTACAGTTAGCTACTGAAAAGTGCTGTTTTTGCTTTCCAAGTTGCATTTGAATATCCTCTTTGTTCTTACAATCGTGTTCGATGCAATTCATTTGTAAAAGCTGCTTTAATGAATACTTTGCAGCAAATATTTTGGACTATCTGCTGAAAGATAAGAATCCATAAACATTAATCGAACTCTGATGCTATGAAGTTTTATTACTTCGAGTTTCCTTCTCGTAGCTGTTATTCTTATGTTGGCCGAGCTTATTGGACAACCGGAGCGCAAACAATCAGCCTTGGAGTTGGTTGTCTTCACCAGTCAACAATACTGCATGAAATTATGCATGCTTTAGGATTTTGGCATGAGCAGAGCCGTCCAGACAGGGATAAATATATAGAAATATTTTGGGAAAATATCCAAGAATGTGAGTATGACAAACTGGATGCTGACTATCCTTCTTCTCATTATCGTCAACTGGGTAATCTTTTCATGATGAATGCTAGTTTGCGAATGCCTTTTGGCATTCTTATGCTAAATCAGCTAGCATTTAAAACCTTGATCGGTGCTGCATTTAATTAAAAATATCATCAGCATTCAGGGCAACCGAGAGAGGGGCAAGGGAGCAAATTGTCCTGTGTCTCGATGTCTAGTGGGCGTCATAACGTAATGAATTCAATTTTAAGATTGGAATCAATCAAGTAATCAAATGTGTACCTTAAAACAGTAAAACGTTCGAAACGATTGCTCCAGCGCCTCCGAAACCTCGACCCTGTCAGCATAGCTGAGTTGCTAGAGCTATAAATTCTCAATTGATCGGGTAAAGTAGAAATTAATTATTGCTTCCAGTTACAATGATCCACTTTTTACAGCCGAGATGCACAATTTCAACAAGTATTCTCACCAGAAGGCTGACATACTTGGGACACAATATGACTACGACACAGTCATGCATTATGGAAAGTTCGCTTTCTCAAAAAATGGAAAGCAGACGATGAAAGCCATTGGAAGTGATAGGGAGCTTGGAGAGGCGACGACGTTGGGTCCAAGTGATATAACTGCATTGAACGCTTTGTATGACTGTGCCAGTATGTACCCTTTTTGCTTATTTAATGAATGTATCGATTTATAAAGATACTGTTTTGTTGGTTATGGTTATGATGTTGACCCTTTATAAGAGACGATTATCGATTTCAGGCAAGGGAGTAAGCATATGGAGCAGATGGTCGAGCTATGGGCCTTGTGACCAGAGGTGTTACAAAACACGACAACGGTTCTGCTCGGACCCAGACCTCAGCAACTGCGGAGGCGCCAATATTCACGGTGTTATCGAAGATCAACTGAAATGCAGCGATGCAGAATGCTACGGTAAGCAACATAAACCTGAAGAGAACCAAGAAGCATATACAAGAAACCTCTGCGCAATTTATATTTTGCTTGCTATGTTTGTTTCACGTACAATGCTTAATACATACCAGGAAATTTAAAGGATTTTAAAGTAACATCGAACGCGGTTCTCATAATTCATTAAGCTACAATCAACAGAATGCATGGAAGCAAAATTCTGCATCCTCGCGCCCTTATTTTATCAATCAACTTTGAAAAGTTTCAAAAATCTAAATCTAGTACTTTAAAAAGCATAGACTACTAATGACCCTTATCTCTCTATAAACCATGTGATTTAACATTAAACATTGAAATGAATAGCTCATCCTTTATTTCTGCAGCCCCTGTTGATGGGCACTGGGGTCGATGGTCATCTTGGGGTGTATGTAGCACCGAATGTGGACCCGGAAGAAGAAACCGCACCCGAAATTGTGATAACCCGGAATCGAAGAATGGAGGAGCAGGATGTCAAGGAGACTCCATTTCGCACACCGACTGCTTTGTAAAAACCTGTGGCCTTGGCAAGTTTATGTCAGCTTTAGTTAAAGACTCATTGCTAACAATGCGTCTTTGTGCATGTAATGATTGAAGACTGTCTGAAAATGCATTATGGGATGCCTAAGCAGTGCAATGGCTCATTTTTAGCGATGAGTCTTTAAGGATATATGCTGCATACATTGTTCAATTGTTTTATAAAGCTTGGTTTGATTTGTTAAGAAAAACCTGTTAAATAAGCTATTTGCAGAAGGCTGTTGGACGGTACTCAATTTTGAAGCTTTCTTTAACAGAATAAACCCTTTTAAGCGCAAAGTTAGAGAGATATATAAAAAAAGCCATGCATATTGAAAATGAAATTGAGAAAAGCTCATTGTTCGTTTTCATTAGGTCCTTGGGATTGCGAGTTCGATGGACAAGGCTGGTGTATGTGGCAAAATGCCCCATCGAATAACGCCAGGTTCCAATGGAAGCGCACTTCAGGGGGCACACCGAGCTCCAACACTGGTCCTTCTGGAGATCATACATCAGGCTCAGGTAAAAGTTTCCTTCTCTTTCTTTCCAGTTATTTTCCAGTTATTAAGAGCCGCAAAAATATAATTCAATATAATGACGTATTTTGCTTGCTTTTAAGATTTTTGCCATTATTTTCAGGCTACTATCTCTTTGTCGAAACGTCAAGCCCCGCTTTATCTGGCGACAAGGCAAGGTTGTTAAGCCAAGAGTTTGCTGCAACAGAGGGTCTATGCATGTCTTTCTGGTACCACATGTATGGGTCAACTATGGGTGCTCTACGTGTTTTCACTAAGGCAGACGGTATAGAAACTTTAATTTGGGACAAACATGGAGACCAAGGAAACCAGTGGGTTGAATCAAAACTGAAAATGAACAGTTCTACAACATTCAAGGTAATGTAATATAGATTGCATGAAAAATGAAAATTTTGCACAAGATTTCAGTCACATTTTCCTTTGAAGCCTTGTGTAAGAAAATTTGAATAATTTCCAGAATATTAATAGAACATAATTTCAGGAGCAAATTAAAAAAATATTTATCACGGTAACTGTCGCGCCCTTCAACTGAAAAGCCCAAGTGATAACAATTTAATTTACTCTTTCTACACCTATCCGGATTTTTTCTTTTAATAACGTACATTTCCAAAACATGTGTGTCAAATAACTATTATTGCTTGCGAGATAATTTTGAAATTTATCCTCGCTTTATATCTTGATACTTTACACTACGGAAGGCTTTCCTTACCTAATACAAGCAACAAAGATTTATCTTTTGTCCTGTTTATTCCGGGTATTTTATCGTCTTGCATTCCCTACTGTTGCCTTATGCAGTCATGTTTGTTCTTTCTTGCCAACTAAACAGAATCACTTTTGCAGAAACACTGCCTTTGACTTGTTGAGACATTTCCTTGGTAGCCAGACTCTTTCTAAACTAAATATTCAAATCTTCTAAGAGAAGAGAACTCAGTGAGGTGATTTTTTCAAAGGTCATCATAGAAGCAGAGAAGGGTGTAGCATTTTTAAGTGATATCGCTGTTGATGACATCAAGTTCCAAGACTGTGCTCCAAAATGTAAGCTTCCTTGAAAATTACAATGGTAGTAATGATTACATTAAAGAGTTTATATGTATTAATTGATCAATCGGATGTATCACTAAAGAGACCTTCGTACAATTCCAGTGAAGTAAAAATATGCTCAACCAAAAAGTAGCTTGATTTCTTTCAATGCTGCTTTGAAAAATGTCCATAGTTAAGGTCAGATTGCCTATGGGTTAATTTACTACCAGTGCAAGAGAATAATCTTAGCGTCCTCTTGGGTTATGGAAAACAGATAGTAATCTGACCTTATTTGGATATCAATCCAAACTCGATAAAAACACTGCAGAGTGAAGTAATCTTCGAAAAATTAGGGAAATCATTTTAACAAATATTAAAGCAATACTTTTCCATCCCCGTTTCGTTGCGTTATTCATGGTAAATTAGGTCCTATTTCAAGCCAAATTAAGAATAAGCCAGATTCAGCCATTAATGAATTGAGTAATACCTAGCCCTCAGATTTACATAAATGTAGCTAGTCAATATGATCAAGTTTCAATTTCTGGGGGAGTTATTGTCACTAGATAAAAATGGGTTCACTAGTTTTTTTTGCCATTGCAGCTAAACTGGAGAAAAAATGTGGCGTAAAAATGAAGGCTCTTGGCTGCTTTAAAGACGCAGTAGGAGACAAGCTGTTTCCAAAACTTCTGGATAACCACAGAGACCCTATCAATGGTCACAGAGGTTATACAATAGATTGGTATAATTACGAACATTCTCTCGAAAGGTACAGTACTATTTTTGAATAAAGCAGGCAGTCAGACGGAAATGCTTTCTTGCTTTGACTAGAATGGTTGAAAGGAATGAATGAGACAGTTTTCGACACTTGAATTAATAATTGAGAATAGAAGGTAGAAGCACTAATTGAAGTCTGTGGCTGGAATTCTGAAATGAACATTTGCAGCAAAAGATACTTGTGCGTGCTGTTGAGAGAAAACTCCGGCAATATGCTCGCAAGGAGCAAAGTGATTGTGCGCTTGCGGTAAACTCGTGCAGCATTTTGAAATTGGCTGCATCGAAACATAGGCTGCAAGCTAGCTAAGCAGATTTCGTCTACACATATCAACTAACCTCATTCTCTGAGCTCCAACATCCTTTGATCCTTGCATCATTGCTTGCCAACCTCGCTTCTAATGATCTTTCTTCCTTCCTCCAGCATTATGTGTCACTGTGCCTCAAGAACAAAAGAACAAGGATTCACATACTTTGGCCTATCCTTTTACGCAGAGTGCTGGGCTGGTCCTGGCCTTATCACCTACGATAGGCATGGTACTTCAAACACCTGTATCAATTCTACGTACCAGAAATGCGCTATGGCTGATGATGCAATGTGCAGTGGTATTAACTACAGTCACTTTGTTTATAAATTGCAGTGAAGAGTCGAATCAGATAGATTGATAGATACACGATGAAAGGACGAATCTTTAAGTTTCCATTTACTTAACAGTGCTTTATTGTTTATACTACTGTATTCAGATCTGACGTCAATTCCTTATGTTTCGTTCCAGGAATTTTTGTTTTAGCTTGTGAACAGCTAAGTTTGTTGTGTCTGTTATTCTTAGATATTCAATACTTCTTTTAAAAGTTAAGTAAAATCTGTGGCCGTCTCTCTGATAGTCTCTGTTTGTCTTTGCCTAACAAATCAAGTAATACAACCCCTTAATAAATAAAGAAATATTGTGGCACAGTTCATAGTTGGGCTTGAGTAATAACGGATACCTTAGAAATTCTTTTGCAAATCACTGTTGTTTCATCGCTTTAATTGCAAGCTTTGTTTGGGTTTTAAGATGATATTTTACTCAGAAAAGGTCTAAGATTTGATTCCTGATTTTTTGCTACAAAACAATTGGTCAGAAAATATTAAGCATTCCTAGGCCTTATTGTTGATAAGTATTGCCTTTTCTAGCACACAGAGAAGCCAAAACTAACCTCGACAAACCCCTTTGTCAAACGCTTGTTTATTCTGTTCTGCCACAAAAGAAAAGCCACGGTGATCAGGATGCAGACTATGCATAATCACATCCTAACAACTTTCACTGAAATCTGCTGCTCCTGGCCTGTGCGTTTCCTTTCTACATTGCTTTGTAAGGTTTTCTTCTAGCATTCTGCAAATATATTTATTCCCAATTTCATTCTTTTTTCTAAATAGGTCAAAGTTGAACTCATACTCTAGAACTACTTATTTGTTCGCAAAAGCAATCTTGGAATTTTTCAATCGTTTTGAAGATTTTGACTAAAATAGGGTTGATAGAGTCAAAATATTTCCCGGGATGAGAAGTTTCAATCTACCAGAAAATACAGCTTTTATTAAGTTCAATTTGATGTTAAATAGAGTTCTAAGCTGCTACTATACGGACAATCTCACACTTTTTCAATTTAGGGCTAAAAGCCTAAAAATCAAAATCACGATCTTACTTTGGAATAATTTTTTTTCGTTTCCATAATGTCTCCATCCAAAGTGGTTCTCAGCTATTCTCATAACAAATTAATGGGACTTTTAAGCCCTAGTTTTATCTACACTTCAGACAGCCCTGCCTGGTTCGGAACGGATTCTATGGAAACCTGGCATTTAGTCAAAGTATCTACCTGGAAGACCATTCAACGTTCATCATGAGTTAATATTTGAAGAGTTTTAACACAAATATAGGCCGTCATAAATCTTGTATTCCTTTCTTACTTCTGTCTTTAATTCAAACGTCTTAGCTACCCTTTGTATTTTTGTAATACAGCACACAAACGCTCCGCGGTATGTCATGAATTTTGCATCTTTAGAATAACCATGAAGTGCCTTCTGAAAATCCACATGGTTTATAGCTTGTTCATGTTCATAACAATGGGGAATGCATGTCTGAAAGTGTTTTCAGCTCACAGATTTTTTCACGAAATTCAACTTACTTCACTTTCAACAAATATTTTTCGTCACCTTATCATATCAGTCGACCATTCATTATGCCTTCGAATATTTTGCGTCTGTTTGTCAAAAAAGACGCAACGAAACAAGGGCGCTAGACTGATTACTTTAAAGTAAAAAATATGCAAATTCAAATTCTATCAGTTTATATAAAACTTGTGATCAGCTGAAAGTAAACTTAAAAGCTCTTGCGTGAACAAAATCCTTCGCAACTATATTTTAAAAACTGGCCTAGTATGTACTGCATGAGATAGACAAGACATTTGCCGCCAAGCATGCCTTTAATGCTGTTAGTTTACTGGGCTTGGCAAAAACTTAAAACGGGCCCTCGCGGCTTGACAGCCACCTTGCAATTAGGACTAGATCACCCCTGTTCTTGATTTTCTTTGTAAGCTAGAAAAGGTGATATGCTAAATGGCCTAAATAGAGAACTGCGATTCTTTGTGAAGCTATCACCTCATACATGCATGCAATAAAATCAATCATACAATGCACATCATACAAACTAATGTCAAAATTAAACAGTATTTTTAAGAAGACGGCTGAGTCTGTACTCTTCAAAACTTCCCTTTTCAGTTTTTCACAGCTACTCAATGGTTCTCTGTTGATAGATTACATTACGATGTTTCCTTTATAATACGGCTGCTACTTTGCCAATAGTTTGCTATTGATTGCTGATATAAACGAACATTGGTTGAAACTTTGACGTCAACACATTTGTTTGGTGTTCTACTCAATCTGAACAAGACCTTGCTCAAACGACCATTCAGCAGAATCCACAGATCTCAAATATTTGCCGTGAACTTTCTACAATCCCAAAATAGGCCATTTCATTAATTAACGAACTTAGAAGTATATTCCTTTCGCGGATATCACTTATGTGAGCTGAATTTTTGTTCGTGAATTTCAGAAAAGACTTTTCTTAGATTATTATTGGTTTTGATTGGGAAAATCACTGCTTTGTGTGTTGTTTCAATCAAGCAAAGTTGAAAGGAAAGTACAAAAGGTTCCTTATTCTGGGCTTTAGGTGTGTCATTACTGAACCTTCCAAATTCCAGCAGGTTAAGCGCCTTGTTTAAGAGCTATAAGGTTCTTTGATGACTTAGAAAAATCTTCGTATCATTAAGCAAAAGAATTGTATATAAAGCTTTATTTCAATTACAAAAAACTTTTTCTTCGATGTTAGGATATCCATAATACTGCCTTAAGTGTTTTTGTGAATCAAAGCTCTTAAAAGAGTTTGATTGTCATTGGTATGAAGTACAAGCGAATGGCTATAAGAAGATGGTATTTAATTATCCTTTAATGAAGATCGTCATACAGATGACAAGAGAATGCAACGAAGTATTCCATTTAGATACTAATTGACTTTTGAATTATGGAAGAGCATGAAAAACTAAAGGGAGGGGATGTTTGGGGGGGACCGAAAACCGTAAATCCGCCGATAATCTTCGCAAAAGCCGTAAAACCGTGCATTATTTTTCGCTAAACCGCAAAACCCCATTAAAATCAGCTAAAACCGAAAATGATGCTATTTTTTGAAATGATACAACTAATTTTTAATGCAAAAGCACCTTGAACATCATCGTAGATAAGTGTCATGTGTAGATTTTTCTCTCACGCATGCAAGTTGTAGAGTTTAAGTTGCCAAAGCCAATACCAAACTGGGTACAGAACTGAGTACCGACCGAAAGCAATGGCACACTAACATTTTAGAGCTCCCGAGCCCAAGCATAAACAATGCCCCCTTCAACAAGTTCGAGCATTTCATTTGTAGAAGCCGGGATAAAAAAAATTATTAGGTATTGAAAAATTAATTTAAAGCTAAAAACTTTGTCTCTGTAGCTGGAAAAACTCCATTGATGAGTCGAACAAAAACATTTATTGCTATGTATGTGAAAAATTAGAATTTTGCTGAACTATTGGTGCGTATGCGCCCTTGACTTCTCGACTAAGTCAAGACCCCAGGCGAAACCATAGTTGCCGCAGAAGGGTCAGATAATTTTCTAATATAAGTGATTCCAGTTCGCTAAAAAATTCCCCCTTTTGAAGCAATTATATCTATGCGTGGTTCCTTCTGCTTAGAAGCAGAATATAAAAACAGCATAAAACCCCAGCCTTAAAAATTTTTTGGAGGTAACCGCTCCTTGGCCAAGGCCGCTTTGCAAGGCTATGTCCACAACATTAGTATTTACGTTGTATTGATGTATTGATTGTTTGAATTTTTAATGATACCCAGCTCAGTAGTTACCAACGGAGATGAAGTTGTCTTGACTGTAGAATCTTCCTCTGACAATTCCCTAGCCAGGAACATTATACATCACCCTCATTTTCATTACCATTCCATGAATCACTCTGAAAAATGTACGTAGTTATCTTGTTTATCATATCTCTCATGCCTTGTGGTGGCAATGCTCTTCGCAAATATTTCATCCGAAAATCAGAAAACCATACATTTCTGCTGTACAAACCGGAAAACCGACCCAATAACGCCAAAAACCGTTGACCGTGGCAATATTGAAAACTGCAAAACCGATAGATTTTAAGGCAGAGACCGAAAAACCGAGCCGAAATACGAGCAAAACCGCGTAACCGTAAAACCCAAACACCCTCTTTACAGCGGTTTGGCATTGAGAAAAATTTGCTCATTATAAAATGGTATTGTTCTTTGCCAATTCTATCAAGTCACCCAGAATTTGCAGGGTCTGTAAAAAGGATTATTAATATATTTTTGGGTGGCCTTAAACTTTAGTGAACATTTTGAATACCTGGTATCACCAGCTTTTATATAAAAAGATGACAGTGTACAGACAACTCTCGTTATTACGGACACCATCGGAACAAAAATATTGCGTCCGCAATAACGAGAGTGTTAAATGGATGGTCTAAGCCTATTCCAAGAAACTGATTCCATGTAAAACTGAACCAAACGTTCGAATATAAGATTAACTGAGACTAATACGAATATAAGTACTTGAATAAGATACATGAATAATGCGAGTAAGTTTAATATATAATCTTGAGTATAATAAAATCCAGTCCAAAAAAAGAGTCTTTATCCGTGTCCCAAATAACTGGCTGCTATACAAGCATACTTTGCGCACTATTCAAGCATCGGTTCCCTCGTCGTCTCCTGTGGTCAAGTCACCTTTTAGGCCTGGTTCAAACGTCGCACTTCTCATGTGCCGAACCTAAATCTGTTTGGAGTGTCACTTGAGCATGTTTAGCGCGACTTCCGTTTCAAACGTCGAACTTAATTATGTCGCGCCAAATGGGTTTTTTGGATTGTTACATGAAGAATCTTGGTTAAGGCGCGCAATCTCAAATATTTTTTGAAACGCGTGCGCCCTCCAAAAAAGAAATGAATTCTGGGAAGGAAAATGAAGTAAATATAATTATGCATTGAGTCGGTACATGACAAGATCGACGCTTGAAACCGTGCCGTGCTTGAGCCGTGCAGCTCGGCAAGTTCTGCCGATCCAAACTAGCCTGCCGCTCCTCACTAAATCTGCCGTATCAAATTGATTCAAACGTCACGCCCCTCATGTACTTAATTCTCGACTTAGGTTCGGCACATGAGAAGCGCGACGTTTGAACCAGGCCTTATGTCCCTTAGCTCAATATCCAAATCGCTCAAACATTATCAATACCAACGCTATACGTCATATCATATGTCACCTGATA